TCTAAACCCCACAAGGCCTCAGTCATTCTGTCCTTCACAATCATTTGTCCTGGTTCCTCTGCAGAAAACAGCCCCAAATCATGATTTTTCCATCCCCATTTTGTGATGAATCTCTGATGTTTTTTCTCAAGAGTTATTATCAAGAAATTCTATTTTGATTTAATCTGATCATGAGACAATGTGTTTGCATGTTCTGCCTGTGTCTGTGTTTACATGTTCTCCCCGTGTCGGTGGGACCACAGTCGCACGACAGATAATCCTCACGTGTCGGAACAGACGCCTTCAGGAAACACATCAGTCTGCAGCTGGGAAGATTGCACCAGAATTCCACTTCAGACAATGTGGAATTGTCTGAACAACAATTGTCTGTCAAACAAGTTCTAATCCTTGAATCTCTCAAATAAACCTGACAGAGACGTACCTCATGATTACAGCACTGCACCTACTCTGCTCTGCTCTGCTCCGCTCCGCTCTGCTCTGCTCTGCTCCGCTCTGCTCTATGGACCTGGTAGAGGTTAAACAGAGCCAGTGGAAACACTCCCAATGATAGACGAGAGGAGAGCAGTGTTGTGTTTGTGTGTCTTTGTATTTATCAGACAGTGAAGCCAGAACACCAGAGGAAAGAAGTCTTCTTAAAAGCTTAATTTGGCCCAGAGAACGCTTCGACATTCCCCCATCCCCCCACCTCCCCACCACCACTCCACCCGACCTCCCCTCCTCCTCGTGTCCCAAATAGACAACATGAGATGAAATCGCGTGCAGAGAATCAGCTAATTGTGTCAAGTCAAGGCTTCCATGTTTACACAGACCCGGGTCACTTCCTGTCGGGAGTTAGATCAGAGGTAATAGAGGAAAGAACAGGGAGAACATGCAACAGGCTCATCAGTGTCTGCTTCACGTACACACACACACACATACAACACTCCTTTTTACAGTCAGACACATCAGAGTCCAGATTAAACATTAAAAACATTAAAAAGACAAATGTTCCAGTTTGTGAGACAGGAGAAGCGAGAGATGAGGAGAGAGGAGAGAGGAGAGAGAGGAGAGAGGAGAGAGGAGAGAGAAGAGAGAGGAGAGAGTGTGAGATTTCATAACACTTTTAAGCAACTTTTCTTAAAGTTAAACTCATCATTCTATCAATGTGCAGAAGCCAGTACTTTTCCCTTGTTTTGTCTATCTGAAGGCCAAGCTACATGGCACCGTGGAAGCTGCTGATTGGAGGTCTCCATGCCTCCGCTCTGTATAATACACTTGCATTCTGTTGTGTGTGTTGTTCGTGCTGTCTCTACCATCGACAATAAAACATGTCTTCTGTCTGAATTTAAGACGCGATCCCAGACTTGGCACATCTTCTTCAAGAGGAGAGAACTGAGTAATAGAGCTTTCAGACCAGATCCTGCGTTGTGGCAGCTTTCAAAGCAAAGTCAATGGTGACTTCCATTCGAGCGTGGAACTGCATGTGTGTCGCGGCCATGGTCGTGGCACGCACAGACAGGGAGAGGCGGCGTTGGACTAAACCAGGACTAACAAGGGGAGTCAGTGCTTGTGAACATATGCATCCAGCCTGAGTTCTCATGCTCCTGTGACTGTAAACAAGTGCAGCTAACGTGACTGTAAACAAGTGCATCTAACGCGACTGTAAACAAGTGCAGCTAACGCGACTGTAAACAAGTGCAGCTAACGCGACTGTAAACAAGTGTTGCTAACGCGACTGTAAACAAGTGTTGCTAACGTGACTGTAAACAAGTGCAGCTAACGTGACTGTAAACAAGTGTTGCTAACGTGACTGTAAACAAGTGCAGCTAACGTGACTGTAAACAAGTGCAGCTAACGCGACTGTAAACAAGTGCAGCTAAAGCGACTGTAAACAAGTGTTGCTAACGTGACTGTAAACAAGTGCAGCTAACGTGACTGTAAACAAGTGCAGCTAAAGCGACTGTAAACAAGTGTTGCTAACGTGACTGTAAACAAGTGTTGCTAACGTGACTGTAAACAAGTGTTGCTAATGTGACTGTAAACAAGTGTTGCTAACGTGACTGTAAACAAGTGTTGCTAACGTGACTGTAAACAAGTGTTGCTAACGCGACTGTAAACAAGTGCAGCTAACGCGACTGTAAACAAGTGTTGCTAATGTGACTGTAAACAAGTGTTGCTAACGTGACTGTAAACAAGTGTTGCTAACGTGACTGTAAACAAGTGTTGCTAACGCGACTGTAAACAAGTGCTGCTAACGTGACTGTAAACAAGTGTTGCTAACGTGACTGTAAACAAGTGTTGCTAATGTGACTGTAAACAAGTGCAGCTAACGTGACTGTAAACAAGTGTTGCTAACGTGACTGTAAACAAGTGCAGCTAACGTGACTGTAAACAAGTGTTGCTAACGCGACTGTAAACAAGTGTTGCTAACGTGACTGTAAACAAGTGCAGCTAACGTGACTGTAAACAAGTGCAGCTAACGCGAATGTAAACAAGTGTTGCTAACGTGACTGTAAACAAGTGCAGCTAACGTGACTGTAAACAAGTGTTGCTAACGTGACTGTAAACAAGTGTTGCTAACGTGACTGTAAACAAGTGCAGCTAACGCGAATGTAAACAAGTGCAGCTAACGTGACTGTAAACAAGTGTTGCTAACGTGACTGTAAACAAGTGTTGCTAACGTGACTGTAAACAAGTGTTGCTAACGTGACTGTAAACAAGTGCAGCTAACGTGACTGTAAACAAGTGCAGCTAACGCGAATGTAAACAAGTGTTGCTAACGTGACTGTAAACAAGTGCAGCTAACGTGACTGTAAACAAGTGTTGCTAACGTGACTGTAAACAAGTGTTGCTAACGTGACTGTAAACAAGTGTTGCTAACATGACTGTAAACAAGTGCAGCTAACGTGACTGTAAACAAGTGTTGCTAACGTGACTGTAAACAAGTGCAGCTAACGTGACTGTAAACAAGTGTTGCTAACGTGACTGTAAACAAGTGCAGCTAACGTGACTGTAAACAAGTGCAGCTAACGCGACTGTAAACAAGTGCAGCTAACGCGACTGTAAACAAGTGCAGCTAACGTGACTGTAAACAAGTGTTGCTAACATGACTGTAAACAAGTGTTGCTAACGTGACTGTAAACAAGTGTTGCTAACGTGACTGTAAACAAGTGTTGCTAACGTGACTGTAAACAAGTGCAGCTAACGTGACTGTAAACAAGTGCAGCTAACGTGACTGTAAACAAGTGTTGCTAACATGACTGTAAACAAGTGTTGCTAACGTGACTGTAAACAAGTGTTGCTAACGTGACTGTAAACAAGTGCAGCTAACGTGACTGTTAACAAGTGTTGCTAACGCGACTGTAAACAAGTGCAGCTAACGCGAATGTAAACAAGTGTTGCTAGCGTGACTGTAAACAAGTGCAGCTAACGCGAATGTAAACAAGTGCAGCTAACGCGAATGTAAACAAGTGCAGCTAACGTGACTGTAAACAAGTGCAGCTAACGCGAATGTAAACAAGTGTTGCTAGCGTGACTGTAAACAAGTGCAGCTAACGCGAATGTAAACAAGTGCAGCTAACGCGAATGTAAACAAGTGCAGCTAACGTGACTGTAAACAAGTGTTGCTAACGCGACTGTAAACAAGTGCAGCTAACGTGACTGTAAACAAGTGCAGCTAACGTGACTGTAAACAAGTGCAGCTAACGTGACTGTAAACAAGTGTTGCTAACGTGACTGTAAACAAGTGCAGCTAACGTGACTGTAAACAAGTGTTGCTAACGTGACTGTAAACAAGTGTTGCTAACGTGACTGTAAACAAGTGCCGCTAACGTGACTGTAAACAAGTGCAGCTAACGCGACTGTAAACAAGTGTTGCTAACGTGACTGTAAACAAGTGCAGCTAACGCGACTGTAAACAAGTGTTGCTAACGTGACTGTAAACAAGTGCAGCTAACGTTATGCGGAAGTACTGTTTAATAATAAAATAAACTTATGGCGCAGCTCCGTGAACACATACTACTGTTATATAAAGTCTGTGAAGGTCTCAGACACAGAGACACAGCTGCATTCAAGGAGAAGCACTTTACACAAAAAGCCGCTAGCTTAACTGCGTTAGCATCAAAGCCCTACAGCCTTTTTCGCCCGGCCTTTTTTCCCTCCGCAGGCCTGGACTGGTCTGAATGCCCCTAGCGTCTGAAATTTAGGGAATGTGCGTCAAGTACGCGTGGAAGCTGCGTTCAAGCGTTGGCAGTCCGAACGCCCCATAAGAGATTATTAGAGAACAGGCTCCCTGGAGGCCCCCTGGAGGCCCCCTGGAGCCCCCCTGAAGCACTGGCACTGACCACAGATAAACATTATTCCCAAACACACAGCGGGAATTTGATCTCGTTTATGGCCTTCATGAAACTCAAGCATTAGATTCTCACGCCTTTCAGACTTCAGAGAGAGACACATACACTCGTTTACACAGACACACACACACACACACACACACACACACACACACTCGTATCAGAGCGTGACGACACACATTCTACTCGTTGGTCACAGACCTGAAACATGACGCACATTCTCAGAGCTGAACCAAACTAAACATTCAAATCAATAATCACAGATATAATCATTGACAATTTTATCCTGGATTTGAACATTGTCAGAGAAGAAGCCTGTCTCACATTTTCAGGAAGACTGGTCCAGGTTTTAGCTTCATGAATCCATGAATCCTTCTGCACATGTGTCATGTTTACAAACACAAACTTTAAGATTTAATTTTGAGATTCTTACTGAAAGTTCAAACGTACGACTGGGAAGTGAAATGACACATGATTCTGCAAAAGTATTCATACTTCATACATAGGTAATACTGTCTGGAAACCCAACAATCCACCTGCATCACCTATGTCACTCTTCCCTGTCCCTGCTGAAGAAAAGCAGCCCCACAGCATGATACTACCACCCCCATATCTGACTCTGAGGATTCGCAGTGATCTCTGTCCACAGCACGATGCTCCCCCTCCCTCTCAGAAAGTGTCAGCCTCCTCTCTCCTCTGTCCTCTCTCCTCTGTCCTCTCTCCTCTGTCCTCTCTCCTCTGTCCTCTCTCCTCTGTCCTCTCTGCTCTCTCCTCCCTCCTCTGTCCTCTCTCCTCTGTCCTCCCTCCTCTGTCCTCTCTCCTCTGTCCTCCCTCCTCTGTCCTCTCTCCTCTGTCCTCTCTCCTTTGTCCTCTCTCCTCTCTCCTCCCTCCTCTGTCCTCTCTCCTCTGTCCTCCCTCCTCTGTCCTCTCTCCTCTGTCCTCCCTCCTCTGTCCTCTCTCCTCTCTCCTAACTCCTCTCTCCTCTCTCCTCCCTCTCCTCTGTCCTCTCTGCTCTCTCCTCCCTCCTCTGTCCTCTCTCCTCTGTCCTCCCTCCTCTGTCCTCTCTCCTCTGTCCTCCCTCCTCTGTCCTCTCTCCTCTGTCCTCTCTTCTCTGTCCTCTCTCCTCTGTCCTCCGTCCTCACTCCTCTCTCCTCTCCCCCCTCTCTCCTCTGCTCTCTCCTCATGTCTGATGTGTTCCACTTTAGAGAAAGCAGAGCTCAGTGAATTTTAACATTGATAAAACATTGTGTAAAGATGGAAACAGCAGGTTTGTGTTGTGTCATTCTCCCGTAGAGCTCATACCGCTGACTATCACTCAGCGCACGCTCCTGCAGCAGTATCAGAACACCCCAGTGTGACCCCAGCTTTATCAGCGCCACACACGCTCCTCACCCCCTCCCCCTCCCCCCAAGTGTCCTCTGCTTCCTCCACGGGCGCAGAGGCAGAAGCCCTGGACGGACGGGAGGATGGGAGACACACAACAATGGCAGGAAGTGACTTCAGATCGATGCAGATAGAGACGCAGCAAACATCCACTGACGAGATAAACAGGGAATATAGGGCTGCCAAAACATTACACACACAGAGACACACACAGACACACACACACACACAGACACACAGATACACACACACACACACACACACAGAGATACACACATACAGATACACGCACACACACAGAGACACACACAGACACACACACACACACACACACACAGAGATACACACACACACACACACACACAGACACACACACACACACAGAGACACACACACACAGAGAGATACACACACACATACACACACTGTAATTGTTAATGATTTTTTGTTTCTTTTCTTGTTTTATTCAGAACTTTGCGTTGTATTGTGTTTGATTGAAATGTGCTACACAGATAAACGTGCCTTACTGATGTGGGAGCAAAGGCTCACACTTCTGTGTGTAATCTGGAGAGTATCGCGTGACCTGCAGCTGTGAGAGCGGAGACTTCAGGGACACGTCTGAAACTGCTATAAAAAAAGAACTATGGGTCATGGATGTTTGGTGTATAGGTTTACAGCACCGAGGGTCAAGGTCAGGGTTTCTCCCTGGTCTCTTTCTGGTCTCTCTCTCTGGTCCTCATCCTCTGGTCTCTCTCTGGTCTCTCTCTCTGGTCCTCATCCTCTGGTCTCTCGCTAGTCTCTACATCTCTCTCTAGTCTTTCTCTGGTCTCTTTCTGGTCTCTCTCTGGTCTGCCTCTCTGGTTTCTCTCTCTGGTCTCTCTCTTTGGTTCTCATACTCTGGTCTCTCTCTCTAGTCTCTACGTCTCTCACTGGTCTTTATTTGGTCTCTTTCTGCTCTCTCTCTCTGGTCTGTCTCTCTGGTAGCTACATCTCTCTCTGGTTTTTCTCTGGTCTCTTTCTGGTCGCTCTCTCTGATCTCTCTCTCCGGTTTCTCCCTCATCTCTTTAAAGAGAGTTCTATACAACAGAAAGAGTCTCAAGAAAGTAAAACAATCTTCATCTCATGAAAAAACACATATTTTATTTTACATATTTTGCATCTTTAAAAGAAAGAACCCTGTGAGTCACTATTTGATGTCTTGGCCAAAACGTGGCCTATCGCTGCTGATGCTAGTGGTTAGAGCTGTACCTGTGATAAGACCACTCTGCCTGATTGGTCAGTCCTTATATGGTCATATCTGGATTTACAAAGACAATAGCACATATAAACATCAGGATCACAAAGAAACCACAGATTCCCAAAACACTGAGTATGAGACAAACTGTTACTGAGCTAGAGGAGTTCACTTTTACATGGAAGTCAATGGGAGGCAGAGAGAGGAGTCAAACTTCACCATGAGCACTTCCCTGTGGGCTTCATTGAGCTAGTATGTTAGCATTGGTCTCTGATGTCTGTGATGCCATGAGGTCAGGGCTTCAGCTTCTGTTGTGGTGGAGGGAAAGCCACTCTCTTCCTGTTCACTCACCATCTGTGTCAGCTCCACACCACTACGGCTTCCTGTCGCTCACCCCCTTCCTCACCTCTGGTTAGTCTCTCTCTCTGGTCTCTCTCTGGTCTCTCTCTGGTCTCTCTCTCTGGTCTCTCTCTGGTCTCTCTCTGGTCTCCCTCTGGTCTCTCTCTCTGGTCTCTCTCTGGTCTCTCTCTGGTTTCTCTCTCTGGTCTCTCTCTGGTCTCTCTCTGGTGTATCTCTCTGGTGTCTCTCTCTGGTGTCTCTCTCTGGTCTCTCTCTGGTCTCTCTCTCTGGTCTCTCTCTCTGGTCTCTCTCTGGTCTCTCTCTGGTTTCTCTCTCTGGTCTCTCTCTGGTGTATCTCTCTGGTGTCTCTCTCTGGTGTCTCTCTCTGGTGTCTCTCTCTGGTCTCTCTCTGGTCTCTCTCTCTGATCTTTCTGGTGTCTCTCTGGTGTCTCTCTGGTCTCTTCCTGGTCTCTCTCTCTGGTGTCTCTTTCTGGTCTCTCTCTCTGGCCTCTCTGATCTCTCTCTGGTCTCTCTCTGATCTCTCTCTGGTCTCTCTCTGATCTCTCTCTGGTCTCTCTCTGGTCTCTCTCTGGTCATTCTCTGGTCACTCTTTGGTCTCTCTCTGGTCTCTCTCTGGTCTCTCACTGATCTCTCTCTGGTGTCTCTCTGGTCTCTTCCTGGTCTCTCTCTCTGGCCTCTCTGATCTCTCTCTGGTGTCTCTCTGGTCTCTTTCTGGTCTCTCTCTCTGGTCTCTCTCTGGTGTGTGTGTGTGTGTAGTACACTCTGTAATATTGATACTTTGTGTTTCTCTCCTGCACAAATACAAACAGATTGCATGTGCTGGTGTAATCCTGTGGCTGAGGTGGAGGTCTTTAGAGGATTTGGGAGCAGACTCTAATCTTCCCCCTCTATCCCCCTCTCTACCCCTCTATCCCCCTCTCTTCCCCTTCTCTTCCCCATCTCCTCACACACATGTTCACTGATCAGGGGCCACTGAGGAGGGGAGACGTCCTTTCGGTCATTACCCAAAGCTCATTGTGTGAGGTGAGAGAGGACGAAGAGCTCTTACTGCAGCTGCTGCTCCCTCAAATATTCTGAATCATTTACAGTTTTTTCCTGTTGCTTTAACACATTTCTCAAAATGTCGCTCATAGTCCCAAAACTCCACACACAAGAGAACCTGACACAACACTGGGACATAAACCAGACACATCTTTGTCAAAATGAAGCTCCATTATCAAAACTCAAACTTTTCTCTCAAAAATAAACAATAATTTGTCAAAATGAAACTCTGAGGACAAAATTACACACACTTGCATCACGTGAACACACTTTCAGATTGGAAGCAACACACTACAGTACTTTATATAAAACTGCAGTCAGTTAGTTTTCTGTGAAGCTCAATGGAACTGTTTTGGTTCTCGTAGTACTAAAAGGTTATAAATAATATCAACTCAATACTTTACATCACAGTACTACAGTATACTTTACATAAATGCAAAAACTCTAATGTAAAACTAGGAAATTGTACATGAGTGGATTATGGATCATGTTCCTGCTGTTGGTGAACACCTGTGGAGCACCTTGAGAAGGTTCTAGTCATTCTGTAGAAATAGGCAACCACAAATTGTTACTATAGGTTGAGTTCTTGTTTTTGTTTTTTTACAGTACTGTATACTGTACACAGTACTGTGACATCTCAACAGTACAGTACTATGCACTTTACTGTATTGTACTGTATGTTTCACAAAACTACCATTTTTCAAAAGGAGCAATTGCCAAATTGCAATACAGTACATGTGATACAGTACAGTACTGTAAATACTGTAGATACAGTCTGCAGTAGAGTTACAGTACATGTGATACAGTACTGCAAATACTGTAGATACAGTCTGCAGTAGAGTTACAGTACATGTGATACAGTACTGCAAATACTGTAGATACAGTCTGCAGTAGAGTTACAGTACATGTGATACACTACAGTACTGTAAATACTGTAGATACAGTCTGCAGTAGAGTTACAGTACATGTGATACAGTACTGCAAATACTGTAGATACAGTCTGCAGTAGATAGTTACAGTACATGTGATACAGTAAAGTACTGCAAATACTGTAGATACAGTCTGACTCTGCAGTAGAGAGTTACAGTACATGTTGGAGACATGTTTCCATCTGAAGGTCCTGATGCTGCAGCTGTGTCTGGACTCTCTCTTCTCTCAGTGTGAGGCCAGGATTGATCACAAAAGTTGCTCTAATGTCAGAAATATCTTCAACCACAACTTTCTCCTCGTCTTCCTCTTCCTCTCTCTTGCTCTTCCTGCCTTCAAACTTTAAAAGTTCAGAAAATGGCTAAACTGAGGCCTATTTGTGTCTGGCTGATGTGTGTCGCGTTTTGTATTTCAGCGTTTTCAAGTGTGTGTCTCAGTGTTTTCTGTCACACAGTGTGTTTTGTATTTTGAATAGATGTGTTTTCCCAATGAAAACATAGGATTGCATTTATGAACACAGTGTCTTATGTATGACACAGTGTGTAGTGAGCAAGAGAAAGTGTGTTGCAAAAAGAGAAAGTGTGTTGCAAAAAGAGAAAGTGTGTTGTAGAAATGAAAGGAAAGTGTAAAGCAGTACTTTTGTTTAAGGAATGGGTTAGACTGTGTTTTAAGTTCAGTACAAAAGTTTCAGGTTCTGTAACTTTGGTCTAAGCGTGTGTCTATAGTGTTGAAGCAACAGGAAAAAACTGTAATCTTAAATAAAAGTGGTGAAATATGTCAGATTTCTATTGATCTAAATGGGACCTGTTACATTGACTGTTCTAGGAGATACACTAGCTTCAGAATTCTGGGAATCCTAGCATTAAACACATCAGTCATTCTTCCAAAGCTAACACCAGGAGCGGCAGGAGGAGGAGGGGAGGGAGAGGAGGGAGGGGAGGGAAAGCAGGGAGAGAAGGGAGGGGAGGGCGGGAGGCGTCTGAATGATGCTGTGGGAACGTGTCCGGTTCAGATGCTAATGGCTGGAGCTGAAAGAGCAGGAGGAACAGGTGTCAGAGGAAGTGTTGAAACACAGACTGCATTCAGCGTCAGAGACTCTCTGTCTCAGGGACAGAGGCAGAGGCAGAGACAGAGACAGAGACAGAGACAGAGGCAGAGGCAGAGGCAGAGGCAGAGACAGAGACAGAGACAGAGACAGAGGCAGAGACAGAGACAGAGACAGAGGCAGAGGCAGAGACAGAGACAGAGACAGAGGCAGAGGCAGAGACAGAGACAGAGACAGAGGCAGAGGCAGAGACAGAGACAGAGACAGAGACAGAGACAGAGACAGAGGCAGAGGCAGAGGCAGAGGCAGAGACAGAGACAGAGACAGAGACAGAGGCAGAGGCAGAGGCAGAGACAGAGACAGAGACAGAGACAGAGGCAGAGGCAGAGGCAGAGACAGAGGCAGAGGCAGAGGCAGAGGCAGAGGCAGAAGCAGAGGCAGAGTCAGCTCAGATCAGGATCATCCAGAAAAGTGATTCAGAAAAACTGATCCACACATTTGTCTCCTCAAGGATCTTGATAAAGAGGGAGCACATCCATCCAGTGTTAAAACCACTGACTTCCTGATAATAGAACATTAAACATCTTTTTCTCTGCCACTTAACGTGGAGGTAGTAGGGAGCCGTGCCGTGGTGCGGTGGTTAGCACTTGTGCTTCACAATAGTGTATTTCCAGACGCTGGTCATGGTACTGTTCCAAACAAACAACATTTGGGCGAGAAACAAACTGAACTGAACATCTTTGAATCATTTATTGTTTACACAATCGAATACAAAAGAGCTGGTGATTGTCTTTCTAATAAAATAGAAATATGTAAAAATCAGCAAGTTTAGGTCAAAACAATAAAGTGAGTAATAAAACAAACACATTTCTTATTTTGTAATACAAATAAATCCAAAGTTTAAATGAGGTTCACAGCAGAGATCAAAGTGAAAGTGCTTCCTATAAAGACTGAACCCGTAAATATAAACATAAAGACTGTGTGTGGTGCTACACACACTTCGACTGATACACACCTCTGACAATCGTTCACAATGAGCAAAATAATGAAGTCACTTCAGATTGCACCGTAAAAAAACAAACAAAGATCAGAGCAGCTCAGACAGAGTCTGGTGTCCTTCATACGTCACTCAGAGAGGAACCACGCACTGCAACTTCACACACTCATCTTTGGAGATACTCTGACTGCTCTGATGGCGCCCCTGTGTGGCCACCTGCAGTACTGACCCCATACTGCAGACTGAACTCGGATTGGATTTATGCTGTGAAGAAAAGTGGATACGTCTTGGCAAATAGTGACTGTAGTAATGGTTACTCTCAGACCGCCTCAGAGCCTCTCTCCACAGACACAGATGATCAGGTCTTCAGAGCAGCAGAGGTTTCTCCTGCACAGAGTAAAGCCCTGTTTCCACCAGCCCTACTCAGCTCGGCTCAGCTCTACCTGGTTGTTTCCTAAACGCTTTAGAATCTGGTACCACAACAAACCAAGATCCAGCACCAGTCACTGTCAGTTAGAGCACTTCAGTACCAGCTCGGCCTGGATAGAACCAGGACCAAGAGGGACTAAAGAAAGACCTGGTACTGGACCAGAGGAAACACTCGCAATCAGGGTAGAGTAGAGTAGAGTAGAGTAGAGTAGAGTAGAGTAGAGTAGAGTAGAGTAGAGTAGAGTAGAGTAGAGTAGAGTAGAGTAGAGTAGAGTAGAGTAGATCTGGTGGAAACAGGGCGTATCTACAGTATTAACTACAGGTATGTGTCCTGCTCTGTGCTGCTGAGGCTGAGGTTAGAGTTCTGCTCTGTGTGAGCTCTGAGGTTAGAGCTCTCATCCTCCTCTCTCTCTTCCTCCCTCTCTGCTACTTCCTCTCTCTCCACCTCCTTCTTGGATGGTTCTTCCTTCTCCTTCTTGGACCTCCTCTTGTTGCGTTTCTCCTCCGTCGGTGTGGCAGCGGTGATGGGAGACTCCACGATGATGGTGGGCCTCTCCTTCAGGTCCTGGCGGCTGTGAGGCTCCGTGGCCATGACTGCCCTGGCGCCGTGCATTCTGGGAGGTGACTGACAGAGCAGCTCTCCTCGAGACTCCATCCACCTCCGCAGCTGAGCCCTGTGCTCCTTCTCGATCTCCTTCTCAGACACCGACAGCTCAAGCACCTGCAGAGGAGGAGGAGGATGATTTGTTGTTGTTCTCCATCTGCAGTAAAACAACATTGGAAACATGTGCAGAAGTCCCCAGTGTTCACAAGTACAAGTAAAAAAATAAAACATGCTTAAATGTAACATCTTCTGTCAGATTGGAACATGGCTTTTCCAAGGGTTAGAAGAATCATGGATTATCCTAAGAGCTGGATTTAAGTCTGGATTCATAAAGAACCTCCAGAACAGGCTGGTCTCCCTTCTCTGGTCTCTTTCTCCGGTCTCTCTCTCTCTGGTCTCTCTCTCTCTCTGGTCTCTCTCTGGTTTCAGCTCATGTGTCCTGGTAACGTGTGACATCACCTGGTTGACGAGGAAGCCCTCCTGCATGTACTGTGGTGGGATGTCTTTGAGCAGCTGCATGGTTTCGTAGAGGCCTGGACACGCCTTCAGTTTGTGCGGGGATCCCAGCGTGCACCTCAGAAGAACCAAGCCCACGCGGAACAAAATCTTCACTCCTGGAAGTAGAAAGTAGGAAAACTTTTTTTATATAGCGCATTTTAACAGACCCTGGTCACCCAAAGCACTGTTCGTGAAGAAAAGAAGATATTAAGATGGCTTGGTTTATTTTTCCATGATTTAGAATGAAAAAAATTCTCTGGTCTCTCTCTCTCTCTCTTTCTCTCTGGTCTCTCTCTCTCTCTCTCCCTCTCTCTGGTCTCTCCCTCCCTCTGGTCTCTCCCTCTCTCTGGTCTCTCCCTCCCTCTGGTCTCTCCCTCCCTCTGGTCTCTCCCTCCCTCTGGTCTCTCCCTCCCTCTGGTCTCTCCCTCCCTCTGGTCTCTCCCTCCTTCTGGTCTCTCCCTCCTTCTGGTCTCTCCCTCCTTCTGGTCTCTCCCTCCTTCTGGTCTCTCCCTCCCTCTGGTCTCTCCCTCCCTCTGGTCTCTCCCTCCCTCTGGTCTCTCCCTCCCTCTGGTCTCTCTCTCCCTCTGGTCTCTCCCTCTGGTCTCTCCCTCTGGTCTCTCCCTCTGGTCTCTCCCTCTGGTCTCTCCCTCTGGTCTCTCGCTATCTCTGGTCTCTCACCTTCACAGAGGAACATGTCCCAGACCCTCAGGACAGAGGCCCAGGGCAGGGTCCTGGAGAAGGCACACATGAACCACTCTGTCATGTAGAGGACGGGGCCCAGCTTCTGCAGCTCCAGGTGTCTGTGAGCCGCAGGACACACCTTCTTCAGCAGAGCGTGGAGGATCTCCCCGTCCAGCTGCAGCGCCTCCTGCAGGAGACACAGATATTACGTGTCAAATAGCGACTTACAAGGCACTTTCTTACAATTATTCAAACTATAACTAACTATAACTTAACTATATAAGTTTTTCTCTAGATCATAGACTGTATATCAGGAGTGGACTGATCGAATGTGACATCACCAAAGTGTGACATCACCACAGTATTAGTCTTAAAGCAGAACAGGCTGATGGGAGCATCGCAACAAGGGCAGACGTGTTGCCAAGACATCCCTCAGCATGAAGCAAACAGGCAGAACTAATGGCCAAATAATTTATCAGAAAAATCAGCTTCTTCTGCATTAAGGCTAACACTGTGGTGATGTCATATTGTGGTGATGTCACACTGTGGTGATGTCACACTGTGCCAATGCAAGTGTGGGTGGGTCTTGACTACAAAAAGGTTCCATGAGCATGCGCCAACATCTTTGCAATTTCACTCCTTGTCGGTGGGGGTGTACCTGGAAAGAGAATTTCACCCCCATACAATGCTTTTGTATGGAATCTTCTTTCCTCTCAAAAACGTCTGTACAGTATGGACCAGTCTAGTTGAATCACAGTCAACTTTAGAATGCACTCGTTAAATGAATGGGGCTAGTGCAGCTAATGTGCGCATATGTGTTTAGTCACATTTTCCTGCCCCGCAGCCATTTTGAAAAAGTCCACAGAAGGCAAAAGTGGTGGCACTACGTCCGTTATTATTTACAGTAAGAGACACACTGATGATGTCACACTGTGGTGATGTCACACTGTGGTGATGTCACACTGTGGTGTGCCCTTTATAAAGTCACTTTACTGCCCATCATACGTCACTTTACTTCACTGTACTGCTGTCACCTTACATTGTGTGCACCATGTGCACTTGTATATTGTAAATAGTAACTGTAACTCTATTTTAAATTTAAATTTATTCTTTAGAAGTGTTTTTTATTCTTATTTTTATTATCTCTTTTTGACTGTTGCACTGAGCCAAAGCAATTTCCAAGTCTGTGACCTCCCGTTACTTACGTTGGCAATAAAAATGATTCTGATTCTGATTCTGATTCTGATGTCACACTCACCAAGCCTTTGCTGTAGTAACCTGGGAGATACTTCTCACAGATCTGAACCAGGACCCAAAATGCATCCTGAAGGAACATAAAGATTAGGTTTAGGTTCAGATCAAATGGGCTGAGCATCAATATCACCTCCCAGAGCCAAAGGGATGGCTTTTAGTTTCTATGGCTGGGAGTGTGTCTGAGAGTTCTGGTCTGTGTGTCTGGGAGTTGTAGTCAGCGTGGGTCTGGGAGTTGTGGGTCTGGGAGTTGTAGTCAGCGTGGGTCTGGGAGTTGTGGTCAGCGTGTCTGGGAGTTGTAGTCCATGTGTCTGAGAGTTGTAGTCCATGTGTCTGGGTATTGTGGTGCAGTGTTAGCTAGGACCTCAGCGGGCATGTGCATCAGGAGCACAGCAGCGACTGGAGCCTGAGCCTGACAGTAGCCCTCCTCAGGTCTGTGCAGAGTGTACGCCTTCAGCACCCGGAGCAAATCCTGCTGCCTGCAGAGAGGGAGGAGCTAACACAGAGAGCTGACAAACGAGATAACACAGAGAGCCTAACACAGAGAGCTAACACACAATCTCTAACAAATGAGCTAACATATAAACTAACAGAGATCTAACACCACAAGATAACACAAAGAGCACTGAAGCCTAGTTTATACTCGCGCAGAGCTTACGGAGGCGACGTGACGTCACTTGCGCAACGCGTTGGTCACCGCAAGGCCCTTACGTCGCCTGCCGCGCAGCATCAAAATTTTCTAACTACGTAAGGGTCGCCGCAAGGAATCTCCGCTGTGATTGGTCCGTGTGTGTGTATTGGAAGGAAGCATGAAGCGGCTGCAGCAGGAGCATGGACGAGGCACTATGGAGCAGAGAGCTTTGTGCTTCGAAGGAAAAGCAGTTTGGGCTCAGAGCCTGATATACAGGAGACTGTGGACTATCTAACATATATATAACTTATATCTAACATATATATAACTTATAAACTGTGCAGTCGTTTGTTTTGCACTGTTCCTGTCTTCGTTTGAATCGTAGCTGCGTTTGTTGCTTTCCTCCTGCACTTGTAAATCGTTCATGTTTGTCTCAGATATTTACCACTATTATTGTTTTGCTGTTTGTGCTGAAAACTATTTAATAATAACTATGTTTCCAACAAGAACTGTGTCTTTATTCACAGCATCACAGTTGAAATGACTTATAAAATAATGAATCCATAAAACTATCACATAAACCTACAGTAGAAACACGTGTAATGAGCTCAAACAGCTTTGTTTGCTATTGTTGTTCTGAAGAGGACAAAGTAGCAGCGTAAATGGGACCGCTCCTGTGAGATCGCCCTCATGTGGTTTGTTGTGGGATTACAACATTCTCCTCAAAACTCCGTAAGGGGAACGCGCCAGTATAACATCAATTGTGCTTACGTAGGTCCACCGCAACCGCCAACGTAAGCCACGCCGCGCAAGTATACACTAGGCTTAACAGAGAGAGCTAACACAGAGAGCGTACCCATGGCCCCCTCGTGCGGAGAACATCTGGTGGAATGGAAACTGTCGGTGGAGGTCTCTCTCAATGACGTCGACCCACTTGGGATCGCCCGGCTGCTCGTCCAGTTCCTGCAGGTCATCAGCAGTGACTACATCTCATCTTCAAACTCAAACAAACACAAAGGAAAACAAACCTGAAATTTCCCTTTGTTTTGTTCCCTTTTTACTTTTCCCCCAGAGAGATAGAGCCAGGCTCTGCCCCGCAGCGACAGCGGGATCCCCTTCTGACAGCGCTCCTTTATCTGGAAATCACATTCTTAATCAAAGCACGATTATGAGCCGGACACAGAGCGCTAACACACAAGCTAACAAAGAGCTAACACGCGAGCTATCTTCAGCTCAAAGTATGATTCTGAGCAGAACGATACTAACAAGAATGAGACCAACCTTCTTGTGCTTCTTGGACATCCACTTGTCCCAGTTGCTCAGCATGTCCAGCCATTTAGCCTCTCGCAGCCTCAGCACCTCGATGGGGACCTCCTCAACACTGTACATAAGAACCAAGAATACAATTTACTTATTTATCGCCCTAAATCACAACCGCAGTCATTTAAAAGTTGTGAATTCACCAGCAACAGATCAGAGAACAAAACAGTTAAAACACAGGAATGATAACAAACAGAGACATTGGTCCATAGGAAGTGCAATCATCTGTCTTCCACATATTACATTACACTTTGATACTATAGCTTTTAATAATTGTATTCACTTTTAATGCAGCCCACAGAAACGACCAGGTCTCTGTCTGAAGGATGTGTAATGTGTGGACGCATGTTGGATAAACTATGGCTACATCCGAAATTTACAAAACTACCTCCTTCCTTGTTCTTATAGCTGCTTTTTGTCTTGTTTCTTTATCAGTTTAAGTTATTTTAGAAGTGCTTCTTTATTATGCTAAAGTTAGAGATTTTATTTAAATTTATTGTAGTATAGAGGGATTGGTAGTTGTGCTATGTGCGTCTCATTCTTACTGTTCTGTAACTGGTGATGCAACACTGACATTTCCCCACTGTGGGACAAATAAAAATAAAATCTTTCTGTTGATGGTTGACCTTCTGTAGAGGTCTTAATGAGCTGGAAGCAGATGGGAACAGAGCACCTTCTACTCGCGCTTCTGTCTAAGTAAGTCTGAGTTATCCATCTTCTTTTCGTGGCATGAGTTTGGTGTCTTGAGTGAGGTCTGAACTTCAAAAATAGTCCCAGTGTTACCACCCCCATGAGCAGGAGGCGGCACTTCCTTCTGGAAAGCAATCCACCAGAGAATAACAGGAAGTGGCAGCTGCATTCACCGACAACTGAATCAATTGAGCGTTTCATAAGTGGTGTTCCAATAAACACTCACAAAGTCGAGGTTGTGCTTAAGTCATATTCAATACAAAAATAAGCAAATAATTGACTGGAAAAATTAGAATCTACTTTTTTCAAGTACTGACAGCACTGATATAACATGAGTCAAACCAGATCAGAGCATATTTAATAGGTTGTTTGCAAAAATACAGAAGTGACATTAGAAACCAAGCAGTTATGTGAACGATGGATACAATTTAGTGCAATACAAATTAAGTTGGAACACCCACACCCCACACAATATCCTATTATTATTATTATCTATGTTGCAAAAGCAGTATGATTGTGAAACCAAAATGTGTGTTGTGAACCCTTCATGTGGCATCAATACCAGCCAGAGGTCTGTACCAGATGTCAGCCTGTATGGTACCTGTACAGTGTATGTTTACCTTTGTGCTGAGTTCTGCTGGGACCCCCCGGTGAAGCCGTACCGGTCCACTGGACTCTCTTCGACCCCGTTTCCATTCACCTCCAACTCTGTCCCATATTTACCAAGATCCGTCCTGTTCTGCACGTCCTGCCCATTGCTCCGCTCGACTTTGGCCATTTAAACTACATTTAAACTGCTTTTAAACTACATTTAAACTGCTTTTAAACTGCATTTAAACTGCTTTTAAACTACATTTAAACTGCTTTTAAACTACATTTAAACTGCTTTTAAACTACATTTAAACTGCTTTTAAACTACATTTAAACTGCTTTTAAACTGCATTTAAACTGCATTTAAACTACATTTACCCCGTAGGAAGCGGCCGGTCAGGTGTGACTGCTCACATCACTCATCCCCAGATAATAACCAGGATAAATAATAATTAGGTTAAATGTAATCTGTCAGCAGCTAGCGTTAGCACTGCTGCTAACATCTGTCCCCTTCCTACAGCTGCCGTAGACCGCAGATAACTTCATTCTAACACCGGAATAGCTTGATATATTTGCATAAACTGGTGGTAAACGTAAACCCGCCTCTTAACGATCCAAAGAAGAAGCTGCTGAGCGTCTTTTGAAACTATATTAGTAATCTGTGCTTGTGAGAGCTAACGGAGGCTAGCGTTAGCATGCTAGTCAGCTGACAGTGTACATCCTGATTATAAATATGTGCTTTAAACGTGTGGGCGGTGAAAGGGCTGAAGAAGCAGCTCTCTGTCGACATCTACTGCTCACAAACACCAGGACCCGGCCAGACCAGACCAGACCAGGACACACGGGACAACTGTCTCTGGAATGTCCCACTCTGTTATTACACTTTCAGAGACCTTTACTCAGCAGCTCCTAAATACCTCCTCCAGTCCAGTGTCCCGCGACCACTTGAAACCTGTTTTAGTTACAGAATAATAATGTTCTAATTGTACAGTCTGACAGCAGCGAGGAGGACTCAGCAGGGTCTGAGCCCATGTTATAGTGTAACTGCATCACATCGGTGGATGTGCGTTTGTTGCTTAAAGACTTGTTGACCGTTTTGTCATTGCGTCTTCAAGTACCGCAATGTATTCTCCCTTAAGCCTGTTTTCACCAACTCCATTCTAGAGCAGAGCCCTGTAGAGTAGTGTAGGGCGGCAGGGTTGGTGGAAACAGCGCTTTTGACCACCTCAGGACCAGCTTGTCTTGATAGAATCAGACCAAACAGGGACTAAAGAAGGACCTGGTACTGTTCAATCAGGGAGATGAGAGCAGATCATGTAAAAACAGGTGGAAGTTATTCAAAAACAGTATTCCAAGCACATTTATTACTTTCTACCAAACTTCCCTATTGTTGTTTTAAAATAAACATGAATTTTAACAAGCCTTTTGAAAAAACTATTGAACAGGAAGACTCAAAAACATAGAATTATAATACGAGAGTCTTTATTAAATATTTTACATGTTATATATTATGTACATGAATTAGACCTGCATTGTTAGACTTTTTCTCACATAGACATTACTTGAGCAGACAACAGAAGCACCAGGAGACGGGCAGGCTTTGAACACACACAAACACACAGACAGACAGAGCTTGCAGCGGCAGGAAAGGCCTCGATCATGGACAAGCTTTTAAGGCTGGATCTGAGCTCACACACTTTAATATTGTTGAGCCTTTGTTAACATTCTAATGACGATGGCTCTACTCACAGGTAGATGCAGGGAACATGAGATATTAATGCAAAACTGAATGGCCATGATGAGATGAGAAGACAATAAGGCGGCCTGGGGCTCTGCACAGCCCCAAAAGAAACACTGAGGATATGGCTTTCTTTCTTTGGATCAGACATGATAAACCATGAACAAATGAACACAAAAGGAGTTTGATCTGGTTTGGACAAACGTGCAGCTTTTACAAACACAAAGCTGACAGTGATTCACTTTGAAACCATAATGAACAGTGTGAAATGTTGTCTCTTTGGTGCTTCATTTAAGACTAAATAAAGTAGGTTAGCTTAGAGTTGTTAAATAATGAACAACAAGAGACAAAGACAGAGAGAGATAACCTGCTGGACTATTAACCCCATCTGTGAATAAACCACAGCAGCTGTTTTAACACTTGTGCTATCCTCGGGTTTCCTAATTGACCAGTCATTTAGAGCCTAATTTAGTGTATTTCTCTTCTACTTTCAATCACTGTGGCTGGTCAACATACAGCCCTCACCTGAATATAAGCCTCAGGTTCCTGTTGTGATGTCACACATCAACAGCTGATGAAAACAAAGCAGATGAATATTTATGGATGAGGAGTTTTAAATGTCGACTGTAATCGACAAATCTGTAAATAACAAAACACTTTGAGAATGCAAACAATAACTGTAAGTCCCTTTCTTTAACAAATAACTCAGCTGCCCACAGCACTAATCAAAATAAAGACATATACATACATTAGCTGCATCTCTCTATAAGCTGCAGGAGGCTAAGGCCCCATTTAGACAGATCGGCCGCAGCGGATCTGTTCTGTTCCTCTCTGGAGACCGTTTCTCAATGTTCACGTTTTCACCTGAAACACAGTCTCCGTGTGAACAAAAGGCCAAACCGATACCAACTCGAACGTTTTACTGTCGCAGCGTCTCTCCGTCCAAATGGCCCCTTGTAGTCCAGCAGGAACTGAATCAGATCCTTCACACAACACTCAGATACTTTAAAAAGCAGAGCTGAAGGCGACATAAAAATAACCATTGTGTAAAACTGACGCCTGACCACTCACTGCAATAGAAAGCATTCACAGACTAAGGTGCAACAACAGACGTTAAATACATTCATTAAATCCTCATGTTCTCAGCAAAACATTCATATTGTTCTTTGAACTCTCCAGGAAATCCATAATCCATGTTTGTGTTCACGGATCATCAAATTGTAACATATTCTCAAACCAAATAAACAACATATTTACAACATATGGAGATGTTTGTACCGACAGATCCACCAGCCTGAAGACCTGATCCACGGGGGTCACACCGAGGTCTTCTTACAACAAAACCTCCTGAAGACCCAGGTTTCATATCCCTGATCACATGTGCAAACGAGAGAAGAGACCAGCGACCAGAGAGAGAGACCTGAGAGAGACCAGAGAGAAGAGCCTCAGCAGCTGCAGGAGGTTCTATCACCAACGCCTCCACATCAGGAACAACACAAGCTTCAAAGAGTCTATGGAACAGTTCCTCTTTAAATGAAAATAGAGACGTATCTGAGCAGGAGAAACCCTAGATGAGGAGAAACCCTGGTTGAGGAGAAACCCTGGATGAGCTTGTGGTGCAGAGATCTTTGGAAGAACTGGAAGATCATGGTTCAGTCCGTGTACTCAGCCACGATGGACAGCAGAACCGTGATGTCGTCAGGTTTCCCGCCTTCAGAGCAGAATTAACACATATCAACCAACAGCTACTTTACACATTTATTTTTATCGCAGGATTATGTTGAGAGAGATCAGAGAGAGAACCAAAAGATGAGAAAAAAGATAAGAAAGAGACCAGAGAGGGACCCAAGAGAGAGCAGAAACCCAAGAGAGACCAGAGACACAGACCAGAGAGAGAGCAGAGAAAGACTAGAGAGAGAGAGACCCAATAGAGGCCAGAGAGAGAGAGAGAGACCCAAGAGAGGCCAGATAGAGACCAGAGAGAGAGGGATAGAGACCCAAGAGAGAGAGAGAGAGACCCAAGAGAGGCCAGTGAGAGAGCGGAGAGAAAGAGACCGAAGAGACCAGAGAAGTAAGATTCCAAACAGTGGAGTCCGAAAGCGTGTTGTAACAAACCTCTGACGTTGAGGCCATTGTCGCAGGCGAACTGTGCGAACGGAGACATGTAGAGCGGGTCGTAGGCGAGGTCATGGGCCTGCTGCGCGATGCTCTGCGCCGTCTGTAGCACGCTCTCATAGTTACTGTTCTGAAACACACGGTACACATCTGCATGAAGCGTTTGGAATCAGGACTTTATAACGGTCTGTACCTTGAGTTTCCGCAGTTCCATGAGGATCATGTGATCAGGCATGTTGTCAAACAGACCGTCTGTGGCCGTCAGGATGATGTCACCGAGCTCCACGTCAAAGGACGAGCTGTCGGCGGCATCAGGGCTGGATCCAAACACAGAGGAGCCATAAAAGAATGAGCCCAGCCCACTCCACCAGACCCTCCCCAGAGCCACGCTCTCCTCCAGGGCCACACCCAGAGTGCACAAATACAGGCCTTGAACCCTCTCATGTGTCCCAGAGCCTCACATAAACACTATTTGCCTGCTCTTCCTCCGTCTCTCTGCTGTTCACATAAACACACGGAGGCAGGAATGTGTGCTTGATTAACTGCTCTGTAGGTCAACAGCAGATATCGGCCGCAAAGTTCAGAGAGCTTTGATAAAGGCAGTGTCTTCTGTGTCTGCAGGTTCTCTATGTGTCTGTTCCAGTGTGACCAGTGGAAGACGTACCTGTCGCTCAGCAACACCCCCTCTGAGCCTGGGGGGGCGATGGAGAGCTGGTAGGGTGTGTTGAAGTAGTGCTGCTGCTCATCAGAGCGGTGCACCACCTCCCCCCCGCGCACCACCAGGAAACCCGAGTCTCCGAGGTTACAGGCGTGTAGGCGGCGACCACGGCGATCCAGGACCACAATACACGCTGTGCTGCTGCCTGCAAGGAACCAGGAAGTACCAGCACATAAGTCCTGAAGTCTTCTCACATTTGTCCTAACCCTAACCTTCTAGAGGTCTAGACCAGGACTAATGTCTAGAGCACAGGTGTCAAAGTCAAGGCCCGGGGGCCAGATCCGGCCCGCGAGACCATTTCCAGTGGCCCCTGAGATGATTTTAAATTATTATATTAAATAGCAGCATTGACGGTATTAGGCGACAATGGCATGTTATCCATTTCTAATTTTCTCAAGAATACCATAAAATTTAATTCCATAAGAAATTTTAAGCCAACGTGTAATTAGAAGATAGTTGTTATGCTATGTTTTTACGAATCTTCAACTACATTTCAAGGAGGCTTTCCCAATTTGTTAGTAAAAAAACGCCCTCTCCACTTTTTGAACAAAACTCTCTGGTCTTATTTGACGAGCACGAATCACCAGAATGATTGACAACTGGGAGGACCAATAGTCTGATGATCCACCCGGAAGTAGAAAATCTTCACATTAACCTTCAATATTCGGTCCAGTTTTGGTCCAGTCCACAGGAACTGAACTAAATCTATTCAAAAAAGAATATCCAGTCTGACTAATGTGAAACAAGTCATTTATATAGATACCTTCATATTATAAAAAGTATAAAAAATGAAACCCACTTCTTCTTTCGGCCCCTGAGCGGCCCTTTAATTTTTTTTCCGGCCCTCAACCAAAATAAGTTTGACACCCCTGGTCTAGAGGGTCAAGTCCTGGTTTCTGTAAACTACGTACACTGTCTGCGGTTGTGCATGTGTCCAAGGTTTTGCGTGTATGTGTCCAATATTGTGAGTCCTCACCCAGCAGAGGCAGTTTGTTCTGCAGCATCTCGAAGTAGCCCGAGGTCAGGATGCCCACTGGGTTGTTGGGGGAGAAGCGTCCCTCCCTCACCAGGCGCTCGCAGGTTTTCATGAGGGTCGCAGAGAACTGGGAGGGGTCCACACCATAGTCCCTCCACCCCCCCACACCATCCGCCACCCCTGCAGAGAGAGACTGTGAGACCAGAGGAGAGACACCAGGGGTTGAATCAGAGGAGAGCGACCCCCACTCCATCTGGCGCCCTCACAGAGAGAGAGAGAGACAGAGAGACAAGAGGAGAGAGACCAGGAGAGGAACCAGAGGAGAGAGACCCCCACACCATGTGCCACCCCTGCACAGAGAGACCAGGAGATGAACCAGATGAGAGAGACCAGTTATTCAGGTAAGGGAGTCTCAACCTAGTTTGCCCTAGTTTATTTTTTGATGAGACTTTGTGAACAGTGTCATCACTGCTCATGTACGAGTGACTCTCTGTAGTTCAGTTCAACATTAATTTTAATGTTGTTTCTGTGACAGGAGTGATGGTTACCATAGCAACACTGTTATTTTAGCAGGTAGCATTAGCCTCTCGTTAGTGATATTCACCAGTTTTAGCTCTTACTGAAATTGAATAAAACTTTATTAATGACATTTTAATAAATGTGGAGAATATTTCTCAGAATTACATTGTTTTGATCCGTTTGTGTTGTAGCAGGTTCCACAGCTCTGAAAGGTGTAATAACCTGTACCATAATAATGACTGTATTCATGACAGCAGTTCCTTTCATAGATGAACCGTGACGTAAGTGACGCAGTCAGACATTGTGCTGTTATTAAACCTCAGTCACGTGGTGGTGTTTCCTTCTCAGCTGCTGAGGACAAAGCCCTGAGCTAAAGGAGTTAGCTACATTAGCAACATGGCTGCCTCCGTACGAACCACCCTGACCTTTAAGACATTACCCCACTTCCCCACTGTCCCAGAACCGGGTCTTATATGACAGTCACAAATGCTGCAAGGGCATCATATATTCATAGACTGTAAATATATAAATAAACCCGTGTTTAAATGATACAGTCTATGGTTTAAACAGGTGTATACTCCTGCGCAGGCGCAGCAGAGCCGTCTGCGGAGTATGTGGGTGAAAGCTCATGGACCAAAATGCACTGGTGTCACGTGCCACATGTCACATGTTAGTTTGTTTATTACTGAAGGAAAAGTGTGAGGTCTGGGTGTGTGAAGAAGAGGAGTGTTGTGTTTGTATCAGACTGTAAATAGGCAGGTGTAAATATTATTAGGGTTTGTGCACGCGTTTGTGCAGGGTTTGTGGTCACTCACGCGCATAGGCGCGGGTTTGTGCACGCGTAGAGGTCATTCACGCGCACAGACGCGGGGTCGTGCACATGTAGAGGTCATTCCCGCAAATAGACACGGGTTCATGCACATGTAAAGGTCATTCACGCGCATATCCGCGGGTTTGTGCACACGCAAAAGTCTTACCCAGGACGTCCGCCGTCTTGTGCCGCGCCACAAAACACGCATCGTCCCCGTAGCACATGCCTTTCTTCAGGATGCCCTTCCGGAAGTCTTTCCCAAAACCGTAACTGGCGCTGATCAGTCTATAGTCTCCGTCCGTCTGCGAGAGGCCCCCGAGGACCGCCCGAGCCACAAGCCTCCCATAGGAGAGGACTGAGAACATCCCTGAGACCGAGAGAGAGGAGCCGAGGAGGAGTCCCACCAGGAGAGCTACCACAGAGCTCTCTCACACAGAGCTCTCTCTTCAGCCGCGGCTTATCCTTCCATCCGACTGTCTCCGTCTGAATAAACCACGACACTAGAAAGTCCCTGAGCGCATCACGGACCCCGGGCTGGCTGCGTCAGTACGGGGCTCGGAGGTCTCTGGAGCCTGTCTCAGGTCTTCCGCGTGGGTCTCTCCTCGTGGGTCTCTCCTCTTCAATACGGGGCTCGGAGGTCTCTTAAGCCGGTCTCAGTCTCAGGTCCTCCGCGGGGGTCTCTCCTCTTCGACATGTTGCCGTGGGACAGAGAGAGTCAGAGTCAGAGAGAAACGTGACATGGCCGTAACCATGACGTCAGCCGCCTGAGCCAATAGGAGAGAGCGACCAGGCCACACCGTCCTCCACAACCAGCACCATCAACGTCCTCCACATTCATACTGTGTGTATGGTCCAGTCCCAATACCCACACTGCACCCTACGCCCTCCTATGAAGTGTGCATTTGTTTGAAGTGCGCGCAAGGGTTTGAGTGCGCAGGTTGCAAGCGTGCACAAAAGGTGGAATTGGGACATTGCACACTGAGGCCCCGTCCCAATACTCGCACTTCCACCCTCGCGCCCCTCATTTGCGCGTTCCCGATAAAGGGTGCGAGTGCGTAGGGTGTCCCAATTCTCCGGGGAGGTCTTTGGCCCCGCCCCCTTTGCGCCCCTGATCCACACTTCGCCGTAGCCTGCATCTATGCGCACTCTGGCGAAGGATATTGCCCATAATTCTTTGCGGTACACACCAAACCACATTACACACTTTACACACACTAAGTGTAAAGTTTAAATTGAATGTTATATAAACGCTTGCTTTAAAAAGTTATTAAATTGTTAAAACACAATGTACGTAATTCTTCATCAGACGTTTATGCTTCTTTCCAAGTAACATAGCAAAACTTATTTACACACATACTGCATATATATTTCAAAATTTATATTTAATTGCATTTTCCCGACGTTTTGGTGTGTACCGTAAAGAATTATGGGCAATATCCTTCGCCAGAGTGCGCATAGATGCAGGCTACGGCGAAGTGTGGATCAGGGGCGCAAAGGGGGCGGGGCCAAATACCTCCCTGGAGAATTGGGACACCCTACGCACTCGCACCCTTTATCGGGAACGCGCAAATGAGGGGCGCGAGGGTGGAAGTGCGAGTATTGGGACGGGGCCTATGTGTCCTTCCTGCATGCTACACAGTGTAATCAGAGGCACAAATTCTGTATCAGTGGACTCTGTTACACAAACAGCTGTATCTGTAGAAAAAATAAAAATGTATTATGTGTAATTTTTTATTATTATCATTGTTATTATTATTACGATACTGGATCCTGTTTATGGCATGAACTGCGCATGTGTTGGAGTTAATATTCACGCAGTCTATGGTTGGAGTGTTGTTATTACAGATCCATGGGTTGGGGTCTGAATAAAAACACCACTGCATCATGCGCACGAGATCAACGTCATCACGCACTGAGAATAGAATTATAATACGTTGTACAGAATTAATTTATCTCAGACCATAGACTATAATCTCAGACACCTTTCACTTTGGGACGTGCAGTCTGTATTTCCCTGTTTAAAACACAGCGCAGTTTAAAGGCTCATTTAAAAGATCCCGTTGATGCAGAAGTATTAGATCCAGAGCGGAGCAGTGACGCCCTCGTGTGGCTGACCTCAGATAGAATTACAGATGGCTATAATCTATGCTTCTGCTGTTTACAATAAAGACCTGTCCTGGTTCGTTGTGACGAAAAAAGCCGTGGACACAGATGTAAAACGATCTAATAGTTTTATAATTATGCAGCGTTAGCTCCGCCCCCCCCCCTCCCCTCAGGAGAACTGACGTTGTGCGTCTAAACGAGCGCACCCCAGAAACCACCCAGATCCTAAGGATACACGACAGAGACTCAGATCGCAGCCTAAACATCCTCCAGAGGCTAGGAAAGGGACCGAGAGGGACCGAGAGGGACCAGAAGCACCGGTAAGAGAGGCCTCAGAGCTCTGGGATACAGGTCTGATGCTGCGGACGCGGTGGTGTGTTGCTCATGTGTTGTTGCCTCAGCTTCAGCCTCGGGGCCTGTTACTCGTTACGGAATCAGCTCCTGCTCCTCTCCCCGGGCTGAGCTGATTCTTAATCTGTTCTGATAACAAGTGTGATGACGTGATGTTGTGTGCCTCTGTTGTGTGATCACAGATTTCCCTGCGTGTGTATGCTCTAAATGTCTATTATGTGTTGTGTTCCAGAGCCATGATGCACATGCGCGGGGCCGCGCTCCTCTGTTTCTTTATGGGACTCCTCTGTTTTGAGGCAACTGCGAAGAAAGGATCAGGTGGGTTTGGAGGCGGCGGGTTCGGAGGAGGAAGCAAGAAAACACCTACAAACAAGTGGGGCACCTCCAAACCCTTTCAGCCCAACAGGAAGCCCAACCCCTACCCTGCAGGAGGGAGCTACCCTGGGGCTGGGAACACCAACCCTGGAGGGAATCCCAGACAGAACCAGCCTGCGGGAGGGTACCCTAGACAGAACCAGCCTGCGGGAGGGTACCCCAACCAAAACCCTGCTGGGGGGTACCCCAACCAGAATCCTGCGGGAGGATACCCTAGACAGAACCAGCCGGCTGGGGGCTACCCAGCCGGTGGAGGGTACCCAAACCAGAACCCTGCTGGAGGGTACCCCAGACAGAACCCAGGAGGATACCCGGCAGCAGGAGGATACCCAGCAGGAGGAGGATACCCGGCAGCAGGAGGTTACCCAGCAGGAGGTGGCTATCCGGTCAGAGGAGGGAACACAGGGCAGGGATGGGGGGCTCCTGGGGGCTCGTACCCTGGGGGGTATCCCGGCGGAGGGATGGGGGGCGGCTACCCAAACTGGAACCCAAACAACAAGATCCTGAGCCCTCGCTACGGCACCGGGAGCTACGGTGGGTACGGGGCAGGCGGCTCTCCCTTCGCTCGCTCAGCCTCGAGTAACGGGTTCATGCCCAAACCCGAGTCCAGGGGCTTCGCTAAGAAGGCGATGCTGGCGGCCGGCGTGGGCGCCATGGCGGGGATGGCTGTAGGCTACGGGCTTGGCCGCTTCCCCCGGCCGCACTTCCCCTTCAGGAACCAGGAAGAAGAACACTACTACAACAACTACATGTACCGCCGCTACGGCTCGCAGTCCACCGACCAGAAGGACTACGGCCGCGACTATGAGTTCAAACCGCCGCCCAGAGCCCAGACCTACGAGGCCTTTATGGCGAGGTGCATGAACCAGACAGACCTCCTCAAGGACAAGGAGGAGGACCTGGAGGAGGAGGACCGGGACGCCGTGAGCATCCAGGAGGTGGGCTACCCCGCGCTGGTGGAGCAGATGACGTCTCGGCGCTGTGTGGAGAAGTACATGGTGTATTCAGAGCAGTTCCTGCAGAAGAGGTCGGAGGCTCAGGTCCAGAACAGCGTCCTGAGGGTCACGTCTGCCCTGGGGCTACTGTCATGCATGCTGCTGCTGCACTGAGCCTCTAGCACCATCTCCATGGTACCTGCATCTCTGCTCTGCTCCACATCCTCTGAACTAACCCACATGTACCTGTTCCCCTCTGCACTTGCATATTGTACCTTTGATAATCAATGTGTTATTACTATAGACCTGCTGAAGACTCTGTACTGCTCAAATACTTTATTCTCGACAAAAACAAAGACACTTCCACGTTCAGTTTGTGTTTTAAAGCAAAAAACATCTGCCACAGGAGTGCTGTTTTTGATACAGATTGAGAGAGGGTGTTTTTTGTGATGGTAGGCGTGGTCAGTGATGATAGGGGCGTTTGGGTATAATACTGTGTCCAGTCAGATTCTTTTGTTGTGTGCAGAAGTATCATTCTCTCATTGGACACTTTGACCACGTCTGAACAGGGTTTTATAAAGTCTGCAGCTGAAGGATACAAGCCCTGTTTCCACCAGATCTACCCTACCCTACTGAACCCTACCCTGCCCTTCCCTACCCTACCCCAGATACTAAAGCATAGTAGCGTAGAGTAGATCCAGTGGAAACAGGGCGTTAGACAGAGCTGGTTTATGGGAAGTTCCTTTGCTCTCATTGGTCGACAGCTCGGTTTAGATACTACTGATGTTGAGATGAGTGTATTTTATCGTCTCATATTTTACATAAAGAACCAGGGATAATAACAACTGGAAACAAAACCTCTGCATGTGTATATTCCCTCTCTCCTCTGTCTCCTCTCTTTCTCCTTTCTCCTCTCTCTCCTCTGTCTCCTGACCCTCTCCTCTCTCCCCTCTCCCTCCTCTCTCTTCTCTCTCTCTCTCCCCCCTCTATTTCTCCTCTCTCTCCCCCCTCTTTCTCCTCTGCCTCCTATCCTTCTCCTCTTTCTCCCCCCTCTCTCTCCCCCTCTCTCTCTCCCCCCTCTCTCCCCTCTCATCCCTCTCCCCCCTCTCTTTCTCTTCTCTCCTCTTTCTCTCTCCTCTCGCTCTCCTCTCTCTCTCCCCCTCTCTCTCTCCCCCCTCTCTTTCTCCTCTCTCCTCTTCTCACTCCACTCTGAAGCACCTTGTGTCTCATTGCTGAACTGCTGTTATTTTAAATGTGTTTTAAATCTTTGTATCTTTTGTCAAAATAATTTTAATTGAATAAAACCATTTATTTGACAGGATTCTCTTTGATTCTGTGATTGTGAGAAAGAAGTGCACTTAATGTCTCTGTCTCTGTCCCCATGGAAACGGCTCTCAGACCTGTCTCAGATTTCAATAAACACATTACATCCTAAAGATTTTTACTGTGATTTTTAATATTCTGTTTGTAGAACCTCAACCTCAGTCCTGGGTCTACAGCCTCGGTCCTGGGTCTACAGCCTCAGTCCTGGATCTATAGCCTCAGTCCTGGATCTACAGCCTCAGTCCTGGGTCTACAGTCTCAGTCCTGGGTCTACAGCCTCAGTCCTGGATCTACAGTCTCAGTCCTGGGTCTACAGCCTCAGTCCTGGATCTACAGCCTCAGTCCTGGATCTACAGCCTCATTCCTGGATCTACAGCCTTAGTCCTGGATCCACAGCCTCAGTCCTGGATCTACAGCCTCAGTCCTGGATCTACAGCATCAGTCCTAGATCTACAGCCTCAGTCCTAGATCCACAACTTTGTAAAGTCCTCCTGCTTCCTGTGATACATTGCTTTTAAACGTCAGTATTATTATTTTTTGTGTGTGTTTTTTTTTCAATATACCTTTGGGCTGTCTTCTTATCTCAAGGTCAGGTCCAGGGTCAGGTCCGTGGTCAGGTCCATGGTTAATGTGGTAAGACTGGTTAGTGTGTGGGTAACTCAATGATGATCAACACAACATTCTGTAATCTTCGGCGCTCTTTTGCACTTTATTTATATATCACATGTTTAAAGATCCCAGAGCGGGAGCAGAGGCAGCAGCACAGACACCAAGCTCCACTGGGACTGGACCGTCAGACCCGAGGAGACCACTGCCTGATGCCCCCCCCTGTGCTTCTCTTTGCCGAGGACACCCAGACCTGAGCCCCGGCCCAAACCCAGACCCGAGCCCGTCCCCAGGATCCCCGCAGCAGCAGCAGCAGCCCCCACTGCTTTGAGACCCGGCTTGGACAGGCTTCTGCTTGGAGCCTCGGACTCTCTTCTGTCCCCTTTGCCTTTGCCTTTTCCCCGAAAGAGTCCTCCAAGAAGACCTGCCACATGGTGTTACAATCAAGCACTTGTTCTAGCACAAGATCTGACAGTCCTGGGTCTACAGCCTCAGTCCTGGGTCTGGGTCTACATCCTCGGTCCTGGGTCTTCAACCTCAGTTCTGGATCTACAGCCTCAGTCCTGGGTCAATAGCCTCAGTCCTGGGTCTACAGCCTCAGCCCTGGGTCTACAGCCTCAGTCCTGGGTCTACAGCCTCAGTCCTTGATCCACAGCCTCAGTCCTGGATCTACAGCATCAGTCCTGGGTCTACATCCTCAGTCCTGGGTCTAGGTCTGCAGCTTCAGTCCTAGGTCTACAACCTCAGTTCTCGATCTACAGCCTCAGTCCTGGGTCTACAGGGTCTACAGCTTCAGTCCTTTGTATACTGGGTCTACAGCCTCAGTCCTGGGTCTACAGTTTAAGTCCTGGGTCAACACACACAGACCTCCTCGTTTGCTGTGGGTCCCGGGACAGAGTGTGGAGAGGAGCAGGAGGCAGATGCATACACTCAATAACTTCATATCTGCAGATCTGTGGACACAAACACACACACACACGCACACACAAACATGTGACAGCTGCTGGATTGACTCAGCTGGCGTCACATGACCACAACACAATCCTCTGGAACTGTCTTTATTGTCGACATGAACCCAGCTCTGCTCTGATCTGTGTTTTTATCCTGCTCTCTGCCCCGCACACTGCTCTGTACGTGAACTGTGCTCAACTAATGATTTTGATAGCTTCAATGATTCAAATATAGACTGAATTTGAGCGTGAAAAAAAGATTAATGCTTACTAATTATATATTTAATTGTATTTTTTAATTTGTTTTATTTTAATTTTTATTTTATTTAACAACATGTGATACAGATTCCATAAAAAACATAAATTACAGTAAATAAAACGAAAATAATGAGTGCTGCCACCTGCTGTCTCCACAGATCCCAGCAACGTATTTTGGCTGTTTATACACATTTATTTGCTTATTTTGTATTATTATTATTATTTGTATTATTTCATTTATTTATTTTTTAGTGCGTGTCTAGTGCATTAAAAACATGCAAGGTTTGTTTGTTTGTTTGTTTGTTTTAGTCCTGTCACTGTTGGGGTCTCCTCCAGTAATAAGTAATAAGTAAGTAAGTAAGTAATCTTTATTTATATACCGCCTTTTCACTGCACATCGGAGTCTCAAAGCGGTTTACAATTGTTATTTTTTTTTTGGGAGTGGGGGTGCCAGTACAGGAGGCACATGTCAGACCTATTGTACATATTTTTAGTGGTAGGGGAAACCGGAGCACCCGGAGGAAACCTACGCAGACACGGGGAGAACATGCAAACTCCACTCAGAAAGGCCCTGGTCCAACCGGGATTCGAACCCAGGACCTTCTTGCTGAGAGGCGAGAGTGCTATCCCCGTAATAGCAGGGCCACTTCCTTGTTTAATCTTGTGTGTATTGTATGTGTGTGTTGAGCGTGGCTTATGTTATGCATTAAAAATCCAGGGTTCTGTGGGAGGTCTGCGCTCCAGGGGAGTCACCTCTAGAGCGCATGCCTCCCCTCCTGAATGGCCTGATCTAGTAGGTGTGAGTCTCTTGTTGGTTTTTATCATTTTTCCAGTTTTGGTTTGGTAAAAAAGAGCTTTGGTTACTGTGGTGACAGGGTTAGCAGCATAATACTAATGGTGTTAGGGTTCTGTGTGTGTGTGTGTGCGTGTGCGTGCGTGCGTGCGTGCCAGTGGATAGTGGGGGGACTTCCAAACACTAGTGATTAGTATACGGTAATATTGAGGTATTTGATGACGGGTGACCAAGTTTCCGTGAAGGACAGTACGTTATCATCCTGAGATGATGGGTGATGTGTGGTGATATGATGGGTGAGGGAGTTGATACAGTGGTTGATACTTATTGAGTTTTTGGTTTTCCAGTTTAGTAAGATTATCCTCTTGGCGATAGCTAGAGATGTGTGCATTTTGTGTATCTGGTATAGTATGGGGCTGGTAGAGGTGGCGCCCAATAGACAGACAGATGGGGAGAGCGGGACTCTGCAGCTCAGGATGTCAGAGGGTTTTAGAGTGACTGTGCCAAAAGGATTGAACTGGTGTGCATTCCCACAGTGCATGTATGTACGTGTACACATGTATGTACGTGTACACATGTATGTACGTGTACACATGTATGTACGTGTACACATGTATGTACGTGTGCACATGTATGTACGTGTACACATGTTTGTACGTGTGCACATGTATGTACGTGTGCACATGTATGTACGTGTACACATGTATGTACGTGTGCACATGTATGTACGTGTGCACATGTATGTACGTGTACACATGTATGTACGTGTACACATGTATGTACGTGTGCACATGTATGTACGTGTGCACATGTATGTACGTGTACACATGTATGTACGTGTACACATGTATGTACGTGTACACATGTATGTACGTGTACACATGTATGTACGTGTGCATGTATGTACGTGTACACATGTATGTACGTGTACACATGTATGTACGTGTGCACATGTATGTACGTGTGCACATGTATGTACGTGTACACATGTATGTACGTGTGCACATGTATGTACGTGTGCACATGTATGTACGTGTGCACATGTATGTACGTGTACACATGTATGTACGTGTGCATGTATGTACGTGTACACATGTATGTACGTGTACACATGTATGTACGTGTGCATGTATGTACGTGTCTGTGGAGCCCATTGTGCATTGAGTGCATGTGCTTGTGTCCGTTAGTCCCATTTTATGCTTGTTGTGTTCAGTTATATGTGTTCTGTGAATAATCCTGTATTGTATCATTTGTAAATTGGTGTTTGGTGTCATGGAGAAGGTGTTGGGGCATATTTCTGTCCAGAATTCGGGTGTGATGGGTGAGTTAATGTCCAGGTTCCATTTTTCTTTTGGGGCGTGTATTGTTTGGTCTGTATTTAAGAAGTTGTGTAGTTTGGATATTAATTTTTTCATAGTTTTAATGTTTTTTATATTTTCAATGAGTTGGGGTGCAGTTAAGGGGTTGTGCTGTATGTTAATCTTTCCTTTGATTATGGATTTGATTTGGAAATATTGAAATGTGCAGTTTTGGTTGAGATTGAATTTCTCTGTTAGTTGTTTGTATGTCATAAATGTGTTGTGTTGTTGAATAGACAAGGTGGGTGATTCCTTTTTGTTCCCATGTGTTGTAGTGCAGTGGTGTGTTATTTGTGTTAAAGTCAGGGTTGTGCCAGAGAGGAGTGTATTTGCAGGGTGTAGGTGATGAGTTAGTTAGTTTTAAAGCTTTCCACCAGGCTGTCAGAGTTGTTGAGATAGTTATGTATTTAAAAGAGGTATGTTTTTTGAGTGCAGTGTTCATTGCTGGTAAGTCTGTCAGTTGGATGTTATGTAAGATAGATTGCTCGATTTCTGTCCAGGAGTTATTGTGTGTAGGCTTTATCCATGTGGTTAGGTATTGTAATTGGTTTGCAAGGAAGTAGTGTGTGAAGTTGGGTGCGTTAAGGCCGCCCTGTGATTTGGGCTGTTGTAATGTTGAAAGTTTGATTTTGTTTTTTTTGTGTTTCCAGTAAAATTTGGATATGAGTGAGTCGAGTGATTTGAACCATTTATCTGTGGGTGTGACAGGTATGTTAGAGAATAGGTAGTTGAGTTTTGAAAGGACCTTCATTTTTATTGCAGAGATGCGGCCGATGAGAGTGAGTGGGAGGTTTGTCCATCTGTCTAGATCATCTTTTATTTGGTCAAAAACCGGGGTGTAGTTTAGTGGGAACAACTCTGACAGCCTGGGGGAAATGTGGATGCCCAGATACTTAATGTTGCCCGTGTGAATCCCAGGGAAGAGATCCTGAGCTGAAGAGTCCCAAGCGCCATCTGTCAAGGGAAGTATTGTAGATTTATTCCAGTTTATTGTGTAGTCTGATATGGCTGAAAAAGAGTTTATTATTTTGAATGCTTCATGTAATGATTCTGTGGGGTTTTGGAGGTATAGGAGGATGTCATCGGCATAAAGGCTTATTTTATGGTGCGTGTTCCATTGATGCTGTTGGATTGGCGTACGGCAGTTGCTAGTGGTTCTAAGAATAATACGAAGAGTGAGGGAGAGAGTGGGCATCCTTGTCGTGTTCCCCGGTGCAGTGTGAATGTGGAGGATGTGATACTGTTGGTTGTGACTGTGGCCCTGGGTGAAGTATAACGTATTTTAATCCAGAAAATAAATGTGCACCCGAAGCCGAATTGGTGTAGTGTGTGAATCAGAAATTTATCGAAGGCTTTTTCTGCATCTAGTGATGTTATGACGGTGTCTGTATTTGAGTGTTGTGAGAGGTTAATGAGGTCGAATAGTCTGCGGAGATTGTCTGAAGAATTTCTGTTTTTTATGAAGCCTTTTTGGTCTGGATGGATGAGAAGCGGAGTGACTTGTTCTAATCTGTGGGCTCGAGCTTTAGTGATAATTTTTAGATCAGTATTGCGTAATGAGAGGGGTCTGTAGCTGGTGGGTTGGGTGGGGTCCTTATTTGGCTTTAGAAAGATTATTATGCTGGCTGTGTTCATGTGTGGTGCAATGTATGAGGAGTTTTTTATTTCGTGTACAGTGCGGATGAAAAGTGGTGACAGTAGGTTCCAGAAATGTTTATAGAATTCGGGTGGGAAGCCATCTGGTCCGGGGCATTTGTTGTTGGGCATATTAGTGAGGGCTTTATGAAGGTCAGTTGAGGATAGTGGGGCGTCTAGCATTTGGGCTATTTCTGTGGGGAGATGTGGCAACTTTAGGTGCTGAAAAAAAGAGTTGGTATTTGTCGTGGAGGTGTAGAGTGATTTGTAGAATTGTTGAAATGTGTCATTGATTTCCTGAGGGTCGTGAGTGATTTGTTTTGTTGTGGTTTGTATTGCTTGAAAAGTTGATTTGTCTTTTTTTCTTTTCAGTAAGTTGGCTAAGTATTTTGGTGAGATGTTATTTACCTGTATAAGTTCATAATTCAGTTGTTGGACGATGAAATGGTTTTTTTTCTGTTGGATTTTCTCGAAGTGTTGTTGTGTGTTGAGTAGTTCTGGTAATAGTTTGTTTCCCAGTAAATCTAGTCTTTCAATTTTTTGGTGTAGTTGTTGTTCTATTTCGATTTCTTTTTTCTTTTTGTATGATGAATATGAAATTATTTTGCCTCTAATGTATGCTTTGCTTGTTTCCCAGAGAGTTATTGCAGTGGTTTCCGGGGAGTCATTAAATTCCATGAAGGATGTCCACTCTCTCTCCATCATTTTGTTGAATTCTGGGTCTTTGAGTAGTGAGAGATTGAAGCACCACCTGCTGGAGTGTTTGGTGCACTGGTTAAACTGTAATGTTAAACTGACAGGTGCATGATCGCTGATTGTAATTGGGTGAATTGTGGCGTCTCTAATGTTAGCTAATAATGTATTGCTTATGAGGATGTGGTCGATTCGAGAGGATGATAGATGTGCTGATGAGTAGTATGTACAGTATATTGTCTTGCGTCAGGGTGTGACAATCTCCAGCTATCGCCAATGCCAAAGTCCTCCATATATTGTTTTAGGATGTCACTGGAGGGCCAGTTCCTGTTTCTTATTGTGTGTGAGCGGTCTAGTGTTGGGTCCAGTGTGATGAATATTTAATTGTTTTGGATAAAACATAGTTGTTCTCTGTTTGAGACCAGAGAGAGACCAGAGAGAGACCAGAGAGAGAGACCAGAGAGAGACCAGAAAGAGAGACCAGAGAGAGAGACCAGAGAGAGACCAGAGAAAGACCAGAGAGAGAGACCAGAAAGAGAGACCAGAGAGAAAGAGAGACCAGAAAGAGAGACCAGAGAGAGAGACCAGAGAGAGAGACCAGAGAGAGACCAGAGATAGACCAGAAAGAGAGACCAGAGAGAGAGACCAGAGAGAAAGAGACCAAAGAGAGAGACCAGAGAAGGACCAGAGGGAGACCAGAAAGAGACCAGAGAGAGAGACACCAAAGAGAGAGACCAGAGAAGGACCAGAGGGAGAGACCAGAGAGAGAGACACCAAAGAGAGAGACCAGAGACGGAACAGAGAGAAGCTTCTGGAGAGAGCTGGACTCTCAAAGAAGTGTTGGTGAACTATGGCTGTAGCCACAGCTGCCCTGGGACAGCAGCGCTCCTCACCCCTGACCCTCAGTCAAAGATAAGCAATAAAATATAAAAAGTGTGTAACAGATAAAAGTGACCGTACCTCTGTGGCTGCTGCGATGCTCTGTCCCTGAACTCTGCTGAAGCTTCCAGTGTCATCTCCATGGAAACATCCAGACCCCCGTCCCACACACAAACACACACTGCGTGAATGGAGTACAGTGAATGTTGCTGAAAAATCGGATCACTGGAGTAGTAGTAACAAACATGGCAGATGCAAAACGTGATTTCAAAACATTTATTCCAATATTAATGAGAATACACAGAAGGTGAACTACGGTTTAACTACAAACTCTACAGCAGATGTTCAAAAACAAAACATAAGATACAAAAAATAAATCTTTCTGTGCAATTTTAGTCCTGGGTCTACAGCCTCAGTCCTGGGTCTACAGCCTCAGTCCTGGATCTACAGTCTCAGTCCTGGGTCTACAGCCTCAGTCCTGGGTCTACAGTCTCAGTCCTGGGTCTACAGCCTCAGTCCTGGGTCAACAGTCTCAGTCTTGGTCTACAGTCTCAGTCTTGGTCTACAGTATAATAAATAAAATTTCAGACTAGTGACAATATAAACCATGCTGAACATCAGAGAACTATAAAACAGAATGTGGATCTTTGTCACGAGGAGCTGGAGGAGGTTCTGGATCAGGATCAGGATCTGGTCCAGGATCTGGTTCTGGTTCTGGTTCTGGTTCTGGTTCCTCTAGATCACGTTCTCAAAGAGCTGCATCGACGCCATAATGTTTTCATCCTGGAAAAGACAAGTTTTACTGCAGTGTGTGTGTGTTTGTGTGTGTATCTATGTGTGCGTGTGTGTCTGTGTGTGTGTGCGTGTGTGTGTCTGTGTGTGTGTTTGTGTGTGTATCGATGTGTGTCTGTGTGTGTGTTTGTGTGTATCTATGTGTGTGTGTGTGTGTCTGTGTGTGTGTGCGTGTGTGTGTCTGTGTTTGTGTGTGTATCTATGTGTGTGTGAGTGTTTGTGTCTGTGTGTGTGTTTGTGTGTGTATCTATGTGTGTGTGTCTGTGTGTGTGTTTGTGTGTGTTTGTGTGAGTGTTTGTGTCTGTGTGTGTGTTTGTATCTGTGTGTGTGTGTGTGTCTGTGCGTGTAAGTGTTTGTGTGTGTTTCTGTGTGTGTGTGTGTTTGTGTGCGTGAGTATTTGTGTGTGTATCTATGTGTGTGTGAGTGTTTATGTGTGTGTCTGTCTGTGAGTGCGTGTGTATTACTGTGTTATCTTGTGTGAGTGTCTGTGTGTGTATCTATGTATATGTGTGTGTGCGTGCGTGTGTGTATGTCTGTGAGTCTGTGTGAGTGTTTGTGTGTGTATCTATGTGTGTGTGCATATTTGTGTGTGTTTGTTGTACCTTCTGACACGTCTCGATGAACTCGTCCACTGTCACGTATCCGTCTCTGTTTCGATCCATTTTCTGCAGAAGAACAAAGTCTCAGCAACATCAGCAGAAGGACAGTACAGGTTATTTGTGTGGCACAGCCTCTGTCCACAGATCAGCTGCACCTGAAGACAAGCCACAACTGCTGTTCACATAAACACACTGAAGCAGGATTGTGTCTGTGACACAGAGACACAGACACGGAGAGAGACACAGAGACACAGAGAGACACACGAGATACAGAAAGACACAGAGACATAGAGAGACAGAGACATAGACCTGGAAGAACTTGTCCACATGTTCCAGAGGAGACTCGTCTCTGATGCTCGGCAGTGTGTAGCGTCCCATCATGTCGTAGATGGACGTCATTATGGCCAACATCTCCTGAAGGAAGACACGACTTCACTCTGTGTCCTCTGCATTTGACCCAATCTGACTGTGTCCTCTGCATTTGACCCGCTCTGACTGTATTCTCTGCATTTGACCCGCTCTGACTGTGTCCTCTGCATTTGACCCGCTCTGACTGTGTCCTCTAACTGTGTCCTCTGCATTTGACCCGCGCTGACTGTGTCCTCTAACTGTGTCGTCTGCATTTGACCTGCTCTAACTGTGTCGTCTGCATTTGACCTGCTCTGACTGTGTCCTCTGCATTTGACCCGCTCTGACTGTATTCTCTGCATTTGACCCGCTCTGACTGTGTCCGTTAACTGTGTCGTCTGCATTTGACCTGATTTACATGACGGGGACATTGCAAGTCAACATAGAACAAAACAAGCTTGTAACTGATGCGATGCAAAAAAGTTTCCAGCTAATGTTAATTTTCAACTCAGTCCCTGTTTGGACCTTTCTACACCACATTCACATTTTCAATGATACTGTAGCTTAATAAACTGAACTACGCTGTTTAAATCATTTTGTCGTCTGCATTTGACCCACTCTGACTGTGTCCTCTGCATTTGACCCACTCTGACTGTGTCCAGTGACTGTGTCCTCTGCATTTGACCCACTCTGACTGTGTCCTCTCTGAATTTGACCCACTTTGACTGTGTCCTCTGCATTTGACCCGCTCTGACTATGTCCTCTGACTGTGTCCTCTGCATTTGACTCGCTCTGACTGTGTCCTCTGCATTTTACCCGCTCTGACTGTGTCCTCTGTATTTGACCCGCTCTGACTGTGTCCTCTGCATTTGACCCGCTCTGACTGTGTCCTCTGCATTTGACCCACTCTGACTGTGTCCTCTGCATTTGACCCGCTCTGACTGTGTCCTCTGCATTTGACCCACTCTGACTGTGTCCTCTGCATTTGACCCGCTCTGACTGTGACCTCTGACTGTGTCCTCTGCATTTGACCCACTCTGACTGCGTCTCATGACCTTGTACCTCTTTGGTCACATGACCGTCTTTGTTGATGTCGTACAGGTTGAAGGCCCAGCGGAGTTTCTCTGTCACTGATCCTCTGAGCAGAACTGACAGACCCACAACAAAGTCCTGAAACACACACACACACACTATTCAGACACACAAACTGTTCAGACACACACACACACACACTATTCAAACACACAAAGTCTGATCAGACACACGCACACTATTCAGACACACACGCACTATTCAGACACACACACATTCATACTCACACACACACACAAACTTTGAAGACGCACACACACACACCATAGGCACTTGCACACATGCACAGACACACAAATACACACAAACAACACACACACCATCACACACAGATACACACACAGACACACACACATACCTCAAACCGGATTGAGCCGCTCCGGTCCATATCAAATGCATTGAACAAAAAATGAGCATAAGTCGTGGCATCTGAAAATAATAATATAACAACTGTGTCAGAAGAGGTACACACACAAACACACACGCAGAGACACCAACACACACACACAGAGACACACGCACACACACAAAGACACACACGTACCTCCTTGAGGGAAGAACTGGGAGTAAATACTCTTGAAAGTTTCTTCATCCACGAGACCAGAAGGACACTCCTGTGAACAACAGGGACATGTACTCGGATACTGGTCACGGCTACTCAAATACTGGTCACATGTACTCGGATACTGGTCACGGCTACTCAAATACTGGTCACATGTACTCGGATACTGGCTACATGTACTTGGACACTGGTCACATGTACTTGCATACCGGCCACATGTACTTGGATACTAGTCACATGTACTTGGATACTAGTCACATGTACTTGGATACTGGTCACATGTACTTGGATACTGGTCACATGTGCTTGGATCTTAGTCAAATGTACTCGGATACTGGTCACATGTACTTAGATACTGGTCACATGTACTTGGAAACTGGTCAAATGTACTTGGATACTGGTCCCATGTACTCGGATACTGGTCACATGTACTGGGATACTGTGTTGTTGCCAGCGCCTCTCGCCTCCTCGTCCTGAGAACAGTCGTTGCTATTTCTACTCCACATCAAAGCTTTTATAAATAGTTCTTTCATATCTGAGTCTGAGTCTAACACTACTGTTTGTTACTGAGGCATAAATACAGAAACAACAGGAAACTGTAGAGTAGAGTAGAGTAGAGTAGAGTAGAGTAGAGTAGAGTAGAGTAAAGTAGAGTAGAGAAGAGTAGAGTAAAGTAGAGTATAGTAGAGTAGAGTAGAATAGTGTAGGGTGTAGTAGAGTAGAGTAAAGTAGGGTAGAGTACAGTAGGGTAGGGTAGAGTAGGGTAGAGTAGGGTAGAGTAGAGTGGAGTAGAGTAGGGTAGAGTAGAGTAGAGTGGAGTAGAGTAGAGTAGAGTAGAGTAGAGTAGGGTAGAGTAGAGTAGAGTAAAGTAGGGTAGAGTACAGTAGGGTAGGGTAGAGTAGGGTAGAGTAGGGTAGAGTAGGGTAGAGTAGAGTAGAGTAGAGTAAAGTAGGGTAGAGTACAGTAGGGTAGGGTAGAGTAGGGTAGAGTAGAGTAGAATAGAGTAGGGTAGAGTAGAGTGGAGTAGAGTAGAGTAGAGTAGGGTAGAGTAGAGTAGAGTAGAGTAGGGTAGAGTAGAGTAGAGTGGAGTAGAGTAGAGTAGAGTAGGTAGAAACTGTTCACATACATGAGCAGCTTCTGTAATTTCTGTAAAACAGTATCCGAGTACATGTGACAAGTATCCGAGTACATGAGACCAGTATCTGAGTATACGTGACAAGTACATGGAGGAGGAAAACGGTCCAGTATGAACTCACTGCACATTACGATCTGAACGTCAGCATTTAACAGAGCTATACATAGAGCTCATTGTCCCCAAGAGAGAGACCAGAGAGACACCAGAGAGAGACCAGAGAGAGACCAGAGAGACACCAGAGAGAGACCAGAGAGAGACCAGAGAGACACCAGAGAGACACCAGAGAGACACCAGAGAGACACCAGAGAGACACCAGAGAGAGACCAGAGAGACACCAGAGAGACACCAGAGCTCATTGTCCCCAAGAGAGAGGCCAGAGAGACACCAGGGAGACACCAGAGAGACACCAGAGAGAGACCAGAGAGAGACCAGAGAGAGAGTCCAGAGAGAGACCAGAGAGAGTCTAGAGAGAGACCGGAGAGAGACCAGAGTGAGACCAGAGAGAGACCAGAGAGAGACCAGAGAGAGACCAGAGAGAGACCAGAGAGACCAGAGAGAGACCAGAGAGAACAGAGAGAGACCAGAGAGACACCAGAGAAAGACCAGAGAGAGTCCGGAGGGAGACCAGAGAGAGACCAGAGAGAGACCAGAGAGACCAGAGAGAGACCAGAGAGAGACCAGAGAGACACCAGAGAAAGACCAGAGAGAGTCCAGAGGGAGACCAGAGAGAGAAACTATGTGTACGTACGTTCTTGAAGCCTCTATACAGAGATTGCAGCTCTTTCCTGGTGAACTGTGTCTGAGCCTGAAGCTGATCCAGACCCTCAGGCTGATGACGGACCATGGACAGCTCCAGGTCCGAGTCCCCACTGTCTGCACACACACAAAGACACACAACACAGACACACACACACAACACGCACACACAGAGAGACACACAACACAGACACACAGACACAACACGCACACACACACAGACACACACAAACAACACACAAAGACACATGACACACACAACACAAAAAGACACACAACACAGAGTGACACAAACAAACACACACACACACACACACAGAGAGACACAGTTGCACGTACGCACAAAGAGACACACACACACACACAACACGGAGAGACACAATCATACACACACACACACACATAGACACACACACATACACAGAGGGAGGGAGGGGGAGGAGGGAGGGGGAGGAGGGACAGGGGCAGTAAGACCAATAACTGAAAAAGTGGGAAACAGCCTGAGCATCACCTACAGTTGCCGCCATCTTTGCATCAGACAGATCCCTGTGAGTACCTTTCTGACTCTTTAGGCTGAGAGCTGATTGGCTGAGAGCTGATTGGCTGAGAGCTGATTCTTATGATTCTTGTGATTCTTATGGTGTGAAAGATATGTACCCCAGATTTAAACTTATCTACTCCAGCTTTAAACTTACATACCCCAGCTTTAAACTTACATACCCCAGCTTTAAACTTATGTACCCCAGCTTTAAACTTACATACCCCAGATTTAAACTTATCTACCCCAGCTTTAAACTTACATACCCCGGCTTTAAACTTACCTACCCCAGCTTTAAAGATCATCCACAGTTGAGGAGCAAAGCACTCTGGGTAATAGTCTGTTCTGACAATAACATTTACTAAAACTTAGCAGGAGCCAAGTTTTTTTTCGATCAGTCGGTCACAAAGAAGTTTATAATTTGGGTTTAATAAATTAGAATCCAAAAACAGACCAGGACTGGATCCTACAGTTCTGTTGATTCTTATCTGATTATTGATGCTTTTGACAAGTGTAAGTGCTCACCATCTGCAGGAGAGAGAGAGGGAACATGGGAGGAACATGGGAGGAGGATGGGAGGAAGACAAGAGGAGGCCATGTTTAATGTAAATAAAAAGATACAACATAGACAGAGTTGAAATGGAATCTTAAAATGGTTTTAAGATTTTTATGCAACTTTAAAAATGTCCCTTGGTTCCACAGAACTATGGTTTTCTAATCAGGACCTGAACCACAGACTGTGTACAATGCTAACCTGCTAGCTCAATGGAACCCGATAGAGAAGTGCTCATGGTGGAGTTTGGCCCCAACTGGCTCCTACTGAAAAGTAAACTCTTTTATCTCTGAGGGCAACAGGGAGACCAGAGAGAGACCAATGGGAGACCAGGGAGAGAGACCAGTGGGAGACCAGAGAGAGACCAGTGGGAGACCAGAGAAAAACCAATGGGAGACCAGGGAGAGAGACCAGTGGGAGACCAGAGAGAGAGACCAGAGAGAGACCAGCAAGAGAGACCAGTGGGAGACCAGAGAGAGACCAGAGAGAGACCAGAGAGAGACCAGAGAGAGAGAGAGAGACCAGAGAGAGACCATAGAGAGAGAGACCAAAGAGAGATCAGAGAGAGAGAGACCAGAGAGAGACCAGAAAGAGAGACCAGAGAGAGAGACCAGAGAGAGAGAGACCAGAGAGAGATCAGAGAGAGAGAGAGACCAAAGAGAGACCAGAAAGAGACCAGAAAATTAGATTAGAGAGAGAGACCAGAGAGGGACCAAAAATAAACCAACGTTTGCTTTGACTTTAAAGAAAGGTAACTGTCATCTTATACTAGCTGTTATGTGATGTTGTTGGAGTTTGCATGCAGCAAAAGACCGAAAGATCAGAGAAAGACCAGAGAGACCAGAAAGGGACCAGAGACCAGAGAGAGATCAGAAACTACAGAGAGAGACCAGAGAGAGACCAGAGAGAGACCAGAGAGAGAGATAAGAGAGAGACCAGAGCCTAGAGACAGAGAGACCAGAGTGAGAGACCTGAGAGAGACCAAATGAGGACCAGAGAGAGGCCAGAGACCAGAGAGAGAGACCAGAGAGAGACCAGAGAGAGTCACTTAACCTGCTTCGGTCCCAGTATCTGCGTAGTGCTGTGAGTGGTTCCTTGATGTAGATAAATGTGATCTTTAACAATAATAGCTCCACGGAGAAAAGCAGATGTTACTTATTCAATAAAAGTGACATAGTTACATGTATTATCTGACAAAGTGCAAACACATATGAGGCAGAGAGGGGAAAGTAAAGAGTCCAGAAATGACAAGGTGCTCACCATCTGCAGCATCAGAGAGGTCAGGAGGTGAGGAGGGTGGAGAGCAACGAGAGCCACATTAGAACACACGCAGAACCTTCATCTGCGTCACATGGTCCTGGTCCAGTCCGCCTCAGCATGCGCCACATAGTCCTGGTCCAGTCCTCAGTCTTACCTTCCAATGACAGAGGCTCCCAAATCCCAAACTGCTTCAGCACCACAACAAACAGCCCGACCACCACAGCGATGGCTATCACTTCCATTCCCTCCATGTTTCCCTCTCATTTAGATTCGTCTTAATCCTCAACGATAACAAACTTGTTTTACCCGAGGAGACAACTCTTGTCAACTATTGTCAGCTGCGGCCAATCATCTCGAAGCTATCGACGTCTCCTTCTCAAACGCGTGTTGTACAGGCATCAGCACTTCTGATCACTTAGATGAAAACCACCGACTTCAATCAGGTTTCTGTTAGAGGAGAAAGAGCCACATCGCATCCGCTTCAGGGCAGCAGCAAGTCTATGTCGTATCCATATCTCCTGCGTCCTGTGCTTAAAGTAACATTGGATCAATCCCACAAACAACTACTACAAAAGCATTGCTCCTCCCACTCCCCATCTCTCTTTTAAGTCAGAGGCCGAGCGACTTACTGAAGGAATTTCTTTACTAATTGTCTTTGATGGACATTCTGTGCCGTCTTTATTCCCTCAGTCATTTCAAAGATGTAAAGCCGTAAAACCAGAGCATTGATCCACATCAGCGGATAGTTGGCATCTGACCAGCACTTATGGAAAGGCCGCCAGCCCTGCCCTGTGCGCCGCGGGGCGTGCCCTGAGCACCAGGCCGGGCTACCGTCTGCGCTTTGACATAGACACATGATGTTTGTGTATTGTTTACATACTTAGCTGTAGGGGAGCACCTATAGACATGTCCTGTAAAAATGTGTCCAAGTCCTTACCCATGTTTGTCTAAAACTAAACCATGTACAAGTGTCATGTCCAAGGGTCATGTCCGAGTGTAATGTCCGAGTGTCCGGGTGTCATGTCCGAGTGTCATGTTCTAGTGTCATGTCCGAGTGTCATGTCCAAGTGTCATGTCCAAGTGTCATGTCCGAGAGTCATGTCCGAGTGTCATGTCCGAGTGTGATGTCCGAGTGTCATGTCCGAGAGTCATGTCCGAGAGTCATGTCCAAGTGTCATGTCCGAGAGTCATGTCCAAGTGTCATGTCCAAGTGTCATGTCCAAGTGTCATGTCCGAGAGTCATGTCCGAGTGTCATGTCCGAGTGTCATGTCCGAGAGTCATGTCCGAGAGTCATGTCCAAGTGTCATGTCCGAGAGTCATGTCCAAGTGCCATGTCCGAGAGTCATGTCCGAGAGTCATGTCCGAGTGTCATGTCCGAGAGTCATGTCCGAGTGTCATGTCCGAGTGTCATGTCCGAGTGTCATGTCCGAGTGTCATGTCCAAGTGTCATGTCCGAGTGTCATGTCCGAGAGTCATGTCCGAGTGTCATGTCCGAGTGTCATGTCCGAGTGTCATGTCCGAGTGTCTTGTCCGAGTGTTATGTCCGAGTGTCATGTCCGAGTGTCATGTCCGAGTGTCTTGTCCGAGTGTCATGTCCGAGATTCATGTCCGAGGTCATGTCCGAGAGTCATGTCCGAGAGTCATGTCCGAGTGTCATGTCCGAGTGTCATGTCCAAGTGTCATGTCCGAGTGTCATGTCCGAGTGTCATGTCCGAGCGTCTGAGCGTCATGTCGTAGTGTCATGTCCGAGTGTCATGTCCGAGTGTCATGTCCGAGTGTCATGTCGAAGGGTCATGTCCTAGTGTCATGTCCGAGTGTCATGTCCGAGAGTCATGTCCGAATGTCATGTCCGAGTGTCATGTCCGAGTGTCATGTCCGAGTGTCATGTCCGAGTGTCAGGTCAGAGAGTCATGTCCGAGTGTCATGTCCGAGTGTCTTTTCCAAGTGTCATGTCCAAGTGTCATGTCCGAGAGTCATGTCCGAGTGTCATGTCCGAGTGTCATGTCCAAGTGTATTGTCCGAGTGTCATGTCCGAGAGTCATGTCCGAGTGTCATGTCCGAGTGTCATGTCCAAGAGTCATGTCCGAGTGTCGTGTCCGAGTGTCATGTCCGAGTGTCATGTCCGAGTGTCATGTCCGAGAGTCATGTCCGAGCGTCATGTCCAAGCGTCATGTCCAAGTGTCATGTCCTAGCGTCATGTCCGAGTGTCATGTCCGAGCGTCATGTCCGAGTGTCATGTCCGAGAGTCATGTCCGAGTGTCATGTCCGAGTGTCATGTCCGAGTGTCATGTCCGAGTGTCATGTCCGAGAGTCATGTCCGAGTGTCATGTCCGAGAGTCATGTCCGAGTGTCATGTCCGAGTGTCATGTCCGAGAGTCATGTCCGAGTGTCATGACCAAGTGTCATGTCCGAGCGTCATGTCCAAGTGTCATGTCCGAGAGTCATGTCCGAGAGTCATGTCCGAGTGTCATGTCCGAGTGTCATGTCCGAGTGTCATGTCCAAGTGTCATGTCCGAGTGTCATGTCCGAGTGTCTGAGCGTCATGTCGTAGTGTCATGTCCGAGTGTCATGTCCGAGTGTCATGTCCAAGTGTCATGTCCAAGTGTCATGTCCGAGAGTCATGTCCGAGTGTCATGTCCGAGTGTGATGTCCGAGTGTCATGTCCGAGTGTCATGTCCGAGTGTCATGTCCGAGTGTCATGTCCGAGTGTCACGTCCGAGCGTCTGAGCGTCATGTCGTAGTGTCAGGTCCGAGTGTCATGTCCAAGTGTCATGTCCGAGTGTCATGTCTGAGAGTCATGTCCGAATGTCATGTCCGAGTGTCATGTCCGAGTGTCATGTCCGAGTGTCATGTCCGAGAGTCATGTCCGAGTGTCATGTCCGAGTGTCATGTCCGAGTGTCATGTCCAAGTGTCATGTCCGAGTGTCATGTCCGAGAGTCATGTCCGAGTGTCATGTCCGAGAGTCATGTCCGAGAGTCATGTCCGAGTGTCATGTCCGAGTGTCATGTCCAAATGTCATGTCCAAGTGTCATGTCCGAGTGTCATGTCCGAGCGTCTGAGCGTCATGTCGTAGTGTCAGGTCCGAGTGTCATGTCCAAGTGTCATGTCCAAGCGTCATGTCCTAGTGTCATGTCCGAGTGTCATGTCTGAGAGTCATGTCCGAATGTCATGTCCGAGTGTCATGTCCGAGTGTCATGTCCGAGTGTCATGTCCGAGAGTCATGTCCGAGTGTCATGTCCGAGTGTCATGTCAGAGAGTCATGTCCGAGTGTCATGTCCGAGTGTCATGTCCAAGTGTCATGTCCAAGTGTCATGTCCGAGAGTCATGTCCGAGTGTCATGTCCGAGTGTCATGTCCAAGTGTCATGTCCGAGTGTCATGTCCGAGAGTCATGTCCGAGTGTCATGTCCGAGTGTCATGTCCGAGAGTCATGTCCGAGTGTCATGTCCGAGTGTCATGTCCGAGTGTCATGTCCGAGTGTCACGTCCGAGAGTCATGTCCGAGCGTCATGTCCAAGCGTCATGTCCAAGCGTCATGTCCAAGTGTCATGTCCGAGCGTCTGAGTGTCATGTCCGAGTGTCATGTCCAAGTGTCATGTCCGAGCGTCATGTCCTAGCGTCATGTCCGAGTGTCATGTCCGAGCGTCATGTCCGAGTGTCATGTCCGAGAGTCATGTCCGAGTGTCATGTCCGAGTGTCATGTCCGAGAGTCATGTCCGAGTGTCATGTCCGAGAGTCATGTCCGAGTGTCATGTCCGAGTGTCATGTCCGAGAGTCATGTCCGAGTGTCATGACCAAGTGTCATGTCCGAGCGTCATGTCCAAGTGTCATGTCCGAGAGTCATGTCCGAGAGTCATGTCCGAGTGTCATGTCCGAGTGTCATGTCCGAGTGTCATGTCCAAGTGTCATGTCCGAGTGTCATGTCCGAGCGTCTGAGCGTCATGTCGTAGTGTCATGTCGTAGTGTCATGTCCGAGTGTCATGTCCAAGTGTCATGTCCAAGCGTCATGTCCTAGTTGTCATGTCCGAATGTCATGTCCGAGTGTCATGTCCGAGAGTCATGTCCGAGTGTCATGTCCGAGTGTCATGTCCGAGTGTCATGTCCGAGAGTCATGTCCGAGTGTCATGTCCGAGAGTCATGTCCGAGTGTCATGTCCGAGTGTCATGTCCGAGTGTCATGTCCGAGAGTCATGTCCGAGTGTCATGTCCGAGTGTCATGTCCGAGTGTCATGTCCCTGTGTCATGTCCGAGTGTCATGTCCGAGAGTCATGTCCGAGTGTCATGTCCGAGTGTCATGTCAGAGAGTCATGTCCGAGTGTCATGTCCGAGTGTCATGTCCAAGTGTCATGTCCAAGTGTCATGTCCGAGAGTCATGTCCGAGTGTCATGTCCGAGTGTCATGTCCAAGTGTCATGTCCGAGTGTCATGTCCGAGAGTCATGTCCGGTGTCATGTCCGAGTGTCATGTCCGAGTGTCATGTCCAAGTGTCATGTCCGAGTGTCATGTCCGAGTGTCATGTCCGAGAGTCATGTCCGAGAGTCATGTCCGAGTGTCATGTCCGAGTGTCATGTCCGAGTGTCATGTCCAAGTGTCATGTCCGAGTGTCATGTCCGAGTGTCATGTCCGAGAGTCATGTCCGAGAGTCATGTCCGAGTGTCATGTCCGAGAGTCATGTCCGAGTGTCATGTCCGAGTGTCATGTCCGAGAGTCATGTCCGAGTGTCATGTCCGAGTGTCATGTCCGAGTGTCATGTCCGAGTGTCATGTCCGAGAGTCATGTCCGAGCGTCATGTCCAAGCGTCATGTCCGAGTGTCATGTCCGAGTGTCATGTCCGAGAGTCATGTCCGAGTGTCATGTCCGAGTGTCATGTCCGAGAGTCATGTCCTAGTGTCATGTCCAAGTGTCATGTCCGAGCGTCATGTCCGAGTGTCATGTCCGAGAGTCATGTCCGAGTGTCATGTCCGAGTGTCATGTCCGAGAGTCATGTCCGAGTGTCATGTCCGAGTGTCATGTCCGAGTGTCATGTCCGAGAGTCATGTCCGAGTGTCATGTCCGAGAGTCATGTCCGAGTGTCATGTCCGAGAGACATGTCTGAGAGTCATGTCCGAGTGTCATGTCCGAGTGTCATGTCCGAGAGTCATGTCCGAGAGTCATGTCCGAGAGTCATGTCCGAGTGTCATGTCCGAGTGTCATGTCCGAGTGTCATGTCCGAGAGTCATGTCCTAGTGAGGGTCATGTCCGAGAGTCATGTCCTAGTGTCATGTCCGAGGGTCATGTCCGAGTGTCATGTCCGAGTGTCATGTCCGAGTGTCATGTCCGAGTGTCATGTCCGAGAGTCATGTCCGAGTGTCATGTCCGAGTGTCATGTCCGAGTGTCATGTCCGAGAGTCATGTCCTAGTGTCATGTCCGAGGGTCATGTCCGAGAGTCATGTCCTAGTGTCATGTCCGAGGGTCATGTCCGAGTGTCATGTCCGAGTGTCATGTCCGAGAGTCATGTCCGAGAGTCATGTCCGAGTGTCATGTCCGAGGGTCATGTCCTAGTGTCATGTCCGAGTGTCATGTCCCAGTGTCATGTCCCAGTGTCTGAGAGTCATGTCCGAGTGTCACTGTTGTGTTGATACCATAGACTATACCATCGAATGCAGACCATGATTGTCGGATGTTACCCGTTTTCACCAGGACTATAGGCCACCAGCGGTACTGCAGCCTAAATCCACATACATTCACAAAACTAAAACAATTACACACTGGAGGATGTTACTGTTTCTGTCTGAGGAACTTTTTTTTTTCTTTTTTTTTTTCATTGGTTTTTTACAAATCCAGTTTGTGCCACAACTCGATTCTCTCTGGTCTCTCTCTGGTCTCTCTCTGGTCTCTCTCTGGTCTCTCTCTGGTCTCTCTCTGGTCTCTCCAGGGTCTCTCCATGGTCTCTCTCTGGTCTCTCTCTGGTCTCTCTCTGGTCTCTCTCTGGTCTCTCTCTGGTCTCTCGCTAGTCTCTCTCTGGTCTCTCGCTAGTCTCTCCCTCTGGTCTTTCCCTGGTCCCTGTCCAGTCCCTCCGGTCTCTCTCTGGTCTCTTCGCTGGTCTCTCTCTGGTCCATTTGAGACACAAATACATTGATTGGTAAATGAGCCTTTTATAGAATGAGGAGTGGATCATCAGAGCCACAGACTGATGACAGGGCACTACATAATGGACAGAAGAGCAAATCAATCCAGGAAGAAACTGGTCCTGAGTCAGAGTCCGGCGTTTGAGGCTCCGAGGACCAGGGAGCACTCTGATTGGCTACAGACACAGATGATCCCAGAAAACTAACAACACACATATGTACTGTAAGTGTTTGGCTGTTTTTGCCTCGGTGGACGATGGCACCAACTCTCTTCAAAGACCATCAGTGACATTAGCCTTGACCTGTTATGGAGGAGACACAAAGATCCAAACCAACTGTCACACGGGCTCATGTGACATCACAACGTTCCAAAGAGTTTCACACCGTGGAGGAAGGCAACTGAAACATCTCACCTGGTAATGAACTGGTTTCAGATGCTCAAAGACGCTTCATTCCATACATGGTGGTGATAAACTACTACTGCCACAGCTGCCCTGGGGCACAATGACAGAGGCGAGGCAGCCAGTATGTGCTATCAGCCCCTCCCACCACCACCAACCACTCACACACACCAGACTCATTCTAATGTGGGGGAAGTGTCTTGCCTCAGGACACAACCACTGTTTGGCACTTTACAGCCGCAGCCGCCCCACTATGTTCCCAGAGGTCTCCCATCACAGCACTGACCAGACCCTCAGAGGTTGGACAGGTTCAGGCTTTCTCCTGTAGGGGGCGCCACAGACCTGAGTAAGTCTGAATGTAGTGAGTGAAGTAGAGTGTTCTGTCGTCATCGTGTGGAGAGAAATCTCAAACTCCAAAATATTGTAATATAAACTTTGTCAGAAATGTGCTATATAAATAAACACGGCTTACATAACTATGATCTCATTATTGTCTCATTAAGGCGTCTATAAGAGAGACCAGAGAGAGACCAGGGGGAGAGAGACCTGAGAGAGACCAGAGAGGCAGACCAGAGAGGCAGACCAGGGGGAGACCGGGGGGAGAGGCCAGAAAGAGAGAGACCAGAGAGAAACAGGAGAGAGACCAGAGAGATGCCAGAAAGAGACCAGAGAGAGAGAGACCAGAGAGAGACCAGAGAGAGACCAGAGAGAGACCAGGGAGAGACCAGAGAGAGAGACCAAAGAGAGACCAGGGCGATACCAGAGAGAGACCAGAGAGAAACCAGAGCGGCAGACCAGAGAGAGACCAGGGAGAGACCAGAGAGAGAGACTCATGCCATACTCATGAGTCATGAGTAATAGAGGAAACATTTTGGAGGTTAGTGCTGATCAGTCGTTGCTCATACTTAAAACTCAGACACGTCCAGCTTCAGACACAAACACTGCAATACTGAGTAAGACCATAAGAGAGAGACCGAGTCCAGGACACAACATCAAAGACTTTCAATCAGTTCTGCTTGTTGCAAGTCTCTCAATGGCCTCGCACCAAAGAACACAGGGACTGGCCTCCTGCTGGGAATCTGAGGAGCACAGGGACTGGCCTCCTGCTGGGAATCTGAGGAGCACAGGGACTGGCCTCCTGCTGGGAATCTGAGGAGCACAGGGACTGGCCTCCTGCTGGGACTCTGAGGAGCACAGGGACTGGCCTCCTGCTGGGACTCCAAGTTAAAATTTGGAACAGTTTTTCTGAAATTGTGAGACATTCTTCTTATCTGACAATGTTCAAATCCAGGTTAAAAAAAGTTCCTTTCAGTTCAAATGAAGGACTATATCTTTCCCGAACACTGATATCAAAGCCTCAGATAAAAACTTCACTTACTACATTCAGATCGATTGTACATCTTTTTAGTGGTAGGGGAAACTGGAGCACCTGGAGAAAACCTACGCAGATACGGTCAGAGCATGCAAACTCCACACAGAGAGGGCTAGAGGTGGAATCAGTCAGATGTGAGACCAGAGAGCGAGACAAGAGAGAGGGAGCAGGGAGAAAGACCCGAGAGAGACCAGAGAGAGACCAGAGAGACACCAGAAAGAGACCAGAGAGAGACCAGAGACCGATCTGTACGGCTGGTGGAGCAGAACAGAGTGATGTAATATTCATGTGTTGTGGATTTCCCCTGACCCTCTCTAGATTAGAACCTACGCACACACTGCTTTTCTATGTAGAATGATTCAGACTGAGAGTACTGAGAGAGTACTGAGAGAGTACTGAGAGAGTACTGAGAGAGTACTAAGAGAGTACTGAGAGAGTACTGAGAGAGTACTGAGAGAGTATTGAGAGGTCTGGAGTACAGGAGTTCTGGAGTACCTGGCCCCTGCTGGGTGGTGCTGTCGATGATCCACTTCACCAGACAACACTTCATCAGAGACTTTCTGTTAATGCGAGGTCTCTGCCATTTGTAGCCGTCGCTCTGCACGGGACTCGCTTCTTTACCGTTAGCGTCGGGCAAGAGGCCTCCGTCCACCGCCTTCTGATTGGTCTGAACCAGAACAAAAAAGAGAAAATGATTTAAAGACAATACACTTGTTTATGACAGGGGTGATGTGTTCTCAAAATAACTCTCACAGACACCAGCGAAAGACCCAAGAGAGAGACCAGAGAGAGAGACCAGAGAGACACCCAAGAGAGAGACCAGAGAGAGAGACCAGAGAGAGACCCAAGAGAGAGACCAGAGAGAGAGACCCAAGAGAGAGACCAGAGAGAGAGACCAGAGAGAGAGACCAGAGAGAGACCCAAGAGAGAGACCAGAGAGAGAGACCAGAGAGAGAGACTGGTGACAGAGAGAGAGACCAGAGAGACCTGAAGGAAACCCAGAGAGAGAAACAAGAGAGAGAAACCTCTGAACCTCATCACAATGAACACAATCCACAAAAGTTTTCTTATGAGAAGCACACTGTAAAAACCTTGAAAGGTGTCTCTCTGATGGTGCAGCTGGATTTCACTTACTGCTGGTTATTTTCAGAACATGAACCCCACAATAAACCAGGGACCATGTGGGATAATGGTTTCACGGCACACCCTTGTAGTAAAAGTAAGTAAAAGCTCTTGTTTATTTGAAACCAGAGCAGAAACTTACATGATATTGATTAGTTTAAGAAGTCTGTTTTAATAAAACCAGAGAGTATCAGAGCTCAGTGCGTAACATGATACAGATCTAATGTCTGAGGATACATTTGGTATCACATAGAAACACATACACACACACACACACAAACATACACACACACACACATGCGCACACACAAGTGCAAACACAGACATTCGCATTCATATGAATAACACACAAATACAGATATAGAGTAATGCTTTCTATTGGCCCATACCATAGAGAGTATACTGGACATGACATCACCACAGTGTGACATCACCACAGTGTGACATCACCACAGTGTGACATCACCACAGTATTAGCATTACTGTGGAGGAAGCTGATTTTGGCATAAGATGGAGCCAGTTTCCTTGTATGGGCATTTGTTCAGACGGCATTAGCTTTTGCTAAGACAAGCCATGAGACCAGAGAGAGACTGGAGAGAGACCAGAGAGAGACCAGAGAGAGACCAGAGAGAGACCAGAGAGAGACCAGAGAGAGACCAGAGAGAGACCAGAGAGAGACCAGAGAGAGAGACCAGAGAGAGACCAGAGAGACACCAGAGAGACACCAGAAGAATAATAAAGATGCTTGGTAAATCTCATCACTATCGAATATTGATCCGGAAAAGAGAACTTTAATTTTACAAAATTGATTGTAAAATATAATTGTACAACATTATATATTAATTTTTTTTAAATTGAAATAAAATTGTACTGCATCTCAGTCCCTGTGAGTCCCTGTGAGTCCCTGTGTGTCCCTGTGAGTCCCTGTGAGTCCCTGTGAGTCCCTGTGTGTCCCTGTGAGTCCCTGTGAGTCCCTGTGTGTCCCTGTGAGTCCCTGTGTGTCCCTGTGAGTCCCTGTGAGTCCCTGTGTGTCCCTGTGAGTCCCTGTGAGTCCCTGTGAGTCCCTGTGAGTCCCTGTGTGTCCCTGTGAGTCCCTGTGAGTCCCTGTGAGTCCCTGTGAGTCCCTGTGTGTCCTTGTGAGTCCCTGTGTTTCCCTGTGAGTCCCTGTGTTTCCCTGTGAGTCCCTGTGAGTCCCTGTGAGTCCCTGTGTGTCCCTGTGAGTCCCTGTGAGTCCCTGTCCTGTCGCAGATTCAAATATGAAAGATGCAAAAGCAGAGAAGAAGATCTCTCAATAATTCACACGTTTTAAGACGATGAATAAAAGATCCCGTTGCTGAGTGTACATATACAATAGAGAGACCAGAGAGAGACCAGAGTGAGACCAGAGAGAGACCAGAGAGAGACCAGAGTGAGACCAGAGAGAGACCAGAGAGAGACCAGAGTGAGACCAGAGAGAGACCAGAGTGAGACCAGAGTGAGACCAGAGAGAGACCAGAGAGAGACCAGAGAGAGACCAGAGTGAGACCAGAGAGAGACCAGAGAGAGACCAGAGAGAGACCAGAGTGAGACCAGAGTGAGACCAGAGTGAGACCAGAGAGAGACCATAGAGAGACCAGAGTGAGACCAGAGTGAGACCAGAGAGAGACCAGAGAGAGACCAGAGAGAGACCAGAGAGAGACCAGAGAGAGACCAGAGAGAGACCAGAGAGATACCAGAGAGAGAGACCAAAGAGAGACCAGGGCGATACCAGAGAGAGACCAGAGAGAAACCAGAGCGGCAGACCAGAGAGAGACCAGAGAGAGACCAGAGCGGCAGACCAGAGAGAGACCAGAGAGAGACCAGGGAGAGACCAGAGAGATAGACTCATGCCATACTCTATGTGTTTGTTGATATTTGAACAGTGTGATTCTCTAATCTGTTGTTGGTGAATCCACAACTTTGTAAAGTCAGAGACGACGGCTGTGCTTTAGGACGAGTCACAGAAACATTAAAACACATCCGTTCCAGTGATAATGACAACAATGAGAGTCACAGTTATTCTTTGAGTAAGATCTGAAAACTGCCGAAGGGAAAAGTATGGAGTTCTGAGACATTTCAATAATAGATACTTTGCTGCAGCACAGAAAGATGAGAGACAGAAGAATATTTGTCCCTTACCTGCATGTTGTCAGAGAGGAGAGATCTGTGCGAGTCCTCCTCAGTGATCCCCCTCTTCCTCCTCAGGACTCCTCCTCCTCCTCAGGGATGCACTTTCAGGTCTGTGGTTTGAACCCGGCTGTAAATCAGAGCGAGACCAGAGAGAGAAACTAGATGCCAGAGAAAGAGAGAGAGAGGACGAGAGACCAGAGAGAGAGAGATAGAGAGAGAGAGGAGAGAGAGAGAGACCAGAGAGGGAGACTAGATACCAGAGAGAGAGAGACTAGATACCAGAGAGAGAGAGACTAGATACCAGAGAGAGAGAGAGAGAGAGACTAGATGCTAGAGAGAGAGAGAGAGACCAGAGAAAGAGAGATAGAGAGAGAGAGGAGAGAGAGAGAGACCAGAGAGGGAGACTAGATACCAGAGAGAGAGAGACTAGATACCAGAGAGAGAGAGAGAGAGAGAGAGAGACTAGATGCTAGAGAGAGAGAAAGAGAGAGAGACTAGATACCAGAGAGAAAGAGACCAGAGAGGGAGACTAGATACCAGAGAGAGAAAGAAACCAGAGAGAGAGACTAGATACCAGAGAGAGTGAGAGAGAGACCAGAGAGAGAGACTAGATGCCATAGAAAGAGAGAGAGAGGGAAAGAGAGACCAGAGAGAGAGAGAGAGAGAGGAGAGAGAGAGAGAGAGAGAGATAGAGAGACCAGAGAGGGAGACTAGATACCAGAGAGAGAGAGACCAGAGAGAGCGAGAGACTAGATACCAGAGTGAGAGAGAGACACTAGATACCAGAGAGAAAGAGACCAGATGGAGACTAGATACCAGAAAGAGAGAGACTAGATTCCAGAGAGAGAGAGACTAGGCTATCTCTCTATCAAATAATTCATGGCATTTGAAGCTGGAGCCGATTTCCTCTTATGGGCTTTTCGATCGGCAGAGACTGGAACCAACAAAATAGATGTATTTTAGAATCGTATGTTGGTTGTTACATAATCAGACTCTACTTCAGAAAATACGACTCTCAAGACCACGTAGATCACATTTCTTTCTGCTGTAGAAAAATGTGGTTCAAATTTGGCTTAGACTGCCGTGTCTGACTGGCGAGGCGGTGATGGGGAGGAGGAGGGTTGCTGCATGAATGAAAGCTCCCTGTATGATGCAGGGTGAGGGCAGTGCTGTTGCCGCAGCGACAGGAGGAGTTCTTTCAGACTGAACCTCCACTTTAACTACACTCATTTTGACGCCGTAAGCTTTGCGCCGTAGCTAACGTGTTGCTAAGACAAGCTGGAGTTTCGCCTGTGAATGAAGGCCTCTGATTGGCCAGTCCACATACAACTCATATGTGGATTTACAAAGTTAATATCAGATATAAACAGCAGGATCACAGCGAAACCACAGATTTAAGCCCAAAATGCAGATTGTGACACCAACATTACTGAGCTAGAGGAGTTTATTTTTCATAGAAGTGAATAGGAGCCAGAGAAACTTCACCATGAGCACTTTCCTAATGGCTTCAGTAAGCTAGCGTGTTAGCAATGTCTTTCTGTATACAGTCTGGACTGGTCAAAGGTTTGATGTATGGCTCAAATACATGTATCGTGTGTTTTTTGATCGGCCATTGCTGCTGTAAGAAGCTGAGAGCATTTGTGACTCTGAGGCCGTTTCCTCTGTGCCTTTCGTTGCTTATTCTCCTCGTTCTTCGACTCTGGAGAAACCGTATCCAGATCATAGTGACCTTGGCCCGTCTCACATTTGCACCAGATGGATATTTTTATCTCTCCAGACTCCAGTTTCTCCGCAGTGCGTTCTGTCGGACTCCTCTGTATTTGCTCCAGTCTCATAAATGTTGCATCTTTTCTGTGTTTGTCACTAACTCTCACACGCACGACTGCACCTGCTGCTGCTGCTGCACCTGCTGCTGCTGCTGCACCTGCTGCTGCTGCTGCACCTGCTCCTGCTGCTGGCTGCTGCTGCTGCACCTGCTGCTGCTCCTGCTGCACCTGCTGCTGCTCCTGCTGCACCTGCTGCTGCTGCTGCACCTGCTGCTGCTGCTGCACCTGCTCCTGCTGCTGGCTGCTGCTGCTGCACCTGCTGCTGCTGCTGCACCTGCTGCACCTGCTCCTGCTCCTGCTGCTGCTGCTGCTCCTGCTGCTGCACCTGCTACTCCTGCTGCTGCTGCTGCACCTGCTGTTACTGCTGCTCCTACTGCTGCTGCTGTTACTGCTGCTGTTACTGCTGCTCCTACTGCTGCTGCTGCTCCTACTGCTGTTACTGCTGTTACTGCTGCTGCTGCTGAGACTGAGTAGAGTAGATAAACAGGGCTTTCTTTGCATGTATATTAGTTCTATGGCTCTTTGTGCTGTATAAACCCAAAGGCCTCTCTGTTCAGATGGGTTAACTCCTGTGTGGACTCTCTCTCTCTGGTTTCTCTCTGGTCTCTCTCTCTGGTTTCTCTCAGGTCTTTCCTCTGTGGACCTGCAGTGGCTCTGATTCCCAGAGCTCTAATTCTTAATTAACTTTTTCCTAATCTCTGAGTTCAGTGGAGCCAGAACTGAAGCTGCAGCAGAGACACAGGTTAATTACGCTGCTTTAGAATGAACAGGTCTCACTCAGACTTTGACTTTATACAGTGTGCTTTAAAGTCAAATTATGCTGCTGCTACTACTACTACTGCTTCTGCTGCTGCTACTACTGCTGCTACTACTATTGCTATTTCATGTCTGTTCAAAGAATGATTTTTAACAATTTTCACTCTGCTTTTTATCAGCAGTACCTGCCACACTGTCCTGCTGAGCGTCATAGGTCCCCCATCACAGTACTGACCAGGCCCTGTCCTGCTGAGCTTCAGAGGTCTACAGTAAATGTGTCTCTGAGTCAGCAGTCAGTGCTCGGGTGCTCACTCCCCCCTCTCCCCCCTCTCTCCTCCCCACCCTCACTCAGCTCTGATGGTGATGATCATGATGAGCAGAATCACAGACTTCACTGAACTCGGCAAAAGTTTTCCTCATTTTTCAAGCCATTTTGTGAAACTGAAATGAACTCTGTCTGAAGTCTCTTCAAGGAGAAAAATTACACTTTATTTTTGGCCAAAATAATATTGTTTCAGAATATGAAATATAAGAATTATACACATGTTTCAGCCTGTGATTCCCTATGCTGCCACCAGAGGGAGACCAGAGAGAGAGACCAGAGAGAGAGACCAGAGAGAGAGACCAGAGAGAGACCAGAGAGAGAGACCAGAGAGAGAGACCAGAGAGAGACCAGAGAGAGACCAGAGAAGGACCAGAGAGAGACCAGAGAGAGACCAGAGAGAAATCAGAGAATGAGTTATGTGATGTGTGCAGTTGCGCCTCTCGGACAGCAGGGGGCAGACTGAGCCCATGAACCACAGAGGGTCACGTGTTTCAGACCGAACTGTAAACGTTTACATTAAAAACACTGAGACAAACGTTTTATCTTCATATTCATTGATATTTACTTATTGCTCTGATTCTGAAGCATTTCCAGCTCCTCCAGTACGTTGTGTGATCTTACCGCTGTCCTTTAGTGCGCTGCAACACTGAAATTTCTCTCAGTGGAAGATTAAAGGATCTGAGTCTGAAACATCTGTTCTAAAGACGAGAGCGACAGGAAGTGACACTACGTCTGCTGCTTCCTCTCTCTGTACATTGTTTACTTTCCAATAACAAGGAAAAGGAAGAGGACACACACACACAGAGACACACAAACACACACACACAGAGAGACACACACACACACACACACAAAGAGAGAGACACACACACCCACACACTGAGACACACAAACACCCACACATTTCTTTGTGGTCTCTCCTGTGCAGAGGAAGTTCAGAGAGATTTCTGGAGAGCTCGAGGCTTGCACAAACATGTCCAGGATACAGGTCCATGTCCCGCCTCTTTCTCCTGAGGTTTGGGAGGAAGTGTACAACAGGATCCACCCCCTTCTCCTCTTTCTCCTCCTTCTCCTCAGGATCAACAGGAGCCACAGGAGCAGAGCAGGGGCCACAGTCTCCGGCTGCAGAGCTCAGGATCTGCTCAGACACTGATTCTGCTGAGAGCAGGACAACAGCAGCGGAGGAATGAGCAACAATCAGAAGGAGGTGAAGAAGATCCAGAGTGTGTATCTGCAGAATGTGGAGCGCCTGAACCAGAGCAAGAAACCAGAGAAGAAGCAGTGGACGCCCAGGGACGCAGATCTGGTGCAGACGGCCATGGAGAAGCTCAGGCACAAGAGCTCGGCTCATCGCATCAGCAGAGACCTGACCTGCTCCATCTGCCTGGACCTGTTCAAGCAGCCGGTGTCTCTGCCCTGTGACCACACCTTCTGCCAGAGCTGCATCCAGGGCTACTGGACGGGCCCCCGGGGGCCAGCCCAGGGCTCCTGCCCCCAGTGCAGGAAGGTGTATCCAGGCCAGAGCTACAGACCCAACCGCATCGTGGCCAACATCGTGGAGAGCTACTGCCACGGCTTGGAGGAAGGGGACCAGGGGCCCCTGCTGGAGCTGAAGGCCCCTGAGCAGCCGGTGCCTCGCTGCCTCAGACACAGAGAGGAGCTGAAGCTTTACTGCGAGGAGGACCAGGAGCTCGTGTGTCTGGTCTGTGGTCTGTCCCAGGAGCACCGCGCACACACTCTGGTCTGTGTGCAGGAGGCGCAGCACAAGTACAGAGTGAGTCTGCTGCATGTGACATCACTCCTGCTGCATGTGACATCACTCCTGCTGTATGTGACATCACTCCTGCTGCATGTGACATCACTCCTGCTGCATGTGACATCACTCCTGCTGCATGTGACATCACAGTGTCTCCTCAGGCCTCCCTGAACAGTTCCATGGATTCTCTGAAGGCAGAACTAAACATCGCTCTGCAGTGCGACCGCGAGGCCGAGGAGGAGGTCCGGAAACTCAAGGTGAAGCTATGTCCAGACTTTATACATGAGTATATAAAATAATAAATATATATAAAAATATAAATACAGAGCTCTGTGTCAATATCACAGCTAATGATGACGACACAGAAACCATCATTATATAAACTTATGATGTAAATATATCTGTAAACCACATTCTCCTGGTCCTGGTGTGACTCATGGTGTGACTCATGGTGTGACTTCTGGTGTGACTCATGGTGTGACTCCTGGTGTGACTCCTGGTGTTGCAGGAGCACACGGCGGACCTGAAGCAGCGGATCGAGGCCCAGTTCAGTGACCTGCACCAGTTCTTGTACCAGGAGGAGAAGCTGCTGCAGGTGAAGCTGAAGACGGAGGAGCGCAGGGAGCTGATCCGATTGGACGAACACAAAGCTCTGCTTTGTGTGGAGATCTCCCGCCTCCAGGGGGCAGTGCAGGAGACCGAGGACAAGCTGAATGAGAAGGACCCATTCACACTGCTCAGGGTCAGAAACACACATGAATACATGACCTAAAATTGTATTTTGTTAAACATTCCGTTACTTTGGAACAAGTAGTACTTGGATTCCGAATACTTCTGCTTCAGCCTCAGCCGTCTTCTACCAGAAAAGAACAACACTTTGAGGCAAATATTATTGGAGCAGATGGAGCATCCTGTACTCCTGAGTATAAAAAACATTCATCAACATTCTAATCTTTGAACTGAGTCGTAAATGACCCAGATGTTTTACTGCGTTACAGAAAAAGGTGACGTCCTTACATCACTTTCATTACGTTCCCTTTGTACCGTGTTTCTCCAGCTCTGGCCACATCTGGAAGAGCTCAGACTCATGACTCCGAGATCAGCACAACACTGAGGATTCTATTCAGAACTCATTTGTTTCCATCAGTGTTTGTCTCATAAAAACCCAGATTTAAACTTGAAACCACATTCAGAGCAGGGTGTGACTCTGTGCTGTTTCCGCTTCACATTCCTCAGTCCCTCAGTCTCTCACTGGTCTCTCGGTCTCTCTCTGGTCTCACAGGTCAGAGACTGTAGAGCTGACGCTGCACCACAGAGTAATGAGTCCATAATAACAGAGGACTGAGCCCAGACGGAGAGGCTGTGATCTCACGCTCTGATCAGTGGAGACAGGCCTCAGGCACAGTCCTGCTCTGGGGCCTCAGCACAGGGACTTTCCCGGCCTCAGAGGGAGCTCAGGGAGGATATGTGACATCACAAACTGATGCAATATGGAAAAGACATCTTCAGATTCAACCTAACACTCAGTCTCCTCCTCTGTGCTTTTCCAGGGCATCAAGGCACTGCTGCAGAGGTGAGAAAATCATCCAACTGTATGATTTATATCAACATCAGAATCTAACAGTTCAGACACAAGAGAGAGACCACTGTCCTCACAGCCTGATGCATCAGAGGCGATCAGGAACCCAGAGAGAGAGAGAGAGAGAGAGAGACAGACAGACAGACAGACAGACAGAGACAGACAGACAGACAGACAGACAGACAGACAGACAGACAGACAGACAGACAGACAGACAGACAGACAGACAGACGGAAAAAACAAGTGACTCTAAAATCCACACAAAAGTCGTTCTCTATGAAAGCTGTAGGTTCTCTGTCAGGTGAGGTGGAGCTGTTTTAGTTTACATTGAGTTCTATGTGACATTTTTCTGGGTAGCCCGTGTGAATGTAGTCTACAGTACCACTGGCGCCTCCTGTGCCCATGGGTCGGACAGCTATAAGCTATCTATCCATATATCATTATAGATCCATAAGCAGCAGAGGATTGTATATTATATCATTGATATATTAAAGTATTATGTATCATATTATATACACACATTCTACTCAGACTGTGCTGAACATGTATTCATTACGGAGACATTTGTGACGCCTCTGAAGCTGTGCAGGGTAGGGCCTGGTTAGCACTGTGATGGGAGACCTCTGGGCACACCAGGTGCCCCAGGGCAGCTGTGGCTATAGCAGTAGTTTATCACCACTGTGTTTGGAAGAAATGAATAGCTTTACCCTCCGTTCACTGGGACACGGTGCCTCTGTTCTCAGGCCGCTGTTGAAGTTTGAAAAGCCAGTGTTCACTCCTCCCTCTCTGTGCGAGGGCAGGTTTGCTGGTCCTCTTCAGTACCGAGTCTGGAAGTCCATGAAGGGGAGCCTCTACCCAGGTACCTGCTCTCTGTGTGTCTCTGTCTCCTCTGTCCCTGTGTTCTCTGTCTCTGTGGTCCATGTGCTCTGGTCTCTCTCTGGTCTCTGTCTCCTCTGTTTCTGTGGTCTCTCTGTGTGTCACTCTTTTCTCAGTGGTCCAAATGTCACAAACCTCTCTGTGTTCTTTGTCTCTCACCTCTCTCAGTGCTCTGTCTCTCTGTGGTCTGTGTCTCTGTGGTCTCTCAGTGCTCTGTCTCTCTGTGTGCTCTGTGTCTCTGTAGTACCGGCTGCCATCACCTTTAACTCCAGCACAGCGAACCCGTGGCTGAGTCTGTCCTCGTCTCTGACCTGTGTGAGGTACCAGACCTTCAATCACGCCGTGGAGGACAATCCCGAACGCTTCAACGCTGCGCTCTCCCTGCTCGCCAGCCAGGGCTTCACCCACGGACGGCACTACTGGGAGGTGGAGGTCTACAGCAGCACCGTCTGGACCGTGGGCGTGGCCAAGGAGTCTGTCCCCAGGAAAGGTGTGATCAAAGCCCTGCCCCCCAACGGCTTCTGGACCCTGTCTCTGTCCTACGGGGTCCAGTACATGGCTGGGACTTCCCCCCCCACGGTGCTGTCCCTGGAGGAGTCTCTGGACCGGATCGGGGTCTACCTGGACTACAAGAGGGGCCTGGTGTCCTTCTACAACGCCAAGAGCATGACGCACCTGTACACGTTCAGAGAGAACTTCACCCAGACCCTGTACCCCTACTTCAACCTGGGCTTTCTGGATAAAGTCCACGAGAACGAACCCCTCAAAGTCTTCCTCCCCAAAATATAAGTAACTGACTAACTTATCAGTATTTATAGAGCGCTTTTTTACAGACCAAGGTCATTCAAAGCGCTTTACAATGTATATAAGTAAGTTTACGATTGTTATTTTTGGGCATCAGTCTCTCACTCCACACAGAGACAGGAGCAGGGTCGCCAGTACAGGAGCCGCATGCCAGAACTATTGTAAACGTTTTTAGTGGTAGGTAGGGGAAACCGGAGCACCCAGAGGAAACCTATGCAGACACGGGGAGAACATGCAAACTCCACTCAGAAAGGCCCTGGTCCGACCGGGATTCGGACTCTCTGAGAGGCGAGAGTGCTAACTACTCAGCCACCAAGAAGTGAATCAAGGGAGACCAAACATAGGCCCGAGGGCTAAACAAGGCCCTCCTCTTTCTGAGTGGAGTTTGCATGTTCTCCCCGTGTCTGCGTAGGTTTCCTCCAGGTGCTCCGGTTTCCCCTACCACTAAAGACATGCACAATAGGCATGAATGTGAATGAGAGAGTGAATGGATGGTGTTGATTGGGGGCTGATGGTCCAGTGTGTTCTGGACTCGCTTCCGTCATCACCGTGTGTGGAATGATTGGAACAATATCTGACTCTGAACATTGTAAAGTGCTTTGGGTCTGACCTTGGTCTGTAAAATGCACTATATTAATAAACATAACTTACTTACTTTACTCACTCTGTGTCATCTATTTTCCCCTCTGTGTCATCCAGCCAACTTCAGCTCCACAGTCCACTCTAGAATCCGGGCGTTAACTTAATTTGTATAAACTGAATCTGTCCCAAAACTCCAGATAATTAAGTCTGGACACCCCTGTTGATTCATGTGTTCATAGTTTGATACAATTATTCTTTATTATTTTTAGTGAATTACATTGTTACATGTTCACACTGTTTTAATAAAGTTTAGACAAAAACAACTTTGGAGAAAAAAAATCTATGAAACTGATGTCACCCTGTCATCATGAGGGAGGGGAGGGGTCACATTCACCCTGTCATCATGAGGGAGGGGTCACATTCACCCTGTCATCATGAGGTAGGGATCACATTCACCCTGTCATCATGAGGAAGGGGAGGGGTCACATTCACCCTGTCATCATGAGGGAGGGAGGGGTCACATTCACTCTGTCATCATGAGGTAGGGGTCACATTCACCCTGTCATCATGAGGGAGGGGTCATATTCACTCTGTCATCATAAGGGAGGGGTCACATTCACTCTTTCATCATGAGGGAGGGGAGGGGTCATATTCACCCTGTCATCATGAGGGAGGGGTCACATTCACCCTGTCATCATGAGGTAGGGATCACATTCACCCTGTCATCATGAGGGAGGGGAGGGGTCACATTCACCCTGTCATCATGAGGGAGGGAGGGGTCACATTCACTCTGTCATCATGAGGTAGGGGTCACATTCACCCTGTCATCATGAGGGAGGGGTCATATTCACTCTGTCATAAGGGAGGGGTCACATTCACTCTTTCATCATGAGGGAGGGGAGGGGTCACATTAACTGTCATCATGAGGGAGGGGTCACATTCACCCTGTCATCATGAGGGAGTGGTCATATTCACTCTGTCATCATGAGGGAGGGGAGGGGTCACATTCACTCTGTCATCATGAGGGAGGGGTCACATTCACTCTTTCATCATGAGGGAGGGGAGGGGTCACATTCACTCTGTCATCATGAGGGAGGGGTCACATTCACCCTGTCATCGTGAGGGAGGGGTCACATTCACACTGTCATCATGAGGGAGGGGTCACATTCACCCTGTCATCATGAGGAGGGGTCACATTCACCCTGTCATCATGAGGGAGGGGTCACATTCACCCTGTCATCATGAGGGAGGGGTCATATTCACTCTGTCATCATGAGGGAGGAGTCACATTCACCCTGTCACCATGAGGGAGGGGTCATATTCACTCTGTCATCATGAGGGATGAGTCACATTCACCCTGTCATCATGAGGGATGAGTCACATTCACCCTGTCATCATGAGGGAGGGGTCACAATCACCCTGTCATCATGAGGGAGGGGTCACAATCACCCTGTCATCATGAGGGAGGGGTCACATTCACCCTGTCATCATGAGGGAGGGGTCACATTCACCCTGTCATCATGAGGGAGGGGTCACATTCACCCTGTCATCATGAGGGAGGGGTCACATTCACACTGTCATCATGTGACATCATTCATCGTCTCTAATTCTAATCAGTCTTGAATCAAACTAAATGGTGAGAAAACTGCTTCATGTTAGACTACTGAAACCTACTGTACTCATACTGTACTCTGAGTACTAGTGTATCTCTGAGTACTCGAGTAAATGCAGACTCCTGGCGCTCTCTTTGTGTCCACTCTTTGTCTGCAGCTGTATATGTTTAAGAAGGTTCTTCAAAAAGGAAATTGTGTAAAAAAGATATTACGCTCTGTCCAGTCACCAAGAAGAAAAATATTCTTTACAGTTCTCTGTGTGGTTCTCTGTGGTTCTCTGTTGTTCTCTAAGTGGCTCTCTGTGTGGCTCTCTGTGTGGCTCTCTGTGTGGCTCTCTGTGTGGTTCTCTGTGTGGTTCTCTGTGGTTCTCTGTGGTTCTCTGTGGTTCTCTGTGTGGCTCTCTGTGTGGTTCTCTGTGTGGCTCTCTCTGTGGTTCTCTCTGTGGTTCTCTGTGTGGCTCTCTATGTGGCTCTCTGTGTGGCTCTCTGTGGCTCTCTGTGGCTCTCTGTGTGTCTCTCTGTGTCTCTGTGTGCTTCTCTGGCCGCCCTGACGTCCTCAGCTCTGGTGCAGCGTGTCCTGGAACTTGGTGCTGCTGAACCGCACATGGAACCCTTTCTTACTCACGCTGTCGTCTGAGTGAAACTTTAACAGGATGGAGTCTCCGGCTGAGTACAGATCCTCCGGAGCCTGCAAACACATGCCAAGAGTGAGACAAGGAGCTAACCCAGTATTGTCAGTGAGGTTGGATGTGGAGCCCCCTGCTGGAGGAGTGTGGTAACAGCACTGTCCTCTCTCCTACTGTATCTGTCAGTTTGACTTTAGTTGTAGTCTGTTCATTGCTATTGACCCTTTGTCCCATTGTCTGTTTCATGGCGTGAACTGCATCTGTGAACTGTCTCGACCTAAAGAGAGACCAGAGAGAGAGAAAGAGAGAGAGAAACCAGAAACTAAAGAGGGATCAGAGGGAGACCAGAAAGAGACCAGAAATCAGAGAGAGCAGAGAGAGAAACCAGAAACTGAAAAGAGATCAGATGTAGATCAGAAATCAGAGAGAGAGAGCGACCAGAGACTAAAGAGAGACCAGAAATAGACCAGAAATCAGTGAGAGAGAGACCAGAAACCAAAGAGAGAGACCGGAAAATTTTCAGGGAGACCAGAGATAGGTATAAGAGAGTCACAAAAGACGGAAACCAGAGAGAGCGAAACCAGAAAGACACCAAAGACAGAGACCAGAAAGAGACCAGAGAGAGACCAAAGAGAGACCAGACCAGAGACTATAGAAAATACACAAACACAGTGAATTGTCTCCTGGTTTGGTCCTTACTCCTGATCCACAGAAGCGCCCGAGTCGTGGGGATTTGGTGTCCGCCCCGTCGTACAGCTCCACGTAGTCGTATCCACAGTCTGCTTCCTCCTCGATCTCGAACACGGTGAAGACCACCTCCACGCCGTAACCCTTCTCTGCAGACACCACCCACTCACAGTCCGCTCCTCCGGGGTAGTTAGTGTCTCCAAACTGAGCGTGAGAAAATAGGTCTTTGGTCTGGACCTCAGCCTTCAGGGTCCCTCCGCATTCTGGGAACCACCACAACATCAGATTCAATAATAATAATAATAATAATAGTAATAATAATAATAATAATAATAATAATAATAATAATAATAATAATAATAATGCTGCATCTGTTTTACACAGTGGTTTTCTGGACTTATTTCTTCTAATAATGTGAGATGTGGTTTGATGATAGGGCCCTTGAAATGTGCATTCTTCCCCCCAGAGAGAGACCAGAGAGACACCAGAGAGAGACCAGAGAGAGACCAGAGAGAGACCAGAGAGACCAGAGAGAGACCAGAGAGAGACCAGAGAGACCAAAAAGAGACCAGAGAGAGACCAGGGAGAGATCAAAGAGAGACCAGAGAGAGACCAGAGAGAGACCAGAGAGAGATGAGAGAGACCAGAGAGCGAGACCAGAGAGAGACCAGAGAGAGAGAGATGAGAGAGACCAGAGTGAAAGCTGAGAGACACCAGAGAGAGACCAGAGAGAGAGAGATGAGAGAGACTAGAGTGAGAGCTGAGAGACACCAGATAGAGACAAGAGAGAGACCAGAGAGAGAAAAGAGACAGTAGAGAGAGAACAGAGAGACCAGAAAGAGGGAGTGTACCTGAGTACAGTACCACAGTACCTGATCGGTGTGAGGCCTCGAACCCTCTCTTCTGCACAGAGTTGTCGGAGTAGAAGCGTAAGAACATGGTGGTGTTGCTGGAGAGGAGCGGCGAGGGCTTCTTACTCCCACAGAACCGACCCAGACTCTGAGCTCGCTGGTCCTTACCATCGTACACCTCCAGATGGTCATACGCACACTCCAGATGAGACTCCATATCGATCTCACTAAAGATCTGAAACATAAATATAATAAATATAGGGAAACTCTGGAAGCACCTAAAGTAGCCAGGGACGCACCAGTTTGATGCGGTGACCAGGTGTCGTGGACAGAGACCATGTGCAGACCTTCTTGCTGGGGTATTTGTCTGGCCAGTTGGGGCTCCTGATTACTCCTGATGCACTGGTCACAACTAGGTCACATCCAGCTGCAGGGACACAAACCTGATGAACTGCTGTATGTGTCTATATGGTAATAACCATCACAGGGTTAATGATGGACCAGAGAGAGACTGGAGAGAGACTGGAGAGAGAGGGACCAGAGAGTGACTGGAGAGAGAGAGACACAAGAGAGAGAGATACCAGAGAGAAACTGGAGAGAGAGGGACAAGAGAGAGAGAGATCAAAGAGAGACGGGAGAGAGAGAGACCAGAAAGAGAGACCAGAGAGAAAGACCAGAGAGAGAGATACCAGAGAAAGAGGACAGAGGGATAGACCAGAGACAGACCAGAGAGAGACCAGAAAGAGAGACCAGAGAGAGACTGGTACCTTCTTTACAGTCATGTTTGTTGTCGTGCAGAGTGAATCCGCTGCGACAGCGACAGGTGTAGCTCCCAAACGTGTTCATGCACTCATGCTGACAGCCACCGTTCACTGTGGAACATTCATCCACATCTGAGGAGGAGGAGAACACAATGAGAGAGAGACCAGAGATCAGAGAGAGATAGACCAGAGAGAGACCGGAGAGAGAGAGAACAGGGAGAGACCAGAGAGACCAGGGAGAGACCAGAGAGAGAGACCAGAGAGAGAGAGACCAGGGAGAGACCAGAAACCAGAGGGAGAGAGCCCAGAGAGAGATCAGAGAGAGAGAGACCAGAGAGAGACCAGGGAGAGACCAGGGAGAGACCAGAGAGAGAGAGACCAGGGAGAGAGAGACCAGGGAGAGACCAGAGAGAGAGACCAGGGAGAGACCAGGGAGAGACCAGAGAGAGACCAGAGAGAGACCAGAGAGAGAGAGACCAGGGAGAGACCAGAGAGAGACCAGAAAGAGACCAGAGAGAGAGACCAGGGAGCGAGAGACCAGGGAGAGAGACCAGAGAGAGAGAGACCAGGGAGAGACCAGAGAGAGAGACCAGGGAGAGATCAGGGAGAGACCAGAGAGAGAGAGACCAGGGAGAGATATACACTAGAAAGAGAGACCACAGAGAGAGACTAGAGGTGTGTGTCAGATTCAGATCAGATTCATTTATTTGCAATTTGCAGTAAAACCACATTGAAATACATATGCAAAAGTCCCCAGTGTGCACAAGACAAGTACATAATGTCTGTGTGTGTCTCTGTGGGCGTCTCTCTCTCACCAGAGAAGTAGTGGGCCGTGAACCCCCTCTTGGAGACCGTGTTGTCGGACTTGAACTCGACCCTCATGCTGTTCTGCTTCGATGTGATCACTTCTGGTTTCTCGGAGCCACAGAACTTTCCGTGGAGTTCAGCCTCAGCGCTGAGGCCGCTGCGCACCTCCACAAAGTCATATTTACAAACCTGCAGCAAAACAGGAACAAGAACGATCATTATCATCAATATTATTTATTATTGATGGATTTAAAAGTAAGTAAGTAAGTAATCTTTATTTATATACCACCTTTCACAGACGAGTCACAAAGCGGTTTACAATTGTGGGCATTTGTCTCTCACTCCACACAGAGATGGGAGCGGGGCCAGTACAGGAGGCACATGCCAGATCTATTGTACATGTTTTTTAGTGGTAGGGGAAACCGGAGAACACGGAGGAAACCTACACAGACACGGGGAGAACATGCAAACTCCACTCAGAAAAGCCCTGTTCCGACCGGGATTCGAACCCAGGACCTTCTTGCTGAGAAGCGAGAGTGCCGCCCAAAATCCTAAAAGGATTATGGGACTGTTTACTTAGTCATTTCCAGTAGGAGCAGTGTCTGCAGTCAGAGCTCCCTGAAACTCTGTGGGTTTATGTTTCCTCCATAACAAGGATATTCACTGTCTATAACAGTCACAGATATACAGTATACAGAGAGGCTGACGCTGGACTGTACACACTGTGTGTACGTGTGTCTATGTGTGTGTGTCTGTGTGTGTACGTGTGTCTATGTGTGTGCACTTGTTTTCAACTCCTGGTGGGTTCCATAACCTGAGATTCCACTCACGTCATGGGGACTGGTTTTACGTGGTGGGGCCCGAACACCGGACCCCACTGGTCCAAGCTTAATAATCAATGGGTAATGCTTTTCTAACGGTCCTTATGCAGTCTCTGTAAAAATATGGAAAGGACCCCTGGAGGTTTACTTTCCTGAAAAAAGTGTGTTATGTGTCGGAACCCTGGTGGTGGGTTGCGGGATATCAAGGAGGGGCACACTGGGGCAATTTCAGTCCAGCAGGCTGGAGCCAATCATGGAGCAGCACAACAGAGGAAATCAGGTGTCAGGCTAGAAAAAGTGCAAGTGTGTGGTTCATTAGGCTGCAAGAAATCATGGAGGAGCACACTGAAGCGCACGCTTACAAACCACTGGTAAGTGCTGACTACAAGTCATGACTTCAAATTGTTATATATAATTATTACAAATTATTTGTTGTTTGTGCAGCTTAGTCAAGAGTCCCTAATTGATGAAGTCGACTCAGATTCTGACGATTTAACTGTCAAGAAGAAACCTGTAAAAAAGTATGGAAAAAGAAAAATCAAAAACACTTTTCTTCAAGACTCGGAAAGTGACGAACCAAAGGCAAATAAGATTGTTATCATGCAGCTGCAAAAGAAGAAAAATGGGGGGCGAGTTTATAGCAAGAGACACTTCTGCCTCTACTGTTCAATGTCCTGCCACAAAATGTCCCGTCATTTGACTAGAAAACATGGAAATGAAAGTGACGTAGCCAGAGCATTGGCTCTACCTGTGAAATCTAAAGCACGTAAACTTCAGTTTGATTTGATCAGGAATAGTGGAAACCGTGAGCACAATTTTGAGGTTTTAAAGGCCGGCATTGGAACTTTAGTCCCAGCTAAACAGCCAAATTCCCCAGTTAAATCCAGTGAGTTTTTGCACTGTATAGACTGTGGGGCATTGCTTAAGCGAAAGTCGCTGTGGAGGCATGTGGCCAGGTGCCGGCTTTCACAGAAAGATGCCCAGGCTAAACCAGGTAGAAGTAGGGTCCAGTCCCTCTGCTCCCTAGCCCAGCCTGTACCGGAGGGCATCAGCAAAAAGCTGTGGTCTTTAATTTCGGCAATGCATCAGGATGAGGTCACGGGTGTTGTCAAAGCAGAAAAGGGGATTCTGAGACTCGGAGAGCACCTGTACTTAAAACACGGGCATGATAAGACTAAGCATGATTACATTAGGCAGAAAATGAGAGAAGTCGGTAGGTTAATTAACGAAGCAAAAACTGCAGGGAAACTGAAAACAATTAAGGATTTCTTTATTCCTTCCAACTTTAACCATGTGATTGATGCAGTCAGGTCTGTGGCTGGATATGATGAGGAAACAAATCAATACAAGACTCCATCCTTGGCCCTCAAACTCGGCCATAGCCTCAGAAAGCTAGCAGATATTCTTGAATGTGACTCAAAAATGGAGCATTGTGTTGATGAACTATTTATTAAAAACCTCCAACGAAGCCGGCTGCTTTTTGAGAAGAGGTGGGACGTCTGTGTTTCTTCTGCTGCCCTACAGACCCTCCGGCAAGCCAAGTGGAACACTCCGGACCTGCTCCCTCTGACTGAGGACGTTAGAGCCATGCATGCACATATTGAGGTATGTCGACCTGAATATGTGCAAACCCTAATAAGTGAGCCAACGTCTAAGCATTGGTCTAAACTGGCAGTTTTGACTCTTTGTGAGGTCATTATTTTCAATCGAAGAAGGGAAGGTGAGGTTTCAAAGATGCCACTGACAGCCTTTACCTTAAGAAGTAAGACTGGGATCCATTCTGACATTGCTCTGGGACTGTCCCAACTTGAGAAAAAGCTGTGTCAGCATTTTCAACGCATTGAAATTAAAGGGAAAAGAAGTCGGAAAGTGCCGGTTCTTTTGACTCCTGAAATGATTGCTTCGATGGAGGTGCTGGTGGAGAACAGAAGGGCCTGTTCCATCTCTGACCATAACCCATACTTCTTTTCCCGCCCGGGCGCAGACACCCACATCAGGGGATCAGACTCCCTACGGCAGGTAGCCAAAGAATGTGGTGCGGTGCATCCAGAGATGCTATCCTCAACCAAACTTAGAAAGCACATAGCTACTATGTCTACAGTTCTCAATATGAAAGAGAATGAGATGGACATACTTGCCAACTTCCTCGGCCATGACATTCGCATCCACAGGCAATATTACAGACTACCAGAGGGGACACTGGAGCTGGCCAAAATCAGCAAAGTGTTGATGGCCATGGAGCAGGGAAGAGTGACGGAATTCGAAGGAAAGAGCCTCGACCAGATACAAATTGAGCCTGAAGGTAATTCTTATTAAAATATGTATGATTTTTTTCCCCTAAAGGCCACTTGTATTTTTATTTTCTGTGCGACAGGGAGAGCAGTAGAGATCCTCTCACAAACGGACGGGCTAAAAGAAACTTCAAGCGGAGAACCTTCAACCATTCATCCAGATGCACCCCATGGTAGTGGCAGTGCCCCTTCTGGTAAGTGTACCAGGTGGGGGATTACAGCCAGGCTGCTTGGTCCTAACCCTGGGAGTGTATATTGCTAATATATTTTTATTTCTCTCCCTAGAACGTGTAAGAAAGCCATGGTCTGCATCTGAGGTGAAGGCTGTGGAGAAGACCATGACACCTTTCATACAGACTGGAAAAGTACCTGGGAAGTCTCACTGCCTGGCCTGCATTAATGCCTCACCAGATGACCTTAGACATCGGACATGGAGTGGCATTAAATTCTATGTCAAAAATAGAATCACTGCAATTCGAAAAAAAAATCTAAAATAAAATTCCTTTAAAATAGTTGTTTGGTTTCTATTGACTGTTTTGTATTACTTAAAGTAGTCCCAGTAAAAAAAGATTATGTCTATGGGTCCCATTCTGAACGGCCCTGTCAAAGGGACCCACCAGGTAACAAAAACGTGTATGTGTGTGTCTGTGTGTGTACGTGTGTCTATGTGTGTGTGTCTGTGTGTGTATGTGTCTGTATGTGTGCCTGTGTGTATCTCTGTTTGTGTGTGTGTGTGTGTGTGTGTGTCTATGTGTCTGTATATGTGCCTGTGCGTGTGTCTGTGTGTGTCTGTATGTGTGTCTGTGTGTGTGTGCCTGTGCGTGTGTCTGTGTGCGTGTGTCTGTGTGTGTACGTATATGTGCCTGTGTGTCTGTATGTGTGTGTGTGTCTGTGTGTGTGTCTATGTGTCTCACCTCGTTGCCCTCGGTCTCGAAGGCGTCGAACACCAGGCTGATGCGGTACTGCAGCGGGACCACCAGCTGCCACACACAGTTCTTGTTGGGGGGGTACTCTTTGGGCCATCCAGGGGTGAACAGGGAACCGTTCAGTTTGGTGAGGAACCCGCCACACGCAGCTGCTGAAGGGGGAGGTCAGGGTCAGAGGTCATGGTACCTACACACCTGTCTCCATCTCTGTTAAAGCTGCAGTACCTGACTTTGAAACCACAAAACATGAATCATTTAATAACATCCTTTCATCTGTCTGTTGCATGTTGGCCAAAAGTCTTAGAGGGACTAAATGATTCAGGGCTGGTCAAGTTATGAGATATAATCAAAATCATTCAGTGCGAACAAAATTATTCAGGGTCTTTTTGAATCACTGTGGCCCGAGGGAAACATAAATTATAAACTAGCACTGATTCACTGCCTTCAATATTCAGTCCAAAAGCACTGGGATGAGAAGAGTTTGCTCCAGGAGGAAATACCAGGACTTTAGAAAGTCCCTTTGAATCCTGTCTGTAAAGATGTTAGTCAGCAGCGCCCCCTGGAGTACGAAGGAACAAGGTGCAGGTCTGGAGGCAGTTGGTCCCTGAGTCCTGATGCCTGAGAGGGACCAGAGAGAACAGAGAGAGAGAGAGCAGAGACTGACCAGAGAGAGACCAGAGAGAGGCCAGAGAGACCAGAGAGAGACCAGAGAGAGACCAAAGAGAGACCAGAGAGAGACCAGAGACAGACCAGAGAGAGACCGGAGAGGGACCAGAGAGAGCGAGAGAGAGAGAGACCAGAGAGAGGCCAGAGAGACCAGAGAGAGACCAGAGAGAGACCAGAGAGAGACCAGAGAGAGACCAGAGAGAGACCAGAGAGAGACCAGAGAGAGACCAGAGAGAGACCAGAGAGAGACCAGAGAGGGACCAGAGAGAGCGAGAGAGAGAGAGACCAGAGAAAGAGACCAGAGAGAGAGGTGCAGAGGTGTGTTAGCAACAGAACAGTGTATGGTGGACTCACGGTCACAGCTGCGTTTGTCGATTGCGAGTTCGAAGCCCGGGTCACACGCACATCTGTAACTGCCCAGAGTGTTGAGGCAGCGCTGCTCACACTGACCTCTGTCCGGACGCGAACACTCGTCCATCTCTGTCAACAACATCACAGTAACAAGATAACAAGTATTACTATCTCTACTCCAGAGAGACCAGAAAGAGACCAGAGAGAGACCAGAGAGAGACCAGAGAGAGACTAGAGAGAGAGACCAGAGAGAGACCAGAGAGAGACTAGAGAGAGAGACCAGAGAGAGACCAGAGAGAGACCAGAGGGAGACCAAAGAGAGACGAGAGAGACCAGAGAGAGACTAGAGAGAGAGACCAGAGAGAGACCAGAGAGAGACCAGAGGGAGACCAAAGAGAGACGAGAGAGACCAGAGAGAGACCAGAGAGAGACTAGAGAGAGAGACCAGAGAGAGACCAGAGAGAGACTAGAGAGAGAGACCAGAGAGAGACCAGAGAGAGACCAGAGAGAGACCAGAGAGAGACCAGAGAGAGACCTGAGAGAGACCAGAGAGAGACCAGAGAGAGACCAGAGAGAGACCAGAGAGAGACCAGAGAGAGACCAGAGAGAGACCAGAGAGAGACCAGAGGGAGACCAAAGAGAGACCAGAGAGACCAGAGAGAGACCAGAGAGAGACTAGAGAGAGAGACCAGAGAGAGACCAGAGAGAGACCAGAGAGAGACCAGAGGGAGACCAGAGAGAGACCAGAGAGAGACCTGAGAGAGACCAGAGGGAGACCAGAGGGAGAGACCACAGAGAGAGACCAGAGAGAGACCAGAGAAAGACCAGAGAGAGACCAGAGGGAGACCAGAGAGAGACCAGAGAGACCAGAGAGAGACCAGAGAGAGACCAGAGGGAGACCAGAGAGAGACCAGAGAGAGACTTGAGAGAGACCAGAGGGAGAGACCACAGAGAGAGACCAGAGAGAGACCAGAAAGACCAGTGAGAGAACAGAGAGAGACCAGAGGGAGACCAGAGACCAGCGAGAGACCAGCGAGAGACCAGCGAGAGACCAGAGACAGGCGAGAGGCAAGACACTTCAGCCATATTGCCTAGAATGACTCTGGTGTGTGTGTGAATGGTTGGTTTTGGGAGGGGCTGATAGCACTGGCTGCCTTGTTTCTGCCAGTGTGCCCCAGGGCAGCTGTGGCTACAGTATTAGTTTATCAACACTGTGTATGGAGTGAATGAATAATAACAAAAGAGTGAGGGGAAGTTTGAGTTTCCTGAAAGCATTATATAAAACCGATGCATTATTATGATTATCATTGTTATTAACTGACCTTTGAAGAAGTTGGCTGAAAACCCAGCTTTATTGACAGAAGCGTCGGACACAAACTTCAGCCAGAGTTTGTTGGAGCTGCTCTTAATGTCTTCTGGTTTTTCATAGCCGCAAAACCGACCAATCAGAGGGCTGCTCTCTGACGGCCCATCTCTCACTTCCACAAAGTCGTAGGAGCAGCTGTCGTGCTTCTCAATCTGCAGAAGAGAGAGCAGCAAACTGGATCTACAGCCTCAGTCTCGTCTCCCTCTGGTCTACCTGTGGTCTGCCTCCGGTCTCCCCCTGGTCTCTCTCTGGTCTCTCTCTGGTCTCTCTCTGGTCTCTCTCTGGTCTCTCTCTGGTCTCTCTCTGGTCTCTCTCTGGTCTCCCTCTGGTCTCCCTCTGGTCTCTCTCTGGTCTCCCTCTGGTCTCCCTCTGGTCTCTCTCTGGTCTCCCTCTGGTCTCCCTCTGGTCTCCCTCTGGTCTCTCTCTTTGGTCTCTCTCTCTGGTCCCCTCTGGTCTCTCTCTGGTCTCTCTCTCTGGTCTCTCTCTGATCTCTCTCTGGTCTCTTTCTGGTCCCTCAGCCTTAAAACATAAGAATCCCTGTCTTAAACCAGGGACCAGTGTTTTGCAGTATACATGGTAATCACACATGGTTATCACCGTCCTTGTGAAATACAAGAAAAGAGTATTTTACCTCAAAGGCCTGAAAGGAGAGGCCCACATGAAAGCCCTCGGTCACAGAGATCCTCCAGACGCAGGACTTACTGGACAGATAGTCGTCAGGGTAATTTGGAGACTGGATCTGACCGTCGTCTCTGTCCACGTCTCCTCCACAGACCGCTGTAGGACCAGGTGGGACATCACACAGTCACATGGTACACAGAGATGTGGGACCAGGTGTGACATCACACAGGCACATAGTTCAACTATTTTCCTAATAAACAAACGACGAAGCCTTAAACATAAAAGAAGACATAATAAACAGTTTACATTTAGTACAGAGACATGTGGGACCAGATGGAACATCACACAGACACATGGTACAGAGAGATGTGGGACCAGGTGTGACATCACATAGTAACTAACCTTCATACGTTGCAGAGAAGCCCTTCCCCACCCAGTTACTGCTGCTTCGAAACTCAATCCACAACTGACTGTCGCTGGAAATGATGGAATCTGGAAGTGTGTCTCCACAAAAACGACCTGCAAACACACACACACACAGAACCACACAACACACACACACACACACACACACAGACACACACTTACACACACACACACGCACACACACACACACACACACACACACAAACACACACACACACACACACACAGACACACACAAACACACACACAGATACATATGCCGTATTAATATTGGACGGGATGGGAGAGAGGAGGGTCAGAGAGTGTTTTGGCCTGTGTGTGTGTGTGAGTGTGTGTGCGTTTGCTCTTACAGTCTTTGTGTATATGTAATACACAAAGACTGTTTAGGTGAAGAGGGAGCAGCGTCTGCAGTCAGAGCTCTCCGTTCCCTTCCCTCACCTCTGGCCATTAGATTTGGGTAATGACCAAAAGGACAAGATTGTGGATACAAGCGACACATGACTTTCCTCCGGAGCGGAACGTCCTCAGAGAAAGGGGAGCTCGGAGTAGAGCCGCTGGAGACCAGGCCAAGCCCCAGGACACAGAGGCACTGTGTCTCTCAGTTGGCCTGGGAACGCCTCAGGATTTTCACAGGATAAAGTGGAAGATTGATGGATGTTTGATTGATTCCATAATGGTGAGACCTTTGAGAGGAGCCTTTCTCCAGAACCCGTCTCGGACTTCCACATGGTCGTACCAGCACAGGTGGCTCCGGAACAAGTCCATGGACGAGAAGTTGAGGATGATCTGTGACATAATCGTGATGATGTCATAAACCTCAGATTTATTACAGAACATAGATGTGTGGACGTTCACCTTCTCTCCTGGAGTGACGGAGATCCTCCACACACAGTGGGCGTAGGCCTCGTAGCCGTTGGGGAAACCAGGAGAGGACACGTTCCCTCTGCTGTCCTGGAGGTTCTCTCCACACTCTGCACAAAACAAGGACGGTAATCATAAAGAGAACATGCAAACACACCACAGAGAGGCCAAATTGACCCACTGCAGTGATTAAAATCTATCCTAAATCATTGTTTGATTTGTCTAGTGCACACTGGGGACTTGCAGATGTATTCCAATGTGGTTTTACTGCAAATGGCAAATAAATGAATTTGAATCTAATGATTTTTCATGACTTGATCAGCCCTGGGTCATTAAGATTCTTTTAGACCCTGATTTATGGTATCTTTCTTCTACCTTTAATCATCTGTGGTGGGTCATTAGACCTGTGGGTAGTGGGGTTAAACCCTGCAGCCTGTAAAGAGATGTGGCCAAAGTGTGTTTTTACTGTCTCTCCAGAGAAACAGCTGTGGTTTATGTTTATGTGAACAGCAGAAAGACAAGGAGTGAGTTCTGTGAAAGCATGTAGAGCATTATGTACACAGTATAAACATCAGCTGCAGTAGTTTGATCATGGTCTTTGTCAGGTGTCCTCAGTCTGAGGAACTTACTCGGACATTTGTAGAGTTTTCGAGCTTGTGCGATGTCGCCTTTGCTCAGTTTGGTCCTCTGTCCGATCACAGGCCTCACACCATCAACATCGTACCGAGGAAGGATAGTGTCAAGGAAGAGGCCTCTGTGAACACAACAAAGCTGCTGTCTGGGGCTTTGAACATACTAACAGGGGAATATGGTTCAAAAGTTTCTTTAATTCTATAAATTTTCTTTGTTTGCATATTCCTGTCATTGGCCCATCACCCCATCACCATGGAAACAGTTAAAATGTGAAGACCACAATCAATACAGTATCAAAGCATTGGGCTTAAGTCCCACCTGACACACACTGCTGTGCTCTTAAAGCTGGGGCACCTAAGTTTTTATTTGTTCCAAACAGAAACTCAGACCACAACATGCTGATTGGCTGAGAGAGGGAGGTCCTCTCTTTTACTGTCTGAAAGATATGATCTAAAGATGTGACAGAGGCTCTCTGGTCTCTCTCTGGTCTCTCTTTGGTCTCTCTCTGGTCTCTCACTCGGGCCTCGCTCTCTGGACTCAGGTCTCTCTTTGGTCTCTCTCTGGTCTCTCACTCGGGTCTCGCTCTCTGGACTCAGGTCTCTCTCTGGTCTCTCTCTGGTCTCTCTCTCGGGTCTCGCTCTCTGGACTCAGGTCTCTCTCTGGTCTCTTTCTGGTCTCTCTCTGGTCTCTCTCTCTCGGGTCTCGCTCTCTGGGCTCAGGTGTCTCTCTGGGCTCAGGTGTCTCTCTGGTCTCTCTCTCGGGTCTCGTTCTCTGGGCTCAGGTCTCTCTCTGGTCTCTCTAGTCTCTCTATAGTCTAGAGAGACTAGACTTTAGCCCTTTGATACGGCATTGATCGTGGTGGTCGTCACTTTTGAACTGTTTCCATGGCGACAGGGCTGTGAATGACAGGCATGTGCAAACACAGCTCGGAGTAGAGCCAGTGCCAGAGGGCTCAGCTGCAAAGTCCACAGAAACAGCACTCGCTCAGACGCTTCCACAAAGAACCAACGGCCGCTTTATGTAGTTTGGCTCAGCTCCATGACCCAGAGAGAGCACAGGGACAGAAACCAAACCAGTACATTCTATAGAGATACAGGACTAAAGAGGCACAAATATATATTTTTAAATATTTCATCCCGCTCCCTAGGACTAACTTTGTAAAGTCCTCAGAAACGACTGCAGTTGTGATTTAGGACGAGTCACGAATACATTAACTTACAATATAATTCATAGACTGTATACAGATGGACAATGCTAACCCGCTAGCTCAATGAAGCCTGATTGGGAAGTGCTCATAGGGAAGTTTGGCTCCTATTGACTTACATGTAAAAGTTAACTCCTCTGGCTAAGTTTTGTGTTTTGTAAAGCGTCTTTGAGTGTCCAAAAAGCGCTACATAAGTTTTATGTATTAATATTATTAATATTAACCGTTTTTGTCACACTCACAAATTTGGGCATAAATCTGTGGTTTCTCCTTGATCCTGGTGTTTATACTGTATGTGATATTGTCTTTGTAAATCCAGATATGAGCCATATAAGGATTAAGAGGCCTTCATTCGGAGGAAACTTGAGCTTGCCTTAGCAACCGTCTTAGCAACCCATCTGTCCCTTTGACTGCACAAAGTTAACGGCGTCCAAACAAATACTCATTTAAGGAAACCGGCTCCAGCTTATTTTCAAATCAGCCTCTTCCGCATTAAGGCTAACGCTGTGGTGATGTCACACTATGATGTCACACTGTGGTGATGTCACACTCAGTCCATCCTCACCTCCTCCATCACCGTGTGGTTCGCTGGAGCCACAGTCAGGGACAAACAGAGACTACAGCGCATTGTGCGCTCTGCAGAGGAAGTGATCGGCCGCAGCTGCAGGACCTGTACGTCGCTCAAGCTCGAGGCCGGGCTGGTCGTATCACAGCCGACCCCTCTCACCCTGCACATGGACTATTCCAACCACTCCCCTCAGGCAGGAGGCTGCGGTCCATCAGGACTAGAACCTCCCGCCACAAGAACAGTTTCTTCCCCTCTGCTGTTGGACTCTTGAACACTTTTTAACCTGTCCCCCCGCCCTTTATAAAGTCACTTGACTTCACTGTACTGCTGTCACCTTACATTGTGTGCACCATGTGCACTTGTATATTGTAAATAGTAACTGTAACTCTATTTTAAATTAAAATGTATTCCTTAGAAGTGTTTTTTATTCTTTATTTTTATTATCTCTTTCTGACTGTTGCACTGAGCCAAAGCAATTTCCAAGTCTGTGACCTCCTGTTACTTACGTGGCAATAAAAATGATTCTGATTCTGACATACAGTATAATGTAAAGAGCTAAATCAACCTGGAGAAGGTGTTTCTTGCGTAATGCATGATGCTTCCAAAGTCGTAGCCCTCCTCCAGAGAGTCCACCTCTCCCGGCTCCATCTTATAAAAGTTGTATTCTTGACCTGAAACACAGAGAGGATGGTACCTGTGCGGCTCGCCCTGTGATTGGCTGAGTTCGTGCGTTTGTACCGGCCTGGATGTTGTCTCTGTAGATGCTCACATGCTCGTCCCGGTCTGGCCGCGTGTGCTCGTGCCAGAAGCCGACCACGTGCCCCAGCTCGTGCACCACGATCCCAAACTTATCACAGTTTTTACCGATGGAAATGGCTTGAGGGCCACCCCCTCGCCGGCCCACATACGAGCAGCACCTGCAGGGAAAATGCAAGGACTACACTAGGACTGGCCTCCTGCTGGCACTCTGCCTAAGGACACAACCACAGTTTGGCACTTAACAGCCGCAGCCGCCCCACTGTGGCACCTGGTGTTCCCAGAGGTCTCCCATCACAGTACTAACCAGTCCCTGCCCTGCTTAGCTTCAGAGGCAAGCCACACAGTAGACTCACCCACAGGGTCTGTATGTGAACATGATGTAGCTCTCTTCAGTCGTCCTCTCGATAAACGTCACACATGTGTATTTCTCCCAGTGACGCATTGCTTGGCGGAATATGGCCCTCTGACTCCCTGCAACAGGCGGACAGACATTCAACAAAAAGCGCTGATCCGTCGAATACGGGCAGTGGAGAAGGTACAGGTTTACACAGAAGATGCAGTGATGCCGAGGGTCCAGCAGGGGGAGATAAGGCCGTTTAACAAGAACGGCTTTAGAGACTGTCCTGGTCGTATTCCTATGTATTTACCTTTTTCATGACTAGTTTCATTAAATAATGTTAAAAACAGCCGTGTTTGTTTTAAAAAAGCCAAAAGTTTCTTTGCAATGGTTTGTATGTAATTACGTAGTTAGTACACTGTTGTTATAGCTTCCCTTGATGCTAACAACATTAGCATTAGCTTCGGTCATGGTTAGCGCGGGAACAGAGTCCCGTTCAAATCCCACTTTCTATTTCTATAAAAGCCAGTTAACTTACTGTCAGAGACTGTGTAAAGCAGGGCAATGTACTGTTTATCAAATTCTCAGGTGTAGAATCATTGTATATAATTAAAACCAGCTGTGTTCGTTTTGTAAAAGATGAATGTATCTGTAAAATTTGTTTTAAGGAGCTTCGCTAGCTGCTAACAACATTAGCATTAGCTTCTTGTTTGCACCAGAGCAGCGTTCAAATCTCATTTTCTCTTTTTATATGAGCCATGTCCTTATTTCAAGAGACTATAATGTACAGTGTGGTATCAGAATGTTCATTATGTCCTGGTCTCATTCTTTTCTCTATCCGCTCTCGGGTGTTTACAAAAACACAAAGGCAGCCATGACTTCTACCGCTGAAGTTCCCGCTGATGACGAAGGGGATGATGCCGTCGGGCCAGATGCGCTCAGGTCTGGAGGTGGCTGCTCTGCGACGACGCGAGGCCCTGGTTCTGTTCCCGACCGAGCCTCCGTCTGCTGTGATGGAGGACCACACTCATTAGTTCAGAGTAAGGTGAAGAGATTTGTATTTGTCCCACAGCGGGGAAATGTCAGTGTTGCATCACCGGTTAACAGAAGGAATGAGGAGCACACAGCATAAGATAAATGAACAATAACTCTATACTAGAATAAAATATCTATCTTCATAATAATAATGTAGAAAGCACCAAATCTGTATATTTTTGTGAATTATATAGTGGTATGTTTACACCTGTACATTAGCAGCAGTATGTCTACACCTGTACATTAGCAGCAGTATGTCTACACCTGTACATTAGCAGCAGTATGTTTACATCTGTACATTAGCAGCAGTATGTTTACATCTGTACATTAGCAGCAGTATGTTTACATCTGTACATTAGCAGCGGTATGTTTACATCTGTACATTAGCAGCAGTATGTTTACATCTGTACATTAGCAGCGGTATGTTAGCATCTGTACATTAGCAGCAGTATGTTTACACCTGTACATTAGCAGCAGTATGTTTACATCTGTACATTAGCAGCAGTATGTTTACACCTGTACATTAGCAGCAGTATGTTTACACCTGTGCATTAGCAGCAGTATGTTTACACCTGTGCATTAGCAGCAGTATGTTTACACCTGTACATTAGCAGCAGTATGTTTACACCTGTACATTAGCAGCAGTATGTCTACACCTGTGCATTAGCAGCAGTATGTTTACACCTGTACATTAGCAGCAGTATGTTTACACCTGTACATTAGCAGCAGTATGTCTACACCTGTACATTAGCAGCAGTATGTCTACACCTGTACATTAGCAGCAGTATGTTTACATCTGTACATTAGCAGCAGTATGTTTACATCTGTACATTAGCAGCAGTATGTTTACATCTGTACATTAGCAGCGGTATGTTTACATCTGTACATTAGCAGCAGTATGTTTACATCTGTACATTAGCAGCGGTATGTTAGCATCTGTACATTAGCAGCAGTATGTTTACACCTGTACATTAGCAGCAGTATGTTTACATCTGTACATTAGCAGCAGTATGTTTACACCTGTACATTAGCAGCAGTATGTTTACACCTGCATTAGCAGCAGTATGTTTACACCTGTGCATTAGCAGCAGTATGTTTACACCTGTACATTAGCAGCAGTATGTCTACACCTGTACATTAGCAGCAGTATGTTTACATCTGTACATTAGCAGCAGTATGTTTACATCTGTACATTAGCAGCAGTATGTTTACATCTGTACATTAGCAGCAGTATGTTTACATCTGTACATTAGCAGCAGTATGTTTACATCTGTACATTAGCAGCAGTATGTTTACATCTGTACATTAGCAGCAGTATGTCTACACCTGTACATTAGCAGCAGTATGTTTACATCTGTACATTAGCAGCAGTATGTTTACATCTGTACATTAGCAGCAGTATGTTTACATCTGTACATTAGCAGCAGTATGTTTACATCTGTACATTAGCAGCAGTATGTTTACATCTGTACATTAGCAGCAGTATGTTTACATCTGTACATTAGCAGCAGTATGTTTACATCTGTACATTAGCAGCAGTATGTTTACACCTGTACATTAGCAGCAGTATGTTTACATCTGTACATTAGCAGCAGTATGTTTACACCTGTACATTAGCAGCAGTATGTTTACACCTGTACATTAGCAGCAGTATGTTTACACCTGTACATTAGCAGCAGTATGTTTACACCTGTACATTAGCAGCAGTATGTTTACACCTGTACATTAGCAGCAGTATGTTTACACCTGTGCATTAGCAGCAGTATGTTTACACCTGTACATTAGCAGCAGTATGTTTACACCTGTACATTAGCAGCAGTATGTTTACACCTGTGCATTAGCAGCAGTATGTTTACACCTGTACATTAGCAGCAGTATGTTTACACCTGTACATTAGCAGCAGTATGTTTACATCTGTACATTAGCAGCAGTATGTTTACACCTGTACATTAGCAGCAGTATGTTTACATCTGTACATTAGCAGCAGTATGTTTACACCTGTACATTAGCAGCAGTATGTTTACACCTGTACATTAGCAGCAGTATGTTTACACCTGTACATTAGCAGCAGTATGTTTACATCTGTACATTAGCAGCAGTATGTTTACACCTGTACATTAGCAGCAGTATGTTTACATCTGTACATTAGCAGCAGTATGTTTACATCTGTACATTAGCAGCAGTATGTTTACATCTGTACATTAGCAGCAGTATGTTTACATCTGTACATTAGCAGCAGTATGTTTACATCTGTACATTAGCAGCAGTATGTTTACATCTGTACATTAGCAGCAGTATGTCTACATCTGTACATTAGCAGCAGTATGTTTACATCTGTACATTAGCAGCAGTATGTTTACATCTGTACATTAGCAGCAGTATGTTTACACCTGTACATTAGCAGCAGTATGTTTACATCTGTACATTAGCAGCAGTATGTTTACATCTGTACATTAGCAGCAGTATGTTTACATCTGTACATTAGCAGCAGTATGTTTACATCTGTACATTAGCAGCAGTATGTTTACACCTGTACATTAGCAGCAGTATGTTTACACCTGTACATTAGCAGCAGTATGTTTACACCTGTACATTAGCAGCAGTATGTTTACACCTGTACATTAGCAGCAGTATGTTTACATCTGTACATTAGCAGCAGTATGTTTACACCTGTACATTAGCAGCAGTATGTTTACACTGTACATTAGCAGCAGTATGTCTACACCTGTGCATTAGCAGCAGTATGTCTACACCTGTGCATTAGCAGCAGTATGTTTACACCTGTGCATTAGCAGCAGTATGTTTACATCTGTGCATTAGCAGCAGTATGTTTACACCTGTACATTAGCAGCAGTATGTTTACACCTGTACATTAGCAGCAGTATGTTTACACCTGTGCATTAGCAGCAGTATGTTTACACCTGTACATTAGCAGCAGTATGTTTACACCTGTGCATTAGCAGCAGTATGTTTACACCTGTGCATTAGCAGCAGTATGTTTACATCTGTACATTAGCAGCAGTATGTTTACACCTGTACATTAGCAGCAGTATGTCTACATCTGTACATTAGCAGCAGTATGTTTACACCTGTACATTAGCAGCAGTATGTTACATAGCAGCAGTATGTTTACACCAGTACATTAGCAGCAGTATGTTTACACCTGTACATTAGCAGCAGTATGTTTACACCTGTACATTAGCAGCAGTATGTTTACACCTGTACATTAGCAGCAGTATGTTTACATCTGTACATTAGCAGCAGTATGTTTACACCTGTACATTAGCAGCAGTATGTCTACATCTGTACATTAGCAGCAGTATGTTTACACCTGTACATTAGCAGCAGTATGTTTACATCTGTACATTAGCAGCAGTATGTTTACACCAGTTCATTAGCAGCAGTATGTTTACACCTGTGCATTAGCAGCAGTATGTTTACACCTGTACATTAGCAGCAGTATGTTTACACCTGTACATTAGCAGCAGTATGTTTACACCTGTACATTAGCAGCAGTATGTTTACACCTGTACATTAGCAGCAGTATGTTTACACCTGTGCATTAGCAGCAGTATGTTTACACCTGTGCATTAGCAGCAGTATGTTTACACCTGTACATTAGCAGCAGTATGTTTACACCTGTACATTAGCAGCAGTATGTTTACACCTGTGCATTAGCAGCAGTATGTTTACACCTGTGCATTAGCAGCAGTATGTTTACACCTGTGCATTAGCAGCAGTATGTTTACACCTGTGCATTAGCAGCAGTATGTCTACACCTGTACATTAGCAGCAGTATGTTTACACCTGTGCATTAGCAGCAGTATGTTTACACCTGTGCATTAGCAGCAGTATGTCTACACCTGTGCATTAGCAGCAGTATGTCTACACCTGTGCATTAGCATCATGGGGCTCTGGGACTCGGTGACTCAGTAAAGTGACAGTGACACATGTGGGTCTGTTTAAATGTTATTGATAACTTTGTATAACATTAAACCTCAAACCTGCGCTGCTGTGGGCTGTTTTCCGATGATCTTCTGTTTTCTCAAAGGCTTTCAACAAACGGAGGTCCTCTTCGTCCAGAGCAATGTCGCCCCAAAAAGCAACTGAAAGAATGAATGCATGTATGAGGAGTGTGACATCACCACAGTGTTAGCAGTAGACGCTATTTTCATACATAAGCTAGCAGCACTTTGGCGGAGTGGACTGGTCTTTCTGAGTGGAGTTTGTATGGACTCCCTGTGTCTGCGTAGGTTTCCTCTGGGTGCTCCGGTTTCCATACCACTATAAACTATCCTCCAGCCCTGATAAACCCAATTAACTAAAGATATATAGAAATATCCACATAAAACAACATGTTTACACAGCGCCAGTAGTAGTAATACAGTTAATGGGCTGGTGTGTGTGTTTGAGCTAACACAGGGAGCTAACACAGGGAGCTAACACAGGGAGCTAACACAAGGAGCTAACACTGGGAGCTAACACTGGGAGCTAACACTGGGAGCTAACACAGGGAGCTAACACAGGGAGCCAACACAGGGAGCCAACACAGGGAGCCAACACAGGGAGCCAACACAGGGAGCCAACACAGGGAGCCAACACAGGGAGCCAACACAGGGAGCTAACACAGAGGTACTAACAGTGGAAGCTAACGCTGCTAGCACAGGCTCAGTCAAAGGCTTCTGCAGCTGTTTGTTTAAACATGTGCTCTGAATACGTGAGCGAACAGTAACTATAGTGATTAAAGTCTCCTTTATGTGACACGTTCACTTTAGTCCTGAAAGAACAACATCACACACTGTTCCTACTCCACAAACACCACATTTGGGCAAAGGCCATCGACCGGTTCACCGCTGTCAGAAGCTATGAAAGAAAAGTACTTTATTATTTAAATGTCTTATTGTAGTTACGATGTTAGAGATATGTATTTTTAAATTACATTATATGAACACATAAGCCCTGTTTCCACCTTTACTCTACCTTACTCGACTCTGCTCTAATTTACTCTACCTTACCAATCCCTACTTTACTCTACCTTACCAATCCCTACTCTACTCTGCTCTACTCTACTCTACTCTGTTCTACTCTTCTCTACTCTACCTTACTCTGCTCTACACTACTCAGCTGGTCTCTCCTCTATTCTACACTACACCTCAGAGTACACACTTCTTAGAACAAGTGTGAACTCTAGAGCAAAGACCTTTACAAACAAGTATCTGATAACCTCGAGTCACAGAGGAGCTTGAAAAAAGTACCGGCATTTTCGGTACAATGATTTTATTTTTTATTTTTTTATACTTTGTGCTTTCTTTTCTTGTTCTGTCCAACACTTTGAGTTGCCTTGTGCTTGACCTGTGCTATTCAAATAAACTTGGCCGCTGTCAGGTGCAGGTCGTGCCACAGCCTCGTTAGCCTCATTAGCGTTAGCCTCGTTAGCCCGTGATGGGGACTCTCTCTGAAGTGGGCTCACTCAAGCAGACGATGGGCCTTTCACTCACTGACCCCAGTCTCCCGGCAACTGCCTCAGAAACATCTCTGTGTGTTTTTATCTGAGCAGGGAAGAGACGACCAACCGACTGGAGCAGGCTCTGAGTATATATCACAGAGAGGTCTCAGTATACATCACAGAGAGGTCTCAGTATATATCACAGAGAGGTCTCAGTATATATCACAGAGAGGTCTCAGTATACATCACAGAGGTCTCAGTATACATCACAGAGAGGTCTCAGTATATATCACAGAGAGGTCTCAGTATACATCACAGAGGTCTCAGTATACATCACAGAGAGGTCTCAGTATATATCACAGAGAGGTCTCAGTATACATCACAGAGAGGTCTCAGTATACATCACAGAGAGGTCTCAGTATACATCACAGAGAGGTCTCAGCATATATCACAGAGAGGTCTCAGTATACATCACAGAGAGGTCTCAGTATATATCACAGAGAGGTCTCAGTATACATCACAGAGAGGTCTCAGTATACATCACAGAGAGGTCTCAGTATACATCACAGAGAGGTCTCAGTATACATCACAGAGAGGTCTCAGTATACATCACAGAGAGGTCTCAGTATACATCACAGAGAGGTCTCAGTATACATCACAGAGAGGTCTCAGTATACATCACAGAGAGGTCTCAGTATACATCACAGAGAGGTCTCAGTATACATCACAGAGAGGTCTCAGTATACATCACAGAGGTCTCAGTATACATCACAGAGAGGTCTCAGTATACATCACAGAGAGGTCTCAGTATACATCACAGAGAGGTCTCAGTATACATCACAGAGGTCTCAGTATACATCACAGAGGTCTCAGTATACATAACAGAGGTCTCAGTATACATCACAGAGGTCTCAGTATACATCACAGAGGGTTAGAGGTTGAAAGGGCACAACTGGACTCTCTCTGTTGTCAGGGAAACCAGAGCGTTTAGAGAAAACCGGCGAAGACACAGGGACTTCTGTATCAGAACAGAGACATGTTTTGAACCTGACAATATGTATTGTGTTTGTTAGTGTCATTGTTGTGGCTTTGAAAAAAGTTAACGATTAAGCTCGGTTAGTGATGGTCAAACTCTGGCCTGGGGGCCAGATACGGCCCTTTGGACTTGTCTATCAGGCCCCTGATCTGTATCCCCTCTGTCTTGCAGAGCTCTGGAGCCACAGTCTCAGTCCTTGCTTTGCCGTGACATTTAATGTTTAAAATAACATATTTATGTGGATCTGACTCCTTACAGCAGGATGATAATCCACTGGGATCAGGAGAAGTCTGCCCATGTCTGTGCTAACCTACAGTGGACTTTATAGCTTATAAAATGTGCTAAATAACTAAGATAGAATGTTCTGTTGCATGAACAAAGCTGTCAACTGCATGTCCCACAGGAGGAGAGCAGGGGAAGACCCAGGACACAGAGGACTGTGCCTTAGCTGGGAACGCCTCAGGATTCCCCCAGAGGAGCTGGAGAAAGTGTGTGAGAGGGAAGTCTCTTTGCTCAGGCTGCTGCCCCTGGAACCCGGAAACAGATCAAGTGGAAGAAGAATGGATGGTTCATCTGCAGCATTGATGTACTGTATGCCATGAGACACAGTCTATTCCACAAAAAGATATCCTGATAAATATTCTGTGTTTGTGTGTGTGTTGTTGTGTGCGTTTTATAGTAGTTACATGTACAGGTCTTACAAAACACTAAACCACGTGTTATTCATATGCAATAAATGAAAGAAGAGTTCAAATAAAGTTATTCTGGTGATTCTGTGATGAAAACACAGATGAAAACTTCTGTGATTCACCGGATCCATGATGTGTATGTGCCAGATCATTAAACAATACAACTACAATATACATTAAACTACATATATGTGGTCTACAGCCCCCTCTGAGTCACGACTGTCCCGGTACCTGCTTTACACGGGTCTCTGTATTCGATGGCATCAGTGGAGGAGACGTCCTGGAAGTCCCAGTCCGCACCAGAGGCGAGGACCAGCGGGACCGGGAGGACCGAGAGGACCGCGCACAGGACCAGCGTGAATGGGACACACGCCATGTCCCGCAGCGGAGACTGAGGCTGCAGCTCGGGGCCTGGGACTGAGACCAGGACTGAGACAGGACTGAGACCGGGACCAGGAATGGGCTCCAGATTCACACTGGTCCACACTCTGACCACTGAGACACGTGCAGCACCAGCAACACTAGTTCAGTAACATTATGTAGAGGTGATGTCACACTCATGGATCTATAGAATAAAGACCTTTTAAACCAATTCATTATGTTTTATTTATTTCAAAGTGAATAAAGTTAATCTATGATCTCTACAGTGTCATGCACGCGCCTCAGGTCCCAATCCACGTGCTTCTTCGTATAACTACAAAGTGCCGACCTCCTGCACACCATAATGAGACTGTCAGCTCGATATGAAGCTGTTTCAAATGATATTTAAACTAAACTTTTGTTGCAGAGTTGAACTGCGCTGTGGAGGCTCTGCCGGCAGAGGGCGCAGCTGCACCACCACTCTGCTCTGGACTGCCTCAGTGTTTGCTCCAGGACTGAGCAGCAGAAGCCTGGAGATCCCAGCAGGACTGCGTCTCTCTGAGCTCCTGGAGGATGTATGCGTGCTGCGTGCTCCTGCTGAGCCCGGTCCTGCTGCCTCCTGCTGCAGCTTACAGCAGCAGGGACTCAGGCTCCTGCTACGGGGGATTCGACCTCTACTTTGTTCTGGACAAGTGAGTCTCCATTATCTAGTAAACTCTAAACTCTGCAGAGAGGAGACAGAAGAGACAGAGAGGACAGAAGAGACAGAAGAGACAGAGGAGACAGAGAGGACAGAGGAGACAGAGAGGACAGAAGAGACAGAGAGGACAGAGGAGACAGAGAGAAGAGACAGAGAGGACAGAAGAGACAGAGACAGAGAGGACAGAAGAGACAGAGAGGACAGAAGAGACAGAGATTACAGAAGAGACAGAGACAGAGAGGACAGAAGAGACAGAGAGGACAGAAGAGACAGAGAGCACAGAGGAGACAGAGAGGACAGAAGAGACAGAGACAGAGAGCACAGAGGAGACAGAGAGGACAGAAGAGACAGAGAGGATAGAGAAGACAGAGGAGACAGAGAGGACAGAAGAGACAGAGAGGACAGAGAAGACAGAGGAGACAGAGAGGACAGAGGAGACAGAGAGGAGACAGAGAAGAGACAGAGAGGACAGAGGAGACAGAGAAGAGACAGAGAGGACAGAGGAGATAGAGAAGAGACAGAGAGGACAGAGGAGACAGAGAAGAAACAGAGAGGACAGAGGAGACAGAGAGGACAAAGAGGACAGAGGAGACAGAGAAGAGACAGAGAGGGTGTAAAAAGTCAAATGTTTTCGTTTATAGTTTTCATACTACAGGAAAACTATCCTTTCTCTGTTGCATCATAATATGTTTGTTCAGGCCGCAATGGACAGTCACAGAGACCAGAGAGATGGACCAGAGAGAGATCAGAGAGAGAGAGACCAGAGAGAGAGAATAGAGAGAGACCAGAGTGCAACTAGAGACCAGAGAGAGAAAGACCAAATAGTGAACAGAGAGACACAAGAGAGAAAGACTAGAGAGAGAGACCAGAGACAAACCAAAGAGAGGCCAGAGAAAGACCAAGAGAGAGACGAGAGAGAAACCAGAGAAAGACCAGAAAGAGATCAGAGAGAGATCAAAGATAGACCAGAGAGAGACCAGAGTCTGAAAGCGATGTTTCAGATTCTGAACATGACTGAGTCTGAAACATCCTTTACTTGACCATTGCTGTGGCTGCAGTACCGCGGGTGGCCTCTAGGAGATGGGTCTAAGCAGCAACACCCTCCACAGAACATAAACTGATCAACATAGTAAGCTGGAGCCAGTTTCCTTGTTTGGGCATTTGAAGACGTGTTGCTAAGACGGTTGCTAAGGCAAGATCGAATTTCCCGGTTATAAAGGCTTTTGATTGGTCAATCCTTACAGTATATGGCTCATATCACATATAAACAGCAGGATCACAGAGACCCATTAGGAGCCAGAGAGAGGAGCCACACTTAGCATTGAACTAGTGGATTAGCATTGAACTAGCGGATTAGCATTGAGCTAGCAAGTTAGCATTGTCCATATACAGTCTGTTGTTTAGTTTGACTGGACTCTTGTGTCTCTCCTTCAGGTCTGGCAGTGTCAGAGGATACTGGAATGAGATTTCTTACTTTGTCGTCCACTTAACGAACAGGTTCATGAGGTAAAGTCTGACATATAAAGTAAATGTTGTAGAATACAATACAGTGATGTAAACTGTGTGTGTTCAGTCCTCAGCTGCGGATGTCATTCATTGTGTTCTCCACCTCAGGAACGATTCTCATGTCTCTGACTAACGACAGGTGAGAGCGGCTTCAGACTCTACTCTTCTCTACTCTACTCTTCTCTTCTCTTCTCTTCTCTTCTCTTCTCTACTCTACTCTACTCTACTCTACTCTACTCTACTCTACTCTACTCTACTCTCCAAGAGCAGAGTAGAGTAGAGCTGGTGGAAACAGGGCTCTAGTACCAGTGTTGAAGTGAAGAACCGTCCCTGTCTGTCTCAGAGAACAGATCCGGTTGGGTCTGCAGGAGCTGAACCTGGTGGAGCCTGGAGGAGACTCGTTTCTGAACAAAGGACTCGAGCAAGTAAGTCCTGAGTCAGATCTTAACAGTGTTGGGGAAACATAAAAACTTATTTCTCTGCTACTGCGAGATCAGCAGAGAACACATCTTCCCCAACAGAAGACGGCTGAGGCTGAAACAGAAAAAAAAAAAAAAAAAGTTCTAACTGCTCTTGGTTTGTGGAGTAAACACTAGTCAGCAGCACCAGGAGGTATTTACACATCAATCAATCAATCAAATTTTATTTATAAAGCGCTTTTCATACAAAAAGTGTAACACAAAGTGCTTTACAGTTTAGTTAAAAACAATCCAACATGCCCAGCCCTAAACCCTCCTCCCCACAGACCCCCCAAAACCACATTTATAATTATATATACAACCACATGCGTATACACACACACACATATACACCCACACACACACACATACACACACACACAAGTATAAAGTCATATCAGGTAAAATAGGTAAAACAATAAAAAAGACATGGGGCTGGGAGCAGATGTAACCGGCTGAAGAAGCGTCATCCAAGGAGCCATCTGCACCAGGAGCAGAGAGCCGGCTGCAGCCACAGGGAACACCACAGGACCCAGAGGAGAGAGGGGCCCCAGACCCCACCAGGCCCAGGACTCAGACCCCATAGGACCCAGAGGAGAGAGGAGGCCCCAGACCCCCACCGGATCCAAGAGCCAGTCCCCCGAAGCCACAGCAGACCCCAGCTCTCAGTGCAGAGGGCTCCTCCAGAGGAAACACTGGGGACACTAAAACAATACAATAATACAATAGAAAGTAGAACAATAAAATGTGACAATAAAAAGAAAAATGGCAGCTGCCTAATATTGATAATAACAATAGTAAATGGGTAGATACAATAAATAATTAAAAATAGTAAATAATAAAAATAAATAAAAATATAATGTGTCTAAAAACATAAATAGATGTACTAAAAAGCAATAATAAATAATAAATACTAATCAAAAGCTACTCTAAAAAGGTGCGTCTTGAGCCTACTCTTAAAAATATGAACGTTCTCTGCGGCCCTGAGCTCCTCCGGCAGACTGTTCCAGAGACGGGGGCCGTAGTGCTGGAAAGATGCCTCGCCGTGAGTGTGTGTCCTGACTTTGGGGACACACACTCTATAAGATGTCTATAAGATAAGATAAGATAGACTTTATTGATCTCACACTGGAGAAATGTACATGTCACATTTGGCATGGATAGAATCACTCAAGATTGTGCAAAAGAAAGAAATGTGCAAACAAGTTAAATGCAGGATATATTATGTACAATAAAAAGTGGCAATCAAGAAACAGTGTCAAAAGTAGTGCAGGTTTTTTCAGTCCTAATGCAAGTGACTTAAAGTGACTCATTGTACAGTCTGACAGCGGTGGGGTTAAAGGCCCTGCTCCTTCTTGCACTGAGGGTGTCTCAGTCTTCCACTGAGAGAGCTCCTCAGCTCCTCTGCAGTCCTGTGCAGTGGGAGGGGTTGTCCATGATGGAGGTGACACTAGCACCCTCCTGTCCCTCACCTCCTCCACAGAGTCCAGGGGCCTCTGTCAAGGTCTGGGTCTCTGGCAGGGTCTGGGTCTCTGGCAGGGTCTGGGTCTCTGTCAGGGTTTGATTGTGTGTTTTCTGCTTCAGGCCAGTGCCCAGATCTACTACAGCAGCGGTGACGGTTGGTACTTTCCTCTTTAAAACTTTTGGAAAAGTCATTAATGAAGCAGTGAACTGTAACTGTAGAAGTCTGTGTGTCACTAATGCACTGCCCAGTCTCTCTCAGTCTCTCTCAAGTCTCTCTCAGTCTCTCTCAGTCTCTCTCAAGTCTCTCTCAAGTCTCTCTCAAGTCTCTCTCAAGTCTCTCTCAAGTCTCTCTCAAGTCTCTCTCAGCCTCTCTCAGCCTCTCTCAGTCTCTCCCAGTCTGAGAGACTGAGTCTCTCTCAGTCTCTCTCAAGTCTCTCCCAGTCTCTCCCAGTCTCTCTCAGTCTCTCTCAGCCTCTCTCAGCCTCTCTAAGTCTCTCCCAGTCGCTCTCAGTCTCTCCCAGTCTCCCTCAGTCTCCCACAGTCTCTCCCAGTCTCTCTCAGTCTCTCTCAGTCTCTCTCAAGTCTCTCTCAGCCGCTCTAAGTCTCTCCCAGTCGCTCTCAGTCTCTCCCAGTCTCTCTCAGTCTCCCTCAGTCTCTCCCAGTCTCTCTCAGTCTCTCTCAGTCTCTCTCAAGTCTCTCCCAGTCTCTCCCAGTCTTTCTCAGTCTCTCATAGTCTCTCTCAGTCTCTCTCAGTCTCTGTTCTCTCTTGTTGCAGCTCACCGAATGGCGAGTGTGATCATTGCTCTGACAGATGGAGAACTCAGAGAGAACCAGTTTGAGGACGCTCAGAGAGAGGTAGAGGTCCCACTCTGTCAGAGGTCCCACTCTGTCGTCCCACTCTGTCAGACCTCTGTCAGAGATCCCAATCACTGACTGCACGTGACATCACTGACTGCATGTGACATCACTCTGCTTCCTCTGTGCAGGCGGGCAGAGCTCGGCAGCTCGGGGCGACGGTCTACTGTGTCGGAGTGAAGGACTTTAATCAAACACAGGTCTCTCAGCTTTATTTATTATAACATTATTCTACTTCCCTGTTTCCACCTGCTTTACTCCGCTCTACTCTGCACTACTCTGCTCTACTCTGCTTTACTCTACTCTACTGAGCAGAGTAGAGTAAAATAGAGTAGAGTAGAGCAGTGTCTCCCAAAGTGGGGTCCGCGGCCCCCTGGTGGGCCGCGAGGGTACTGCAGGGGGGCCGCGGGAGGTCATAAAAAAATTTATATCATTATTTAATGTTAAATTTATAATGTTTTGTTTGTAATATTAAAATATTTGTGTTCATTATTTGACTTGAATAATCCACTGTAATCATTTTTATATTACAATGTTTGTAGCAGAGGCTATTTCCCCAAAATAAAATAACCAGAAGAGCCTATTCTTAATGTTGTCTTCTTGGTTATTATTTTGGGGGGCCACGCAGACCCGTCAAATTTTTAAGGGGGCCTTGGTGTTACTGAGTTTGGGAATGGCTGGAGTAGAGTATTAACTTGCTTCTCTCAGATACAGAGCAGTATATATCTGTTGCAGCTCTCCACCATCGCTGATAGTCAGGACCATGTGTTTCCAGTGAACGATGGCTTCCACGCTCTACATGGTGTCATCGACTCAGTGAGACACACACACACTGCACATCACCCCTCAGACACACACACACACACACACATCTCCCCCCATCAGACACACACACACACTACACATCGCCCCTCAGACACATACGCACACATAACCCCTCAGACACACACACACACACACACTGCACATCACCCCTCAGACACACACACACACACACTGCACATCACCCCTCAGACACACACACACACACACACACACACATCACCCCTCAGACACACACACACTGCACATCACCCCTCGGACACACACACACACACACACACACATCCCCCCTCAGACGCACACACATCCCCCCTCAGACGCGCACACACACACATCACACATCACCCCTCAGACACACACACACACACACATCACCCCACACACACACACACATCACATCACACATCACCCCTCAGACACACACACACATCACACATCCCCCCTCAGACACACACACACACACACACACACACACACACATCACCCCTCAGACACACACACACATCACATCACCCCTCAGGCACACACACACAGACACACACACACATCACATCACCCCTCAGACACACACACACAGACACACACACACATCACATCACCCCTCAGGCATCCATGACTCAGCTGTGGATTCTTCCAGATCCTGAAGAGGTCGTGTATCGAGATCCTGGCCGTGGAGCCGTCCAGTATCTGTGCAGGAGGTAAAAGATCACAGAGAAAACGTTATTGATCTGACAATAGAATAATGTACATGATACATTTGGTATCAACAGAATCACTCAGCGTCTCAGAATCAGAATCAGAATCAGAATCATTTTTATTGCCACGTGAGTAACAAAGTTATCACTTGGAAATTGTCTTGGCAGAGAGCGTGCCACTTCGCCATTTGCGGCGCTGTGTGCAGCAAGAAACAGCAGAGAGCAATAACATACAGTTCACAGACAATTGGATAGACACATTGTGCTTTTTGTAAACCACGGATTTTTTTCTCGGGATGAGCACCTCCGGCGGCCGGCCCAATGTAGCTGTCAGAGGGGGGCGGGATCAGGGAGGGGGTGAGTAGGAAAACAATAAGGAATGGAGGGGAGGGAGGGAGCAAGATGGATAGGTAGAGGGAGGCGGGGGTGAGGGATCCTTGCTGGAGACTGAAATAGTGTGAGTTGTTGAAGATTGTGGGACCTTGTTTATGGCCTTGGTCGAGGAATGTGAGATAAGAGTGGAGAGAAGACACAGCAGGAGAAAAACACATCGCCTGAGAGGGACAATATTATATGCAATGTAGCATCAAAAGCAGGCAGATATTCTATTAATTCCAATTACACCGAATTACGGCGCCCTCAGACCTCCGTACACAGGGGCAAATCCAAGCCGGGTCAGAGAGTTCAAGCCTGACAAACAATGTCATTCAATCTCAATTCCAGAGTTTTATGCCCATCGAGTGAACGAGCTGCGAGATCTTTGATCAACTGTTCCACCAACACCACTCTCCTTTGTCCAGACACGGCACTCTCAACCACGACACGGCTTAGCTCCTTGTACATCCCATCAATTTTGTCGGCCAGCAGGTCGTGAATCTTGCGAACTGCCATGCCACCGAATTTGTGGTAGAACAGGATCGCTCCAAACCCAAACAGGAGGATTCCCACCACCAAAATGCCAAAGATATATACGTCTTCCGAATCTTCAATGGACAGGATCGACAGACAGAGCGGCTGAAACTTGTTCCAGCTGTCAAGAGTATACCCCGCCGGTGAAGTCCCGTCCGGGCACACGGGCTCTCCAGACCCACGCTTACGTGTTGAAAAGATAGAATCAATTGCGTTGAGGGACCAGTTAATCATTTCCATTCTGTTAAGTTGTCTGTGGCAAAACTCCAGGAAAAAAGACAAAACAGGAGATAGCAAGCCGTTCAGAAGCAGCAGCGGACTGAGACACGTCTTTGCTCGACGGAGGAGGAAGGAGGAAATGTATTTTTACCGGAAATGTAGTCTGAATGTATGTCTCTTATGTACTTTTTGTTTGTGTAAGCTCTCAGCCGGACAGGGATTATTCCAAACAAAGGAAGCTTTCTCACCCATCAGCTTTAGGAGGTTTTCTGACGCTTCGAGCTTATCCAAAGAACTTTATCAAGAAAATGAAAGCTCAGCCGTGAGTTGGAGATCAACTACCTGTGGGAGTGGTTAGACACCCCCTGATCCTGAGGCTAACTCATTAACACATCTAAAGTCTGCTCAGCTGTGGTTAGGAGCAGGTCTAACGATCCTGCTAGGTCTAATTATCAGCATATTTTTTAAAAAAACAGCAAAGTTCCCAAACAAGTGGCTCAGTCGGTAGAGCATTGACCTGACTCCCACTGCGGTCTGCGGTTGTTGTGTCCTTGAGCAGGACACTTAGCACCACTTTGCCTGAAGCCTCTGCTGATCAAGGCTGTATCACAGACAGAGCAGCGAGTCAGTGAGGGGCTGGTGCTCTGTGAACTGGATGCAGCTCTGACTGCACCCCCCCAGCCAGAAATGAAAAAAGAGGAAGAAAATGGATGGATGGAACACCCAAACAATAGATAAGGTCAGTGAGATAACCTTATTGGTTAAGTGGGTTAAGTGTCTTGCCTAAGGACACAACGGCAGCAGGCATCAGTGGGAGTAGATGGAGAAGGTCTCATGGTGGGATCAAACCTACAACCTTCAGGCTCAAAGGCCAATGCTCTACCAACTGAGCCACGATCGCCCCCTTGAGAAAGTTCTTTGGGTTAAGAACAAAACATCAGAAAACCTGCTAACTGAGGTACAGATGATTCCTTCTTATGTTCTTTCAAAAGTGACACTGTCAGAGCTGAGGATCAAACTTCCTGTTTCAGAATCCTTTCAAGTCGTCGTCCGTGGAAACGGTTTCCTCCACACAACAGACGTCCAGAAGGTTCTCTGCAGTTTCCGAATCAACGACACTGACACACGCCGTGAGTCTGAAATCTCACTCTCAAAGGAACTCTCAACATAACATTAGAGTTTTAACAAAGATCTAAAAAGAGCTCCATGTCTGTCGTGGTTTTTGGAGTCTGTTACTGTCACAGACATGTCGGTCTGTTACTGTCACAGACATGTCGGTCTGTTACTGTTACAGACATGTCGGTCTGTTACTGTTACAGACATGTCGGTCTGTTACTGTTACAGACATGTCGGTCTGTTACTGTTACAGACATGTCGGTCTGTTACTGTCACAGACATGTCGGTCTGTTACTGTCACAGACATGTGGGTCTGTTACTGTCACAGACATGTCGGTCTGTTACTGTCACAGACATGTGGGTCTGTTACTGTCACAGACATGTCGGTCTGTTACTGTCACAGACATGTCGGTCTGTCACTGTCACAGACATGTCGGTCTGTTACTGTCACAGACATGTCGGTCTGTCACTGTCACAGACATGTCGGTCTGTCACTGTCACAGACATGTCGGTCTGTTACTGTCACAGACATGTCGGTCTGTTACTGTCACAGACATGTCGGTCTGTTACTGTCACAGACATGTTGGTCTGTTACTGTCACAGACATGTCGGTCTGTTACTGTCACAGACATGTCGGTCTGTCACTGTCACAGACATGTGGGTCTGTTACTGTCACAGACATGTCGGTCTGTTACTGTCACAGACATGTCGGTCTGTCACTGTCACAGACATGTGGGTCTGTTACTGTCACAGACATGTCGGTCTGTCACTGTCACAGACATGTAGGAGTCTGTCACTGTCACAGACACGTTGGTCTGTTACTGTCACAGACATGTCGGTCTGTCACTGTCACAGACATGTCGGTCTGTTACTGTCACAGACATGTCGGTCTGTCACTGTCACAGACATGTAGGAGTCTGTCACTGTCACAGACACGTTGGTCTGTTACTGTCACAGACATGTCGGTCTCTTACTGTCACAGACATGTCGGTCTGTTACTGTCACAGACATGTGGGTCTGTTACTGTCACAGACATGTCGGTCTGTTACTGTCACAGACATGTAGGAGTCTGTCACTGTCACAGACATGTCAGTCTGTTACTGTCACAGACATGTAGGAGTCTGTTACTGTCACAGACACGTTGGTCTGTTACTGTCACAGACATGTAGGAGTCTGTTACTGTCACAGACATGTCGGTCATGATCCTAGTTTCTTTTCTGTGATTTAGTAAAATAATGAATGACAAACATAATCATTGGATAACATTAGGATTGAAGTTGTGGCTGAAACCGTTAAACTTGAGAGAGGAATCTACCCAGAGCAAAGAAGAGCACAGACAGGAAAGAGGGAGGAGAGAGAAGAGGAGAGAGAGGAGAGTAGAGAGAAGAGAGGACAGAGAGAGAGGTGCGAAGAGAACGATAGGTGAGGGGGAGAGGTTAAGAGATGGAACAAATGTCTAATCAATCACATCATGGTGACACATGCACACACACACACACACACACACACACACAGTCACATACACACACACACACACACACAAACAGTCACACACACAGTCATACACACAAACACACACACACACACGCAGTCACACACACAGTCACACACACAGTCATACACACACACAGTCACATACACACACACACACACACACACAAACAGTCACACACACAGTCATACACGCACACACACACAGTCACACACACACACAGTCACATACACACACACACATACAATCACATACACACATTCACACACACGGCCAAGACAAACAAACCCCTCTCTGCTCCTGATCCTCTTTCCATGAGCAAAAGAAGTCCAGGAATTTAGAAACAATAAAAACATCTGAAGTGGAATCTCTCTGTTCAGAGTCTGGGTCTGGGTCTGAGTCTAAGTCTGGGTCTCAGTCTCTGACACTGATGAGGATGATTGGCACGGTGGCTGAGTGGATTGCTCTCTCGCCTCTCAACAAGAACATACGGGGTTCGAAATCGGGGTCTTTCTGAGTGGAGTTTGCATGTTCTCCCCGTGCTTACGTAGGTTTCCTCCGGGTATTCCGGTTTCCCCCACCACTAAAAACATGCACACAAGGTTAAATACTCCAGCTCCGGTCCTGACATTAGCAGCATCAGGATGGGTCAAATGCAGAGGATGAATTGCCCCACGGGGACCTTTACCTTTCTGTGTGTTTCAGTGGAGCGACCTCTGGATGTGAGCGACTCGTACCTTCTGTGTCCTGCTCCGGTTCTGGACTCAGTGGGAACGTAAGAGATACATCTGAGACATCTGAGCTTCATCAACTCTTCTGTGGATGATGATGATGTTGATGATGTTGATGATGATGATGTTGATGATGATGATGTTGATGATGTTGATGATGATGATGTTGATGATGATGATGATGATGTTGATGATGATGATGTCGATGTTGATGATGATGTTGATGATGAGGATGATGTTGATGATGATGATGTTGATGATGATAATGATGATGATAATGATGATAAGGATGATGATGTCGTTGATGATAATGATGATAATGATGAGGATGATGATGTCGTTGATGATGATAATGATGATGTTGATGATGAGGATGATGATGTCGTTGATGATGATGATGTTGATGATGATGATGTTGATGATGATGATGTTGATGATGTTGATGATGAGGATGTTGATGATGATGATGAGGATGTTGATGATGATGATGATGTTGTTGATGATAAGGATGATGATGATGATGATGATAAGGATGATGATGTCGTTGATGATGATGATGATGATGATGATGATGATGATGTCGTTGATGATGATGATGATGATGATGATGATGATGTCGTTGATGATGATGATGATAATGATGTTGATGATGATGATGTCATGTGATGAAGGACGACCTTGCTCTCCGTCAGCATGAACCACGGTCTGAGCTTCATCTCCAGCTCCATCACCATCACTGCCACCAGCTGCGTGAGTACAGAGTGATGTCACATGTGTGTGTGATGTGATGTCACATGTGTGGGATGTGATGTCACACATGTGTGTGTGATGTGATGTCACACGTGTGTGTGATGTGATGTCACACATGTGTGTGATGTGGTGTCACACATGTGTTGTGTAACATCACAAATTAAGTGTCTTAATTAAGTCTATAGTCCCTATAGTCTAATCTCCAGTAACCCTTTGTCATGTATCTGCCATTCTGTGTCTTTAAACTAAAGGTGTGTGTCTCAGTCTGATGTGTCTGTGTATCTCAGTCTAATGTGTGTGTGTGTATGTCTCTGATGTGTGTGTGTCTCAGTCTGATGTGTGTGTGTGTATCTCAGTCTGATGTGTGTGTGTCTCAGTCTGATGTGTGTGTGTATCTCAGTCTGATGTGTGTATGTCTCTCAGTCTGATGTGTGTATGTCTCAGTCTGATGTGTGTGTATCTCAGTCTGATGTGTGTGTGTCTCAGTCTGATGTGTGTGTGTATCTCAGTCTGATGTGTGTATGTCTCAGTCTGATGTGTGTGTGTCTCAGTCTGATGGGAGGTTCCTGGTGCTCTCCCTGCTGGTCCTGCTGCTGCTGCTCCTGCTGGTCCTGCTGTGGTGGTTCTGGCCTCTCTGCTGCTCAGTGGTACACACTCTTTTCACACAAACATAAACGTTTTGGATTTTTCAGACAAATGAAATGTTTGTGACGTTTGTGTTGCAGCTGATCCACGATCCACCTCCGCTCCCCGTCTCTGAGGATTCATTCGTAAGTACCAACAAATTAGACTCTGAGGAGCACAGGGACTGGCCTCCTGCTGGGACTCTGAGGAGCACAGGAACCGGCCTCCTGCTGGGACTCTGAGGAGCACAGGGACCGGCCTCCTGCTGGGACTCTGAGGAGCACAGGGACCGGCCTCCTGCTGGGACTCTGAGGAGCACAGGGACCGGCCTCCTGCTGAGACTCTGAGGAGCACAGGGACCGGCCTCCTGCTGAGACTCTGAGGAGCACAGGGACCGGCCTCCTGCTGAGACTCTGAGGAGCACAGGGACCGGCCTCCTGCTGAGACTCTGAGGAGCACAGGGACCGGCCTCCTGCTGAGACTCTGAGGAGCACAGGAACCGGCCTCCTGCTGAGACTCTGAGGAGCAGATGTTAATGGTTTTGTTCTGCACGTTGTGTTGCCGTGTGTAGTTGTGTATGAACTGTGCTACACAAATAACCTTCTGTGTTCACTGAAGGACGATGAAGAAGACTTTCCAAAGAAGCAGTGGCCGAGAGTCGAGGCGTCTTACTACGGAGGACGAGGAGTCGGAGGAATCAAGAGGATGGAGGTCAGAGCCTGTCACTCTACTCTGCTCTACTGTAATCTACTCTACTCTACTCTACTGTAATCTACTCTACTCTACTCTGCTCTGCTCTGCTCTGCTCTACTCTACTCTACTCTACTCTACTGTAATCTACTCTACTCTACTGTACCCTACTCTACTCTTCTCAACTCTACTCTGTCCTACTCTACTCTACTCTACTCTACTCTACTCTACTCTGCTCTGCTCTGCTCTGATCTGCTCTGCTCTACTCTACTCTACTTTGCTCTACTCTGCTCTGCTCTGCTCTGCTCTACTCTACTCTATTCCACTCTACTTTACTCTACTCTACTCTACTCTACTCTGCTCTGCTCTACTCTTCTGTACTCTACTCTACTCTACTGTACCCTACTCTACTCTTCTCAACTCTACTCTGTCCTACTCTACTCTACTCTATCCTACTCAACTCTACTCTACTCTACTCTACTCTACTCTACTCTACTCTGCTCTACTCTACTCTATTTCACTCTACTCTACTCTACTCTACTCTACTCTACTCTACTCTACTCTACTCTACTCTGCTCTGCTCTGCTCTGCTCTGCTCTGCTCTGCTCTGCTCTGCTCTACTCTACTCTACTCTACTCTACTCTACTCTGCTCTACTTTGCTCTACTCTACTGTACTCTACTCTACTCTGCTCTACTCTGCTCTACTCTACTGTACTCTACTCTACTGTACCCTACTCTATTCTTCTCAACTCTACTCTGTCCTACTCTACTCTACTCTACTCTATCCTACTCTACTCTACTCTATCCTACTCTACTCTACTTCCTCTGGTCATCTTTAACCAGTACCAGGTCTTTCTTTAGTCCCTCTTAGTGATTGGTCAGAGAGCATGGTTACCAAGGAATTTCCCGGATGCTGGTTTGTTGTGGATAGGTTCAGATACTAAGTGTAACGGGAGCGGTCCAGAACATACAGTAGATAGATTTAGATAAAGACAAATTAACTATATTTAAAAGTCCGGATGCTCATAGAACGACATGGGTTTAGTTCAAGCATGACCCTCTGCTGCTGACACCAAGTCGCCATTGTATCATCCAACCAACTTCAGCTCCACCAATACAGTCAGATTCAGATTCATTTATTGGCCATGTGCAGTAAAACCACATTGGAATACATTTGCAAATGTCTCCACTGTGCTCAAGACAAGTCCAGACATAAAACAAGGTAAAAAAAACTCCGAAATAAAACAACTAAACAGTAAACAATTGTCACTGTGAAATCGACCGACTAAAACAGTTTCAGTACAAGTGCAAGATCATTAAAGTGCTCTGTTCACACTGATGACAGCCTCTGGATAAAAACTGTTAGCGTAACGAGATGTCCTGCATCTCAGAGAGCGATATCTTCTGCCAGAGGGAAGAAGCTGGAACATGGCTTTTCCAGGGTGGCCAGAAGAGTCATTGACAATCCTAAGAGCTTTGTTTAAAAGTCTGGATTTATAAAGAACCTCCAGAAGAGGAAGCTCACAGCCCACGGTCCTCTTTGGAGAGCGGAGCACCTTGTTTAAAGCTCTCTTTTCTTTATCTGTGATGTTTCCAAACCACACAGACACAGAACCAACAAGTAAACTCTCAATGGTGCAGCGATAAAAGTTAAGCACAATCTTAGAGTTAGTGGTAAATTCATGCTAAACCTTATTGTATATCTCAGACCCTCTGGAATCCAGTTGTTGACAACATTCAACAACACAACATTCCACATAAAATGCAGCTGTGGATCAATAAGGACATATATAACACATTTCAATTTCCAGAATCCCGTTTTTAAATCCAGGTTGTCGGCCCCAGGTCAAGTCTGATGAACTAAAGTGGTCTTCTTATTAAAAGTTTGAATCCTGTCACAACAGAAGGAAAAGTGTTTGGTTTGATGATTGAAGATGTTGGTTTCCGGCTCTTTGTTCCAAACACATGGAGCAAGCACAGACTCAGCAAATAGTTCTGTTAGATCAACACATCCTCACTGTCCAGAGGAAAGAGGAGAGACCAGAGAGAGAGACCAGAGAGAGAGACCAGAGAAATACCAGAGAGAGAGACCAGAGAGAGACCAGAGAGAGACCAGAGAGAGAGACCAGAGAGAGACCAGAGAGAGAGACCAGAGAGAGAGAGACCAGAGAGGGACCAGAGAGAGAGACCAGAGAGAGAGACCAGAGAGAGACCAGAGAGGGACCAGAGAGAGAGACCAGAGAGAGAGACCAGAGAGAGACCAGAGAGAGACCAGAGAGGGACCAGAGAGAGACCAGAGAGAGAGACCAGAGAGGAACCAGAGAGAGAGACCAGAGAGAGAGACCAGAGAGAGACCAGAGAGAGACCAGAGAGGGACCAGAGAGAGAGACCAGAGAGAGAGACCAGAGAGAGACCAGAGAGAGAGACCAGAGAGAGACCAGAGAGCGACCAGAGAGAGAGACCAGAGAGAGACCAGAGAGAGACCAGAGAGAGACCAGAGAGAGACCAGAGAGAGAGACCAGAGAGAGACCAGAGAGAGAGACCACAGAGAGACCAGAGAGAGAGACCACAGAGAGACCAGAGAGAGAGACCACAGAGAGACCAGAGAGAAAGATCAAAGAGAGAGACCAGAGAGGGACCAGAGAGAGACCAGAGAGAGATCTGGAGACCAGGGGAGATCTGAGAGAGATCAGCGAGAGAGACCAGAGAGAGACCAGATAGAGACCAGAGAGAGACCAGAGAGAAAGATCAAAGAGAGAGACCAGAGAGAGACCAAAGAGGGACCAGAGAGAGACCAGAGAAAAACCTGAGAGGGACAAGGAAGAGAGCAAAGAGAGAGACCAGAGAGGGAGAGAGAGAGAGACCTGAGACAGACCTTAGACTGAGAGAGCGACAAGAGAAAGAGACCCAACACCAGAGAGACCAGGATGAGACCAGTGAGAGACCAGGAAGAGACCAGTGAGAGACCAAGAAGAGACCAGAGAGAGGCTGTGTGTCTGAGACGGTTCTCTCCTTGTGTTCAGGTGCGATGGGGAGATAAAGGCTCCACAGACGAAGGAGCCAAACTGGAGAAAGCCAAGAACGCTCGTGTGGTGATGCCGGAGCGCGAGTTTGATTCCCCTGCCCCACGACCCCTCCCCCACACACACAGGACCAGAACCCCGCAGAAGTGGTACTCTCCCATCAGGGTAAGCTCTAAGATACATCTTTAAAGATACAGCTCTAAGACACAGCTCTAAGCTCACACAGCACTTCTCGCATGGGAAACCAACACATGCAGACATCCCTCCTCCTCTACACACTCATAAATGCTTTAACAGCTCTTCTCACACTTTTAAAAAACATTGAATTATGTTCCAGAGAAAAGATAGAGAAAGAGAGACAGCAGAGAGAGAGCAGAGGGAGACCAGGGAGAGAGCAGAGAAAGAGAGCAGAGGGAGACCAGAGAGAGACCAGAGAGAGACCAGAGAGACTAGAGAGTGACTAGAGAGAGACTAGAGAGAGAGCAGAGGGAGACCAGAGAGAGAGACCAGTGAGAGGGCAGAGAGAGACCAGAGAGAGACCAGAGAGAGACCAGAGAGAAAGAGACCAAAGAGAGAGACCAGAGAGAGACCAGAGAGAGAGACCAGAAAGAGACCAGAGAAAGAGCAGAGAGAGACCAGAGAGAGAGGCTATTTTGAGTAACAAGAAGTCACAAACTTGCTTTGGCTCTTTTCTCTATTTTTACCTTTTTTGGTTGATATTTAATGTTAATAAATAATAATAATATTTTTTTTCAGGGGAAACTTCACGCTCTCTGGGTCTTCATCAGAAAAGGTTATGACCGAGTATCAGTGATGAGGCCTCTACCAGGAGACAGAGTGAGTACTGCGTGTGTCTCCCTCTGGTTGCTCTCTGGTCTCTCTCTGGTGTCTCTCTGGTGTCTCTCTGGTCTCTCTCTGGTTGCTCTCTGGTCTCTCTCTGGTGTCTCTCTGGTCTCTCTCTGGTGTCTCTCTGGTCTCTCTCTGGTCTTTCTTGGTGGTCTCTCTGGTCTCCCTGGTCTCTCTCTGGTCTCTCTGGTCTCCCTGGTCTCTCTCTGGTCTTTCTTTGATCTCTCTCTGGTCTCTCTCTGGTGTCTCTCTCTGGTCTCTCTGTTACTGGTCTGAAACAGGAGCTTTCATAGTTACCTGTTTGTGCCAGACATTAGCATGGATGGATCTAAACACGTCTGTAGGTCTGTTATGATCAAAGCAGCAGATTGAGCAGAAACGCTGCTTTAGGGTCTGAGTCTGAGTCTGTTTCCGTCATCAGCAGAAGTTTTGGCAGAAAAAACCTTTTTCTTTGACACGAGTTTAAAGGATAAAGAGAAGAATGTGGTTTTTCCATCTGCTGAAAGACAAGCTGACACACATTCACACACACAGACACACGCTCACACACACAGACACAGACACGCAGAAACACATGCACACTCAGACACACACACACACCCACGCACACACAGACCCATATACACTGACTCACACATACACACTCTAACTGGTCTCACTGGTTTCTCTCTGGTCTCTCTCTCTGGTTGCTCCCTGGTCTCTCACTAGTCTCTCTCTCTGGCCTCACACTGGTCTCTCTCTCTGGTCTCTCACTAGTCTCTCTCTCTGGCCTCACACTGGTCTCTCTCTCTGGTCTCTCACTAGTCTCTCTCTGGTCTCTCTCTGGTCTCACACGGGTCTCTCTCCCTGGTCTCTCACTAGTCTCTCTCTCTGGTCTCTCTCTGGCCTCACACTGGTCTCTCTCTCTGGTCTCTCACTAGTCTCTCTCTCTGGTCTCTCTCTGGTCTCACACTGGTCTCTCTCTCTGGTCTCTCTCTGGTCTCACACTGGTCTCACACTGGTCTCTCTTTCTGGTCTCTCTCTGGTCTCTCTCTGGTCTCTCTCTGGTCTCTCTCTGGTCTCTCTCTGGTCTCTCTCTGGTCTCTCTCTGGTCTCTCTCTGGTCTCTCCAGAATAGATAATAAAGTGCTTCTCTCTCGTTGGTTTCAGGGAAAGTGCATCACATTCAAACGAAGTGCCTCGTACCCGGCCCCTCCCTCCATCTACCACCGACCCTCCACTCCGCTCTACACTGTCCCCCACCGAGGGTCCGGCCAGGTGCCCCCATCTCCCACCTCCACCTTGCCCTCACCCCCCACTTACCCCCTGCCTCCATCTCCCTCCTCCACCTTGCCGCCGCTGCCAACCTCCCCCCCTCCCTCTTTCAGCTCGTTCTGGTCTGATTACACACACTCTGCTCCTCCCTCACCCTCCAGCTCATCCCCCCCTCCCTCACCCACCACCTCGTTACCCCCACCTCCCCACGTCCCGGCCCCCACCCGTGCCCCCCCTCCCTCACGCCCGCCACCGCACCCTGAGGACTGAGGCTCGAGGTAGAAAACCCCAGTTTGGACCAAAGATCAGAACAGTGTTGTTTACACCACGACACTGGAACAAAACTTCAGTTCCAGATGTAAACCCTGACCCTCCGGCTCATCTGGGGGAACCCTCCGGCTTATCTGGGGGAACCCTCCGGCTTATCTGGGGGAACCCTTCAGCTCATATGGGGGAACCCTCCGACTCATCTGGGGGAGCCCTTCAGCTCATCTGGGGGAACCCTCCGGCTCATCTGGCCAGTCCCCAGGGTTTTCCGGGGTCTTCCATCCTGGTTAAATCCAACATGTTATATCACCATGACAACAGCACCTCTTTCATCTTTCACCAATGAATATTTTGAACACATTTTCTATAAACTGTAATTATTGCTCTTTGCACAATAAATGTTTTGTATAAAGTTTTATTCTGAAACTTTTGTTTTTCTCAGGGACCACTGGAGTTCAGGTTCACAGAGAGAAGGGACCTCCCTAGTGTGTCTACAACAGTCACATGACACACATGTGTGTTTTTAACAGTCACATGACACATGTGTGTGTCTATAACAGTCACATAACACATGTGTGTGTCTATAACAGTCACATGACACATGTGTGTGTCCTCAAGTCAAAGTCGTCGGTGATAAAAAGATACACATTTTCAATATTAATGTAAATGACTTTTTCAAACTTGACTTTTAGACCCAAGGATCCATGTGTCAATAGAGAAGAGCAGAGCAGAGTAATGCAGAGCAGTACAGAGTAATGCAGAGCAGTGCAGAGTAATGCAGAGCAGTACAGAGTAATGGAGAGCAGAGCAGTGCAGAGTAATGCAGAGCAGAACAGTACAGAGTAATGCAGAGCAGTGCAGAGTAATGCAGAGCAGAGCAGTACAGAGTAATGCAGAACAGTACAGAGTAATGCAGAGCAGAGCAGTACAGAGTAATGCAGAGCAGAGCAATGCAGATGCAGAGCAGAGTAATGCAGAGCAGAGTAATGCAGAGCAGTACAGAGTAATGCAGAGCAGGTGGACACAGGGCTCATACTGTCCCTTTAATTCCTTCAGTTTTCTCAGCAGAGGATTATGTAACGTGTCGTCAGTCTGTGGTTTTTCCATCGACTGCGACCAAAACCACTGTTTCATGTGTCTGAGAGTCTGATTACACAATAACAGCGCTATTACACACACACACAGAGAGAGAGCGATACAAAGAGACACACAACCTGCAGCTTTCAAATAACTTTAATATCACAGAAACTGTATCAACGCAAACTCTTGGATTAAAGCCAGTTACAGCAAAGCTCTTGGCAGAAACATAGTTATTACTTATCGCTTATTACGTTGTAAACAGTATACAGTATAAAAAAACAGTATACAGATGGACAATGCTAACACAGACTGTATACAGATGGTCAATGCTAACACAGACTGTATACAGATGGACAATGCTAACACAGACTGTATACAGATGGACAATGCTAACACAGACTGTATACAGATGGACAATGCTAACACAGACTGTATACAGATGGACAATGCTAACACAGACTGTATACAGATTTACAATGCTAACACAGACTGTATACAGATGGACAATGCTAACACAGACTGTATACAGATGGTCAATGCTAACACAGACTGTATACAGATGGTCAATGCTAACATAGACTGTATACAGATGGACAATGCTAACACAGACTGTATACAGATGGACAATGCTAACACAGACTGTATACAGATGGACAATGCTAACATAGACTGTATACAGATGGACAATGCTAACACAGACTGTATACAGATGGACAATGCTAACACAGACTGTATACAGATGGACAATGCTAACACAGACTGTATACAGATGGTCAATGCTAACACAGACTGTATACAGATGGACAATGCTAATGTGCTAGTTCGATGAAGCCCAATAGGGAAGTGCTCATTGTAAACTTTGGCTCATACTAAACTTGTAAAAGTAAACTCCTCTAGCTCAGTAACTGTCTTTGTAAATCCGGATATGAGCCATATAAGGACTGACCAATCAGCGGCCTGCAATTCCAGTTTGGCTTAGCAACATTGGCTCCCGTTAATGTTCAAATCGGATGACGTCACACTCGGGTGATGTCACACACAGCCTAGAGTTATAGCTAAGTGTGGAACATTTAAGGCAAAAGGATAAACATTTTGACCAAAGTTTAACAGAATATAAGATTAAGTTATATTTAAATTTAATTCCATTCCATTTTCTGCCGCTTCATCCGTTGCCGGGTCGCGGGGGCAACAGTCTAAGCAGAGATGCCCAGACTTCCCTATCCACACACACTTCCTCCAGCTCATTCGACCCCAAGGCGTTCCCAGAGAAAGACCCTCCGACGTGTCCTGGGTCTTCGCCAAGGCCCCCTCTCAGTGGAACGTGCCTGGATCACCTCCCAGGGGGTCGATTAGGAGGCATCCGGAACAGATGCCCGAGCAATATTTTAAATGATTAAATAAAAATTGTTTGAGACGAGCTTTAACTCAGAAACATTTGCAGTTTTACTTTTAAGGATGTTAAATGAAAAAAAAAAAGACAGTTATAAAGTGCCCTAAAGACCATGGCCTTTGGGCCAAAGCTGAGGTAGAGAAACATGAGCTTTTATCTGGCGACGCATCTGTCCCAGAGTCAGGGCCATGTGTTCGTCACAGTGTAACATCACAGAGGCCCCTGAGGTCTGGCTGTAGCCCGTGTAAGTCTCTGGTCAGTGTTTCCGGTGAGGCTCCATGAGGTCAAAGGTCCCACTGCGACTGAACCCACCGCCGCCTGCCTCCCGACCCTAGACACGACCCTGTGCACGACCACCGCCTGCACCACAGGGAGGGGAGGGGCTCTGAGGGGAGGGGCCTCTGAGGGAGGGGGGACTTGGCGTCGAACAAACGGAGCTTGAAGAAACACATCGTCTTCTGAGGATCTGAAGGGAGTGAGATCAAACAAATCAGTCTGAGGGGGAGAGGGGGGAGGGCAGGAGAAAGAGTCCTGGTTGGGGTAAACGCACAAGGTGGTTCTTTGGTAGTCCTTCTGATTCTGCGTAGAGCCGCTGCTCCCTCCGTCTGGTTACAGAAGCAGAGAACAAACATGATGAGTCAGTTTTTTTCATCACATTCAGAAAAGGTAAAGAAAAAAGATATTTGTACTCACCTGACAACCGACTAAACATTCAAGGCCTTTAATTCAGAATATTGTCATGATATTGCATATGAAGCCCCCTGGTGGAGTATTCTGGTAACAGCACTATCATCTTCTACTTGATCTGTCATCATTATGACTTTGGCTGGTGTCTCTCTGGCTGGTGTCTCTCTGGCTGGTGTCTCTCTGGCTGGTGTCTCTCTGGCTGGTGTCTCTCTGGCTGGTGTCTCTCTGGCTGGTGTCTCTCTGGCTGGTGTCTCTCTGGCTGGTGTCTCTCTGCCTGGTGTCTCTCTGCCTGGTGTCTCTCTGCCTGGTGTCTCTCTGCCTGGTGTCTCTCTGCCTGGTGTCTCTCTGCCTGGTGTCTCTCTGCCTGGTGTCTCTCTGCCTGGTGTCTCTCTGCCTGGTGTCTCTCTGCCTGGTGTCTCTCTGCCTGGTGTCTCTCTGCCTGGTGTCTCTCTGCCTGGTGTCTCTCTGCCTGGTGTCTCTCTGCCTGGTGTCTCTCTGCCTGGTGTCTCTCTGCCTGGTGTCTCTCTGCCTGGTGTCTCTCTGCCTGGTGTCTCTCTGCCTGGTGTCTCTCTGGCTGGTGTCTCTCTGCCTGGTGTCTCTCTGCCTGGTGTCTCTCTGGCTGGTGTCTCTCTCTGAGGTGTGTGTATTTTACAGATTGTATCAAACAAACTACAAAAACCAATCAAACACTGACATTCACATGATGAGTTTATTTGTCGTCCCTTTAGAACTCTACGTCTCACAAAAATATAAAGCACATAATTCCACAACTTTGATATAGTTCTGAGCCATAGACACCAGAGGGCGCCAGAACACACATGGTATCAGAACACACTTCAAAACCCTCAGGGAGACAACACTCTGGGGGGTCACTGCTCTGGTCCCTCTCTCTCTGGTCTCTCTTTCTCCGCTCTCTCTATAGGGTCTCTCTCTGATCTCTTGAGTGTCAAGAAAGAGCTGTATCAAACCCACACATTATTATTATTTTTGTTATGAATGAATAGAGAGAGTATAGATTTCATGCATCCCTCGTCATGGCGACATGGTTGGCTTGATTCAGGATCTCGTGTGTTTGAGGCAGAGGTGCTAGTGCTATGTGAGATTGACCCAAGAACCAGATCTGACTCGTATGCAGAGTGCCCTCTAGCAGTGCGTCGCCACGGTAACCGATCAGTGACTGTGCTTTTAAAGACTTTTGGGGGGTGAAAAGAGAAGGATCCAACAATGACTCCACGCGCACACGGATCAGAACACTGTATTTCACACAGAACGTCAACAACAGCCATGCTTTTTCTGATCGGGACCTGAACCAAACCTGAACAAAGCACTGGTCCAGGAGAGAGACTGGACCTGGGCGTTCTGCAGAGACCTGTCCACACGTGTTCCACCAGGAGACCCGTTTCCACCAGTGCTACTCGGCTCGGCTCTACTCTACCTGGTTGTATTTTCATTACACTATCTAGTACTGTATCCTAGTAACCTACCCACAAGAAACCAGTATCTGTGGAAATGTCTGGGTAACCATGGCTCCCAGCAGCACTCTGACCAATCACTGTCAGTCAGAACAGTTTAGTACCAGCTCGGCCTGGATAGAACCAGGACCAAGAGGGACTAAAGAAGGACCTGGTACTGGTTACACAGGACCAGAGGAAACACTTACTATCAGGGTAGAGTAGAGTAGAGTAGAGTAGAGTAGAGTAGGGTAGGGTAGGGTAGGGTAGAGTAGAGTAGAGTAGGGTAGAGTAGGGTAAAGTAGGCTAGGCTAGAGTAGAGTAGAGTAGAGTAGGGTAAAGTAGAGTAGAGTAGGGTAAAGTAGAGTAGGGTAAAGTAGAGTAGAGTAGGGTAAAGTAGAGTAGGGTAAAGTAGAGTAGAGTAGAGCAGACCTAGTGGAAACAGGGTCATCGATACACACACTGTGGACAGACGTCTTTCACATTAATTCTTATAATAAAAAAACAAAAACACAGGAATGACATTTCAGACGATTCAATATTCATTTACGACGTTCGAAAAAGCATAGATTTTCATATATATTTCATTATTATATTTACTTTATACATTCATTCTCTAACACTATTTATATTAACAGGAAAACAATATGATATTTCTGATACACACTGAGGATATCGTCATAGTTACGGCTCCGTGGACCAAAGCAAAAGTGTGAGGGTAAAGCTTCAGGACGACAGTATTCACAGGGACGGAAACACCGGAGGAACAGTGAGACATGAGCACGACACTTGACCCGGGAGCTCAGGGTGGACTGTTTTAATGCTATAGCTGAAACCATGCAACGATCAGAGCCGAAAGAGGGACTCGGGTCTCGCCACAGTCTCTGCTCCGGTCTATATGGCACATTTTAGAGCTGCACACATAGAATAGAGCTGGCTTCTCCGGCTGTCGCTCTCTCGCTGCAGCTCGCACAGCAGATATTCAAGTCACTGTGCAAAACCAGCTACAAGACACTCACGCACTTTTCCGAATAAATATGTTTCAGTCTCGTCTTGGGACTGTGTGCAAACGAAAACCTGGGCTGGAGCGGGCCACACGGGGGGACGCCACAGGAGCACTGTTATACCTATATCACCACTGAATAAGTCTATGGTACACTATTGCACTTTAGTCTTTGTACAGATACTGAAACTAGGGTGACGTCACTCGGTTCCAGATGAAAGGGGCGAAGGTCATGATTTAGAGTCAGAGGGAAACAAGACTTTTGAGAATGAGAGATGACGGGAGAAAGAAGACCCAGTACTGGATGATTGTCCATTCCCACTTATGATTGAAGTGGGAATGGGGAGCACTACAGCTATGAGAAAGGGAGAGTTAGGGTCTGTATGCCAGGGTCTAACGCCAGGGTCTAACGCCAGGGTCTGTATGTCAAGGCCTAAATGCCAGGGTCTAAATGCCAGGGTCTAAATGCCAGGGTCTGTATGCCAAGGTCTGAATGCCAAGGTCTGAATGCCAGGGTCTGAATGCCAGGGTCTGTATGTGAAGGCCTAAATGCCAGGGTCTGTATGTGAAGGCCTAAATGCCAGGGTCTGTATGTGAAGGCCTAAATGCCAGGGTCTGTATGTGAAGGCCTAAATGCCAGGGTCTGTATGTGAAGGCCTAAATGCCAGGGTCTGTATGTCGAGGCCTAAATGCCAGGGTCTAAATGCCAGGGTCTAAAGGCCAGGGTCTAAATGCCAGGGTCTAAATGCCAGGGTCTAAATGCCAGGGTCTAAATGCCAGGGTCTAAATGCCAGGGTCTAAATGCCAGGGTCTAAATGCCAGGGTCTGTATGCCAAGGTCTGAATGCCAGGGTCTGAATGCCAGGGTCTAAATGCCAGGGTCTGTATGCCAGTGGTACATCTACAGGTCGATGAGCTGATCCACCAGCAGCAGGGAGCGGGCCAAACTGGGCAGGCTGGATTCAGAGCCGCCACTGTTACTGCGGGAGTGGCCTCCTGAAACTGGCCCAAAGAAGGAAGGGGAGAGGAGGAGGAGGAGGAGGAAGAAGAGGAGTAGGAGGAAAAGGAGGAGCACAAAGGACAGACAGAACAGGGTTAAAAGAGAAAGAAGGAACAGTTTACTAATCTACAGATTGTATATAAAACGTCCATTAACTATAACCCCCAATTTACACCAAGCCCCACACAGCCTGTATGTGCAGCAGGAGACGTGTGTACGTTCAACAGAGTTCAAATGTGGCTTCAGGGTGGCTGAGTGGTTAACACGGTTTTTCACAAGGTCCAGGTTAAAATCCCAGTGTTTGTGTGTCCCTGTGTCATTATTGGCTACTGTACTTTAAAATTGTTGTATTTTAATGACATGCTATTTTATTTATTTCAAGTGCAACTGGAGACTGCAGATAGCTATAATCTGGTGCAGAAGAAATCTGCATAATGTTGCAGAGCACTGTCCCAAATAAAGACTAAACTGAACTCTTTCTATCCCACAGCAGAGCTCTTACTGTGTACTCGGAGACGTGTGTAAAGTGGGGACTCTCACTGTGGACTCAAGAGACTTGTGTAAAGTGGGGACTCTCACTGTGGACTCAAGAGACTTGTGTAAAGTGGGGACTCTCACTGTGGACTCAAGAGACTTGTGTAAAGTGGGGACTCTCACTGTGGATTCTGAGACTTGTGTAAAGTGGGGACTATCACTGTGGATTCTGAGACTTGTGTAAAGTGGGGACTCTCACTGTGATCATGTCATGTGACTATTTCCCCGAAGAGCAGTGCACTTTGTTCAGTTTCACAGATCCACAAAGGGAACAGTCATAAACTCTGAACAGAACTGTACCTTGAGAGTTTTTTCGGCCCACGACGGGGATGGGATCGAAGTTGTCCTCCTCACACGCCTCATCTGACGCAGGAGGAGGCTCCAGGTCAGAGATGAGCAGGTCAGAATCTGCACAACATTGAAACTCATGTTTAATAGCTGCATTTGCAGAGACAATTATCTTTTACTTGATTTCAATTTAGAGAAGCAAATACTAGAGTCAGAAAAGTACAAAAACAAGATGTCTCTGGGAGAAACAAAACAATGGACAAGAGACATTGTGATTTCTTAGTTACTCCCTTTGATGATTCTGAGACTTCTGTATCCGGTGAGTGTACTCTGACAAACATGCTGGTCTATCTGACCACACAACTGTTGATAATCCACATTTTAGTCTACAACAAACTAGACTAAAAACACACTTCACACTTTGAATCGGCAGTATCGTAGCATAGCTCTTAGAGTTTGCATAAACGGGACAAGAGTCCAGCGAACCTCTGAATCAAAACTGCAATAAATAAATTTGATACACCTCCATATAATTAGTTTCCACCTTTGTTATCAACTCAAAGCTAAAGCCAGGGCTCACTTAACTTCAAATTGTGGATAATAAACCCGTTCGGTGATGTAGCCCTTGGCTAGCCGCAGCCTCTTTGCTTCCTTGATCCATGGCTTCCGCTAGCTCCCGTTCGGCGGAAACAGTCCAAGGTGTTGAAGCAGGTTGGGTGCAATCTGGCTAACACAGTGGCCGCCAGTGCTAGTTATCTGTTCAGTTAGACCGTTAGAAGCTAGACTGAGATTGTGTGTGTGCCTCGCTTAAACTCTAACTACTCTTGAAATGTAAGAAGTGGCTAATTTATAGTGTCTAGAGCTGGATATGAAATGTCAAACGAACTTATGTTTTTGCTTGAGGCTTTGTACTTTTTTCCTAATGTACATTTACAGTGTGTAAATGTCCCGTTTCTACAGCCTCAGTCCTGAAACTGTGTGTGGTCATACCACTCAAACAGAGGTGGGGGTCATACCTTTAGGCTGAGGACAGTCCCCCGACAGCAGACTGAAGTCCACAGCTGAAGCAGCAGAGGTGGGGGCAGAGGATAGGGAGGAGGTGCCACTGCTACCTGTAGGAGGCGCCGAAGGGCAGGACATCAGGGAGCAGGTCATGAGCGAGTCCTCAGAGGTGAGAGAGTCTGAGGACAGAGCAGACACATTTATTATGGAAACCCTAACATTACAACCACAGGAGCAGATCGGCCTGACCTTTGACTTCCTCTACTGTGCCCCCAAAAGGATCAGACAGCGACAGCAGGTCGGGAAGAACCAGAGAAGAAACATCTGGAGACTTCAGGCCTTCAATCAGCTTTTCTGCAACACATGTGTTTAAGCCAAATTAGTTCAATTACAAGTTGAATCAGAAACAGACTGAAAGCAAAGCCCTATTTCCACCAGCCCTGACAAACTCTAGCAACCTACAAACAAAATAGTATCTAGGAACATGCCTTGGTTCCAGCAGCACTCTGGCCAATCATTGTCAGTTAAAACATGTTATTACCAGCTCGGCCTGGACCAAGAGGGACCAGAGGAAACACTCCTAATCAGGGGAGAGTAGAGCAGAGCAGGGCTGGTGAAGATGGGGCTAAAGTCTTTTTTAATTTTTTATAAAAAACACAATAAATGCCAAAATTACACTTTCATCTGCAATACATTTATTTAATTGACCTTTACTGAGATCTCAAAATCTATATTTTAGGAGAGGTCTGGCCTCAGAGAGAAGGGGAGCCACTCTACGTGTTTTAGTGAAGTTGGAGCACCTGGAGAAAACTTCTACAGACATGGGACAAACATGCAAACTCCACACAGAAAGGCCCTGTCTGGAGGGGGATTTGAACCCCAGAACCTTCTGCTGAGAAGCAAGAGTGCTAACCACTCAGAGAGGAAGGAAGCAGATTTAATGAACATTCACAAGTTTGTGATTGATCATAAACCTGTGCCTCATGTTCACCTGTGTTTGTGAGGTCCAGACTCGGGAATCGATCAGGAACCGACAGAAGAGAAGCTTCTTGATCCACGTTAACAACGTTTGAAGACGTCTCATCTGCGTCACAAGAGAAAACCTCAGATCAGAGAAGTTAAATGCTCAGATGTTAGTCTTAAGTCCATGACAGAAATACACAAAGAGCTTTCCACGGTGCAGCTGTAGTTCCCATTCTCTACACACGGTGGCGACAGGACACTGGCATATAAGCCGCTGACCATCATCCTCCTTCACTGCTTGCTTTTAGCGCTGGAGAAACCGGAGCACCTGAAGGAAACCTAAGCTGACATGGGGAGAACATGCAAACTCCACTATTCCAGCTGGGATTCAAACCTAGTACTCATGAGGAGCGAAAATCAAACCACTGGTATGAAAATACCCACTGGTCTTTTTAACTTTCTGTCACTTAAAATGGCAATACAAAGGTTCTGATTCTGATTCTGATCTGTGGTGATGGGGATTTGTTTATTTCTTATTGTTACAAACCTTTGTGAGCGGAGGCGTCTCCTGAGGCCTGTAAACCTGGAACTAAATCCTCTGACGTCGTCTTCACTTCTGAACAAAGAAAAATGACTTTGATCATTTTTAGAACATTAAAACATGAAAGTGTTTGTAAACTGTAACGTTACCCTCAGTAGAACTGTGCTCCTCTGATATGTTGAAGTTTTCACCATCAAACGGGTTCCAAACGGGAGGAGCAGCACTGCCCGCAGAGCTCCTGACAGCACATAGAACACACATCTCTGCTCTTGTGTTGTGGCCCACGTTATCACTTGTAAATAAGGAAGTTTGTTCTACTCACTGATTGTTGGGGGCCTCTGCAGGAGGTCCAGCCTGAGGGGAGTCCAAGGGGGGGGCGGGGTCACTGGGCGTGCGGCTGTGACCTCTGACCTCAGAAGTTTTTGGAGAAGTTGGAGGAGTCTGAGAGAGGAAAGTGGGAGGAGTCAGAGAGAGGAGAGAGTGGGAGGAGTCATAGAGAGGAGAAAGTGGGAGGAGTCAGAGAGAGGAGTCAGAGAGGAGAAAGTGGGAGGAGTCAGAGAGAGGAGAGAGTGAGAGGAGAGAGTGGGAGGAGTCAGAGGAGAGAGTGGGAGAGAGTTATTTATGTGTGTTTGTGTTGTGAGGCTCATTCGTGTAAAACAAACTTCAGTTTTTACCGTCTCTGCTACGTTTGTGCTGTTGTCACTGGGACAGGGGGCCCCTCTGCTGGGGGACCCCACACCTGCCCTGCGCCGCACAGGTCGCTGAGGCGCTGCAGGGCTGGATGGGGCGGGAGCACTGGCTGCAGAGGGAGCTGCAGCTTGGGCGGGAGCCTGGACGGGAGCCTGGACGGGAGCCTGGACGGGAGCCTGGACGGGAGCCTGGACGGGAGCCTGGACGGGAGCCTGGACCGGAACCTGGACAAGAGCCTGGACAAGAGCCTGGACCGGAGGCTGGACTGGAGCTTGAGAAGAGGACTCTGTCTTTGTCATAGTCTCTGCTGATGGTGCTGCAGTCGGCTGGACCACCTACAGAACAGAAAAACACTTTCTCAAGACTGGTTCCAGTCTAAGTCCTAAGTCTACAGTTTCAGTCCTGGATCTACAGCCTCAGTCTTGGTCGGTGAATCCACAATTTTGTAAAGTGCTGCTGTTGTCAGAACGAAAAGGTCGGGACCTGCTTCTGCTGAGCTGGAGCCGCAGTGGACGTCTGAGTCTTCTGGGACAGTAGAGCTGCTGCTGGCTGGGACAGGTCCAGACTTACCCCTGTTTCAACACATCAACAAGTCAACCCTGAGACCTCACTACATTTAGAGAAGAGACTACGTTCACAGATGTACACAGAGAAGAGACTACAGCAAGAAGCTTCTTACCGACTGGAGCTGCAGTCTGGACATTAGCTCTCTTTCGCGGCGTGAGAGCAGCCGGCTGGATGGGTAACATGCCCGAGCCGGCCTGAGTGTGACTGGCTTTGGGTCTTTGACGTGGAGTGATGGAGGTCTCAGTGGTGGGAACGGGATCCGTTAGTCTGCAATAAAACCAGGACAATAAAATTATTGCTTGTTTCTACCAGCTCTACTCTACTACTGTGCTCTACTGTACTCTATTGTACTCTACCTGGTTGTGTATCCATTATACTTTAGTATCTGGTACCGTATCCTAGCAACTTACAACCAACAAACCAGTATTTTTAGACCATTGAAATCAGAGTACAGTAGAGTAGATGGAACTATACAGTAGGTCCCATTCCGTTTTGTCGTCTTCATTCACGCTTCTCGGGAATCACGCAGCTGCGTGAAAAATAGTACATCTTATCGCCACAAGGTGGCAGGCTAAGTCCGCTTTAGCTCTGCCAGCGACTTAGACGCTCAGGTATAAGACTGCGTGCAAACCTGTCTAGCCCAGAGGTGCTATGTTGGCCGAATGGTTAGCATTAAATACAGGGACCTGGAGAACCCAGGTTCGATTCTTGTCTGAGGCACATCTTTTGGTTGCTTGTGGCAAAATTGTTTTTTCATTAAACAATTATTATATAACATCTTGTCTTTAATGTCTGAAAAAATCTAGGTGAAATTCACTAGTGTTATACGTTAAATATTGTGATATGTTTTGATAAACCGAACGTTACGTTAAATCCTCCGCTCTGGCCCCGGGAGCAGCTGCTGTGACCCCCGCTCTGACAGCTCAGTGAACGCACTGCCGTCTGGGCTCCGAGCGCGGACCATAGACACGCGGACTCACGTCTCTCTCTCTCTCTGCTCGCGTCTCTCTCTCTCTGCTCGCGTCTCTCTCTCTGCTCGCGTCCCTCTCTCTCTGCTCACGTCTCTCTCTCTGCTTGTGTCTCTCTCTCTGCTCACGTCTCTCTCTCTCTGCTCACGTCTCTCTCTCTCTGCTCACGTCTCTCTCTCTCTGCTCGCATCTCTCTCTCTCTGCTCACCTCTCTCTCTCTCTGCTCGCGTCTCTCTCTCTCTCTGCTCACCTCTCTCTCTCTCTCTCTGCTCACCTTTCTCTCTCTCTGCTCACGTCTCTCTCTGCTCTCTCTCTCTGCTCACGTCTCTCTCTGCTCACGTCTCTCTCTGCTCACGTCTCTCTCTGCTCACGTCTCTCTCTGCTCACGTCTCTCTCTGCTCGCGTCTCTCTCTCTCTGCTCACGTCTCTCTCTCTCTGCTCACGTCTCTCTCTCTCTGCTCACGTCTCTCTCTGCTCTCTCTCTCTCTGCTCGCGTCTCTCTCTCTCTGCTCACGTCCCTCTCTGCTCGCGTCTCTCTCTCTCTGCTCACGTCTCTCTCTGCTCGCGTCTCTCTCTCTCTGCTCACGTCTCTCTCTCTCTCTGCTCACGTCTCTCTGCTCACCTCTCTCTCTCTCTCTCTGCTCACGCCTCTCTCTCTCTGCTCACGTCTCTCTCTGCTCACGCCTCTCTCTGCTCACGCCTCTCTCTCTCTGCTCACGTCTCTCTCTCTCTGCTCACGTCTCTCTCTGCTCGCGTCTCTCTCTGCTCGCGTCTCTCTCTGCTCTCTCTCTCTCTGCTCGCGTCTCTCTCTCTCTGCTCGCGTCTCTCTCTCTCTGCTCACGTCTCTCTCTCTCTGCTCACGTCTCTCTCTCTCTGCTCACGTCTCTCTCTCTCTGCTCACGTCTCTCTCTCTCTGCTCACGTCTCTCTCTCTCTGCTCACGTCTCTCTCTCTCTGCTCACGTCTCTCTCTCTCTGCTCACGTCTCTCTCTGCTCACGTCTCTCTCTGCTCACGTCTCTCTCTCTCTGCTCACGTCTCTCTCTGCTCACATCTCTCTCTCTCTGCTCACGTCTCTCTCTCTGCTCACGTCTCTCTCTCTGCTCACGTCTCTCTCTCTGCTCACGTCTCTCTCTGCTCACGTCTCTCTCTGCTCACGTCTCTCTCTGCTCACGTCTCTCTCTGCTCACGTCTCTCTCTCTCTGCTCACGTCTCTCTGCTCATGTCTCTCTCTGCTCACGTCTCTCTCTGCTCGCGTCTCTCTCTCTCTGCTCGCGTCTCTCTCTCTCTGCTCACGTCTCTCTCTCTCTGCTCGCGTCTCTCTCTGCTCTCTCCCTGCTCGCGTCTCTCTCTCTCTCTCTGCTCACGTCTCTCTCTGCTCACCTCTCTCTCTCTCTCTCTGCTCACGTCTCTCTCTCTCTGCTCGCGTCTCTCTCTCTCTGCTCACGTCTCTCTCTGCTCGCGTCTCTCTCTCTCTGCTCACGTCTCTCTCTCTCTGCTCACGTCTCTCTCTCTCTGCTCGCGTCTCTCTCTCTCTGCTCACGTCTCTCTCTCTCTGCTCGCGTCTCTCTCTCTCTGCTCACGTCTCTCTCTCTGCTCGCGTCTCTCTCTCTGCTCACCTCTCTCTCTCTCTCTGCTCGCGTCTCTCTCTCTCTGCTCACGTCTCTCTCTGCTCTCTCTCTCTGCTCACGTCTCTCTCTGCTCTCTCTCTCTGCTCACGTCTCTCTCTCTCTGCTCACGTCTCTCTCTCTGCTCACGTCTCTCTCTCTCTGCTCACGTCTCTCTCTCTCTGCTCGCGTCTCTCTCTCTCTGCTCGCGTCTCTCTCTCTCTCTGCTCACGTCTCTCTCTGCTCACGTCTCTCTCTGCTCACGTCTCTCTCTGCTCGCGTCTCTCTCTGCTCACGTCTCTCTCTCTCTGCTCGCGTCTCTCGCACCTGTTCTTCTTAAAGATGTTGTTTGATGCGGAGCAGAGAGTCAGCAACTAGATTGGTTGTGAGATTATTAAAAGAAGCTAGTTCTCTCATCTTTACAGCATGGGAAGTTTGTGAATGTTATTGCATCGGTGATTAAATGCTATTTTATTTTAATAATGATAGTAAATCTGACATTTAAAGTCAGTGCCTCCCCAATCACAATCCTCACCGCACGTCACTGTCTGTCTGCTATATGCATCTGATCATTTGATGTTGCCTCAACCTACACTTGTTTTAGTTTAAATGTGTAGGCTAGCTGTTTTTCAGTCTTTGAAATGTTGATGTGGCCATTTTATGGCTATTAAAAGCATCTGCCTCTGTCTGTGCGCTTTAACTGCCGGCACTAGGACCACTACGTGGATTAGCGCCCTCTCAGCTGTCTTCGCGCCGAATGAATGACAGATAGCATGATAGTGATAAGATATGTAAACAATGGCAACGCCGGCTGCTGAAAAGGCAAAACCTAGGCCATTCCAGTCCTGCTGGACACAAGAGTTTGGTTTTGTGTTTGTGAAGGACCGTGCTGTGAAAAAATTTGCTGTGCTTTATGCTGTGAAAATGTTGTGTGCAGAACTTCAAGTGTTAAGCGTCATTTTGAGACGAAGCACGAGAAGACCTTCAAAGACCAATCAGACAAAGTAGAGTCAATTAAATGTGCTGTGTCCAGATATGGAAAACAAGCTAGCTCCTTCAGGGTTTTTACCACTGCTAAAAATCACGGGACAGAAGACTCTCTTGCAGCTCTCCCTCCCCCACACGAATAAACAAAGCCCACCCCAGGCCCCTGCTGTTATAAGTCATTACCTAAATTTGCAAATCAATACATGCAAATGTTAGCAGCCAACCTATCCTTCTTTTCAAAACAGGGGCCAATTTCGCTTGGGTTTGCTAGTGTTAAAACTAAGCAGACATTCATCAGCCAACTCCATTATATTTGTAAAACACGGAGAAAGAAAGTTTCCCACCCATCATACATTTGTATTAGCAATATCGTTTTACAAGTTTACTACAGTCTAGCAACTATTCATTTCAACCTTCGGCACAACACGCCAAAACACGCATGAAATTCAAGATTTGGACAACAATAAACATGTTCACACTCTGGCATCATGTTTAAAAAAATTAATTTGCGCATCAGAAAATGTCTAACGGAAACACGCAAACTTCGAATCATATATATAATAAGCCTCTGAATTTATTCTTTTAAATAATGTTGTTATAACACTCACCATTAATGCGACTTCTGGTGCTGGACTGTAAAAAATACAACTCAAAATTGTTCACCTTACTAAGATTTTTGCATTCACTGACAATAAAATTGCCAGTTGGAACTTATGAACAATAGAAGGCCATGGCCTGTATAGTAGTACAAAAACAAGATAAAATAGAAGTACAAGACACACAATGTTCTTTGATTGTATATCTGCTACGATTCTGTATCCGTTGTTTTAGCTGACTGACGCCAATATATCCAATATATAATGTTTCCCTGTTTATTGTTCTGCCTGAATCTACCACCTGTTGTGAATAAACTTCCAGGTTGCTCTGGTGTGCAAAGATCCCTGCCTATGCGTCTGATTTTCGACACTCACTTTCTGAAGTTTCTGATGAAAAGTTCATCTTATTTGATATATTAAGTTGATTTGACTTTTAAAGGCACACACCGTGTAACTCTTGGCCACTAGGGGCGCTAGACCTGCAACTTTCACGTTTAGCGCCCCTAGTGGCCACAAGCAACTCAGCACTGTCGCAAAAGTCAACAAACAGTCAGCCGGTGTCTTTTGAGTGTGTATTCAGACAGCATGCACTGGTGTGTGTGTTCAAACTGTAGAGACATGCCTACAGATATTGAGAGACTCTGCTGTGGTCAGCCTCCAGACCGCTGCATTAGTAATCTACCACACATGGACTTCTATATCCTGGATGAGGGAGTTCTGCGTCTAGCTCGTGCTGCGTGGAATGACATCTTTGCAGTCGATGACATCCAGGAACCAGGTGAAGAGCAGCGCTCATACAGACATGCAGCTTACAGCACGATCCCTTTCGCGTTTCCTCTTTTTAGCCTCCTCCGAAGGTTTAAAATTTTTCCTTGCCTCAGCCATGACCAGGAGTCGAGCAGGTGAAAAATGAGTAGCAAAAGCCTTAGCTCCATGAGTATATCAGCGCCTGTAGCCGTAAAGCAAGTCTTTCTTCCAAGTCACGTGACCTGGTGGCAGACGGTCCGTCTGCTCGAAACTTACATGGGCGGTATTTCAAGAGGGCAGCCCCGCTCGGAGCATTGCAAGTGTCAAGCGCTGTATATTGGCCCAAGTATTCATATAAAATAACTCATATGTGTCAACTCTTTAGGTCACAAAGTCCGCGGTGTGCCTTTAAGTTGTAGTGAACTTCTGAAAGTTCAAGTGGCTCACAAGATAGTTCCAGTTCCAACTGGAAATTTTATTGTCAGTGAATGCAAAAATCTGAGTAAGGTGAACAATTTTGAGTTGTCGTTTTTACAGTTCACCGAGCTATAGTGAGGTCAACTTATCTGCGTTTGCTCATTTAAATATGTGTTATGGCAACCAGCTGCATTCAACATTTTGAACAAACTAATTTGACCAAAAAAATCACTGTATTTATTTTTACCAACCGTAATCGACAGGGCCAAGCCAAAGTAGCCCTTTATATTCTCTGGGTCAGTCTTAGAAACATTAAGTTTCCCCTCTGGTTCACAGTGTGTGAGGCACGGTGGCTGAGTGGATAGCACTCTCGCTTCTTGACACGAAGGTCCTGGGTTCGAATCCCGGTCGGGACAGGGCCTTTCTGTGTGGAATTGGCATGTTCTCTGTGTCTGCATAGGTTTCCTATGCAGATCACTTCCCCTACCCAAGTGACCTTGGTCCATGAAATGCGCTATATAAATAAACATCATGATCTTTTAATGTGGGGGCTAATTTAAACTCAAAATAGTAAGTTATTGTAGGGGACAGTAATCTGAACTTAAAAAAGTAAGTTTTTACAGACTTGAAATTTCCAGTAACTTGAATTTAAACACTTAGTTGGCAGAACTTGGAAAACTTAACTGACACAACTTAATAAGTGTAGTTCTTCAAAACTTGAAGAATTAAGTTAATGCCTTCAACTCAAAAATCCTTCGCAGCTGGTTGCTTTGAAATTTTGAGTTGAACTAACTTTATCTTTTTTACAGTGTGCATGGACCAGAAGTCCAATTAAAATAATGGACAATTGCTCCTGCAGCCCTGAACAGGACATGCGAGGTGCGCGGGTCGGCCCGAAACCCGCAGTCAACCCGCGGGTCCCGCGGTTTCGGGCGGGTTGGATGCCTCAAAAATATGAGTCATGTCAGGTGCGGGTGGGTCGGGTCAGAAAGCTCCTGATCCCTATATAATATTATATATGTGAGCCACGGTATGGGAGTCCCTTGAGTACATTTGCAATCGCGCAGGGAGGCTGTTAAACAAAAAAATCATGCTGACAAACAGGATCGCTCCTTCCTGACTCCCCGCTTAAAGCCTCAGAACACTCCAGCCCGAGGACAGACGTGTGATCTCACAGAGGCACCGAGACTGATGACGGTGTGGGCCTCACAGCAGAGGCCTAAAGCAGGGGCCTCATTACTTTAATACTTACAGTCTGTGGTAAATACACGGGCTACATGTGGTACACGTGCTTAGACTATATTAATATTGTATGTGTAACATTCAAAATAGATTGAGTGAATATTCCCTTTTCCTCATTTAGTGATTTGCGGAGGAGAGGAGAGGAGCAGCGAGAGAAGTTTGGCAGTTAAAATAAATGAATTACAGCTTGCTAAATTATTTGAAAGCATCTTCATTATGATTGTTATATTTATGTATTTATTATAAATGTTAGAGATGCCAGAGAAAAGGCGTCTGCTTTTTTTCTGAGTGGGAGGAGACACCAGCGGAGCTGTTTGAGTCAGATAACGTTCAGCGTTATATTACCAATAGTTTCTCTTTCCATAACGATATTCTCTCTTTTTGGAAAGATCACCAACGTGATGCAAAAGTTTACGTTATATGCAGTAGTTTTAATGTCTGCGGGTTATTCCAGAGACTGGCCTGCTACAAGGAGTTGCCCGTTTTAACCATTGTTGATTGATTGTGCGCGGGGCAGAAACTCGCCAATGTAACCCTGCTCACAAGTGCCACCTGGTGGTTGTTTTGGTCATTGCAACGTCACTGGGAGGGGGGAAAATAAAAGACGCGTGAATCACACGTGAGTCTCGTGTGATTCACGCGTGAAAGGCGACAAAACGGAATGGGACCTACTGTATACTGTACAATATTAAGTATAGAGTCAGATAAAAAAGCTTGCCTGGGTTTATTTTGGCTCTTCTTTGCTGCAGCTGCTTCACTGGCTTTGATTGGCTCCGGAAGTTTTGTGGGAAGTGGGGAATTCTGGAGGAGGATGAAAAAACAGACTGTTACATCACGGATGCTGATAAATTAGTAAAAATGTGGAGAGAGAGAGAGGAAACAGAATGTATTCACCTTAGAATTCTGTATGGGACAGGTCTTCTGTGCGAGTTTAAAAGCAAAGTGGGAGACCTGATAGATGTCTGGTCTGTGGTCTGGATCCGGTTCCAGCATGTACCCTGGAAACCACAGAACAGTTAAACCAGCGACAGAGAGGCTTCTCCACACAACTGTCAAAGGAACAGGACTGACTAATGAGGCAGTGCAGGTCGTAGGAGTAACGGGAGTTATCTGGGATGGTGAAGCTGCCGTCACAGATGGCCACCTGGCTTTCCCCAAAGGGCAGAGTAAAGAAGCACAGCTTGTAGAGCAGGCAGCCCAGAGCCTGAAGACCACCACCACCGAAACACCAGGAGAAGGAAAGAGACGGGGACAGTCAGAGAGGCAGAACAACTCAGGTCAGACCAGAGAAAGAGAGAGAGCTCACCCAGATGTCAGCTTTGGTAGTGATAATTTTGTTGTTGTAGAGATTGACCATTTCAGGAGCTCGGTACGAGAGGGTGGTGTACCTGAACACAACACAAATATCATTTATGTCACACTCCTTTTATCACCCATTCTAAGGTCTCCAGGTTAAAAGACCAAAGAGAGAGACCAGAGAGACCGACCAGAGAGAACCTGACCTATGAGAGAGACCAGAGAGAACCTGACCTAAGAGAGAGACCAGAGAGAACCTGACCAAAGAGAGAAACCAGAGAGAGAGAGAATAACCAGAGAGAGACCAGAGAGTGTGGCTCAAGGTTTTCATTCCAACCAAGCAGGGCCACACCAGTCTCCTCTGCTCTTGATTGGTTGGAATGAAAACCAGCAGCCACACAGCCCTTTGAGGAGTAGTTCAAAGACCCCTGATGCACACACTTTTTAATCTCCTCCTCGACGGCTGCAACACCTTCCGTTTGTGGACTCTGGAACTTGTTGGTGGCGCTGCCGAAGTCACACAACACATAGTGGCCTTTGTCGTGGAGGAGGATGTTCTCCACCTGCGTAATCATAATCACACACAGTCACACAAAAACACAATCACACATAACCACTCACACTTCAGGATCCTGACCCACACACTGGAAAGCGGTAACTCCTTCAGCTTTGCTAATTATATGACTATAATTATTATCATTGCTAATTGGTTATTTTGTTTCATTATACTTAGTGAAATACATGTGTTAGTAGTATAGTCACCCCCATGATGTCTGATCAGGGAGCTTACATGTGTGTCTTGTCCAGAGACACAGACAGACACAGACACAGAGAGAGAGAGAGAGAGAGAGAGAAAGAGAGAGAGTGAGAAAGAGAGAGAGAGAGAGAGATCAGTTTGGTTGTGTCATGTTCTCGGCCCCTCACCTTCAGATCTCGGTGGACGATCGGAGTTTTGCGCTGATGCAGACAAGAGACAGCTTCACTGGTGTCACAGAAGATCTGCAGCACTTCAGCCTGAGAGAAGCCGGTCTGCAGCCGCTGGTTCATCAAGTTCACCACCTGACCCCCTGAGAAAGAGAGGTCAGAGGTCAGAGAGAGAGAAACTCGTGCCATATTTGCTTCAGGACACACAAACCTTTGCAGTAGTCCATAAGTATAAAGACTTCCCAAACGTCTCTGGATCCCATGGCAGTCACGCTGGAGTCCAGATAACCAACGATGTTCTTGTGGCCAACGAGGTCTTTCTATAAACACACAAACCATATTCAGGAGAAGATCCTGTCAGTAAGACCACATCAGGAAGTTACAACACCGACAGTTTCAGGAACGTTCTCTGTGAACTCTGAGTTACTCTTTGTTTCCACATGAATGAAGACAAACAGTACACTCCAGGCCTTTTACAGAAGATTTTACTGTAATAGCTACTCTCCTTCTTCTTCTCCTTCGCCCCTCTCTCTGGGCTCTCTCCTCTCTCGCTGCACCTCTTTGCTCCTCTCCACTTCTCTTCCCTTCTTTCCCAAAATCTTTAAGATTTTTAATGAATGCCAAGGGACATCTGATGGAAGAGCTATCCTGTCTGCAGAATGTGCAAGGAAATAAAGCTTCTGCGATGGCTCCACTGCATGATCCTCACCCACAACTCTGGCCACTACAGCCAATGCTAACTCTATAGCCAATGCTAGGTAAGAAAACACTACCGTTTCAGCTGAAACAGATGATGCAGGGGGACTTCGGGTTGAGAGAGAATGCAACGATTTGTCTGGTTATCCTTATGTCAATATTATCGCAGCTGCAGCCTAGCTCCATCGAGCTGCCTGTTAGCAGCTAATATGCTAAGCAAAACAGTGATAGATGAAACGGTGAAATGAAAACACAGGATTATTGAGTGCTAGTTGAAGGCACAATAACAACTATCTCAGTTTGTAAAGAACTATCAATGCTTTCTGAAAATATTCACTGAACTTAAAAAAAAAAATACAGCAATAAAACCAAAAACCGGGATCATTTGTCACAATAACAGTGAAGTTACATTTTCATACCGTGACACCCTGAGTGTGTCTTAGTGTGGACAGGGCCTAAATTTAGAAACTATTCCGGGAGTAAAGTGAAGGAAACAAAACAAAACCTCCAAAACCCCTGACTCACCATGATCTGGATCTCCCGCTTGCACACCTGCAGGTCGTGCTCGTTGTTAACGTACATCCTCTTCAGAGCACAGCGCAGGCTTTGATTCGTCCGAACAAGAAACACAATGGCAAACCCACCTGCGGAGAACAGACCGAATTTTAATGCGTGACATCACCAACACTGAGGAGTGGCTTTGAGGATTCAGGTTGAACCAAAGAGAACCAAGACTGGACATTAATGACACAAACAGTTAAAGAGATACACACAGAGACACAGAGACAAGCTCAAAGACAAACACACACAGACAATATGTGACAATCAAATCCAGAACATTCCACATAAGAGCGAGCACAGGCTGAGAGCACATGAAGATGATGGACTGATGCATTAGTCATGTCTGTGCTGCAGGCTTCACATAGAGGCCTACATAAGCCATGTTTACACCAGCTCTGCTCTACATTACACTTTGGTATCTGGTACCGTATCCTAGCAACCGACCCACAATAAATCAACATTTGAAGTTCCTTGGTATCCATGGCTTCCAGGAGCACTCTGGCCAATCATTGTCAGTTGGAACATTGTTTTGTACCAGACCCATGAGAGACTAAAGAACTGGTACTGGTGAAAACAGAGTAGAGAAGAGTAGAGTCAAAAGAGGTGCTCACCGTCTGTGGCATCTGAGTTAAGTCATATTTTATAATGTAATGTTTGTTTATGGGTTATGTAATGTGGCGCTACCTGCAGATGAAAGCCAGATCCTGGCAAATCTCTGAAAATAAGCAATGCAGGGCCTGGTTAGTACTGCGCCCCAGGGCAGCTGCGGCTCCAGTAGTAATTTATCACCACCGTGTTTGGAGTGAATGAATAACGCTGTGAAGAGACTTCGAGTGTCCAGCGGTGTACAAAACCCATGCATTATTATTATTGTTATTATTAATATGACCAAACAGGACCATTGTAATAACATTATAAGTTCATCACAATAATCAGATGTTGTACAGCCTGCTGGCTGTACAACATCTGATTATTGTGATGAAAAGTAATTTCAGGTTTTTGTGCAGTTGCAAAATGATTGCTTAACAAAACAAGCTGAGGTTTGCCGCATGGAGAGAAAATGCGTGTGAGAGAAATGCACAGTGACCCTGAATCTAACAACCATTCAATAGATCTTTGAACAAGACAGAACAAGATGATTGGATTAAGAGACTTCTCCATCCTGGTCGGTACAGAGCTCACTCCTCCTGTATTCTTGTCTGTAGCCAAACAAATGTTATGGAAGATCTAAGTAATGATGAGTGATAATCCAGGACACTTTACATTCAACAACCCCGATAGACATTTATGGACAGTGGTCATGTGCCCCTTAGAGACCAATGGTTCTTTGTCTTCTTGTATTATTGCAATTCCTATTTTTAAACTGTTTGATTATCTGATCGGTGTTAACGTATTGACAGCTTTGTTAAGTCCTCTAAGATAACTACTGTTGGGATTTTGTGATTTACAAAAATGAATTTAATTGAATTATGGCTTTATAAATGTGCCTTCTTCCTACACTGCCTTGAGCCCTGGTTCTGGGCCTCAGCCGCCCAACTCTCACCTTTAAGTTTCCAGAATATAAACAGACAGAATCATCACAGAGGAGGAGACAGTCTCTCTTTACCTTCAGCGATGATCTCCTCCACAGTTACCTGGTACCGACCCACGGTGATCCCTCGCCCAATGAAGTTGCCCCCTGCCAGGCTGGATCCAGAGCTCCCACCACCTCCAGAACCAGGCCCGGAGTTCACCAACTCACGCCGGGAATCAAAGAACTTCCTCATGCTGGAATACTGACAAGGACAGGGTTTACTCAGCGGTCAGTCCTTCCAGGCTGGTGGGCTCGGCAGGGTCAGGGCCGTCTCTGGTGTGTGTTCAGTGGCTGCAGGATTGTCTCTGGTGTGTTGGATGGACGCAAACCCAGCCGTGGCGTTACTCCCATTCGCCAGCACCGTGGAGTATAGCAGCTAGCTGTTATGTAAGTGAATTAGACCAAGTAGAAAGCTAAAGCATCTCCGGAGAAACAGGCTCTCTGTGTGTCTATCCACCCAGCTGTTTACAGACGGGTGCTGAACATGATGATGTCAGGGTGAGGTCCAGTCCCATCTCATCCACAGCAGACCCAGCTAGCCCCAGTGCTAGCTACTTAGATGCTATGACATTTCGTAAGGTTACCCAGGTTATCCTCGGAAGATGTCTTCGAGTGCGCGATGCTCCTGTGGTTTAACTCCAGATTAAACCCTCTTTGGAGAAATGTTTCCATACTCAGTCACACGCAGCCGTCATCCTGCGCCACACAGCTGGGAATAACGCAATAGAAGGTTTTACATTTGCGATAAATGAGATTTTTCTGAGCTAGCGTTAGCTCCGGACAGTCTTTCTCCTGCAGCGGCCACAGAGACACACGCACAGCCCACAGAACCGACTCCGAACCCAGGGCTTCACATCCGCAGCTCAGAGCCAGAGTCCGGGAGATGTCACATCCACAGATATCAGGTAGAGGATCCAGCTAATCTCTGCAGCCACAGCGAACAGGCAACATCCGAGCTGCGCTGTGGAGGCGCGCAAGGCATTCTGGGGGCTGTAGTGTTTAAGACAAGGCAAGGTTATTATAAAGTCTATGGTTATTACACAGTTCATGCATAAAGGAAACTAAAAATGATTAACAAAACATGAAAATTAAGATTAAAATTACAAACTAATAATTATGATAATCACAGAAATACAGACATTCGACCCCATTAATGCTGTTGGTTGAACTACCATCATGTTACATTCACAGATTGGTTTGTTTATTATATTGGTTGTGTCTGCATATTTGCATTAGTGTCATACACTAACGTACTATTGTCCAATAAAAAAAAAAAACAATGCTGTATTTCTAATAAATGAATCTTTTAATTATGAAAAGTGAGTAATCATTATCTACATAGGTCTGGTGTGTACATGAATGGTTAGTGGTGGCACATACTGGTTGCTTCGCTTCTGTCAGTGTGCCCCAGGGCAGCTGTAGCTACAGTAGTAGTTTAACCATCCTGTTTGGAGTGAAAGACAAATGTCCAAAAAAACGCATTATTATTATTTTTATTATCATTATTACTATTATTACTACTACTATTATTATTATTATTGTTATTATTATTATTATTGTTATTATTATCATTATCATTATTACTATTATTATTATTATTGTTATTATTATTGTTATTGTTATTATTATCATTATCATTATTACTATTATTATTACAGTTATTATTATTATTATTATTATTATTATTAGATTTGAGAGCGGGGTCGGTTGTCTAAGCGGTAGGGTAAATCAGAGCACATGGAGGAAACCATATGGGAAAGTTCACACAGAAAGGCCTGGAGGTGGACTCGAACCCTCCCTCTCACTCTTTTTTCTCTTGGAGCTATTGTCCATTATTAGATTCGTGTTCTGATCTTGTTCAGTTCTTATGTTTTGTTGAGTTGAGTTGAAATTCAGCCCCAGAAGTTTGGTTTTCCATCATATTTATAAAAAAAAGTTATTACTAAGAGCCAAAACCGGTGAATATGACATGAAGTACATAAAACATACATTTGAAAGGCTAATGCTAAAGGGAAAATGCTAACCGCTTTCACGTAAACAATGTGTTGCTATGGTAACCAGCACTGGCACCTCGCTGGCGGAAAACAAGCTGGACAAGAAATCCTATCGTTCCAAAAACAAAAAAATATTTCATACAAAAAATGACATAGAAAAAAAACTACATTTATAAACACAAAAATTCACCATATGCACATTTTTGTATGAAGACAAAATGGTGCAAATGAGTATAAATCACGAACTAGAACTAGACGCTTAAGCTGTGAACATGGCTGTGGTGGGAGGTGGTGTGTTTTTACTTAGATCCATGGTTTTTACCAATGTTTTTTACTTTGAGAGAGACTGTCACATGTTTACCATTTGTTTGGACTATAAACTAAAATAGACTTTTTGTTTTCGTTTCCACTGTGTGAAGGCGACATGACGAGCGCCTGCAGTTGCTGTTCTGGTTTAAGTTATGGTTAAGGAAAAATCGCCACCACTACATGTTCAGAGTCAACATAAATATGCATGATTGTAATAATTAATATGACCACAGACCGGCGTGCGTGGTGCGTGCGTGAGTCTGCTGAGGGAGGAGGACCGTGTGCAGCATCTGGGGGAGGGACGTGTGGCCGTGACTGTTGTCTCCATAAAGTCCTGTTCCCTGGTCTCTCTCTGCGTCTCTGTGCGTCTCTCTGCGTCTCTGTCTCTGCACACGTCTCTCCCGCAGGTAAGAAATGGACTGGGTGTGTGTGGCGTGTGCCTGTGCGTGAGGGTGAGGGTCTCTGCGTGAGGGTGAGGGTTCGTTTGGGTGCGCCCTCTGCTCTCAGCCAAGTTTGTCTGCACTTCCTCACTCCCCTCTCCGCTGCCATACAGCCTCAGACTCTGGTTCAAAGCAGAAGTGCAAAGTCCTGGTTCCAGACTTGTATAGAGAAACTGTACGTGCTGAAGTCTCAACTTTCTGTGTTTTGTTATTCTCTCCGGAACTTTGTAGAAGTCTCATCAGCGCATGTCTCGTTATTTCAATGTATTTGTTTGTTTCGCCCTAACTCACTACAGTCATTTCTGAGTACTTTGTGAGTAAGTTGTGGATTCAAGAATAACAGATCAGAGAATCAAAAGGTTCCAACACAGTCATTGGTCCATAGGGAGCGGGATTACTCTTCTGTGTACATTCAAACACACAACACCATTGTAATAACCAAGGATTAGTGTGTGTGTGTGTGAGTGTCTTTGTCTAATGTGTGTGTGTGTGCCACGCTGATTACATATAAAAAGTCATTCTTAGTCTCTGTATATTTCTATAACGTGTCTCACACCTTCCACACAACTACATCTTAAATCTTCTTTTCCAAGTCCAAGCCCATTCATTCACTGTGTGTGTGTGCGTGTGCGTGTGTGTGTTCACATCTTCCTCTCCTCACCATCACATGACACGGTCCACACCACTCCAACCAAATACATAACTCTAAAATCTGCAGTATTGCAGACAAACGAACCCTACATCCACCTCTGCGGCTGTGACTTAAAGTGCTGTTGCATTTTTATATGGTTTTTACTTTTAGATTTATCTGTTTGTGTGGATGGATGTGTTTCTGCTCTATTGGCTCAAACATGACATTACTGAGAGACTGTGGAAATATCTGCGACACACAAACACCTGAAATGTATTGCCAACGGTGTGAGGACGTCTGGTATGTTAACGTTGTAAAGACTAACGTCGTTATGTCCAACACTGCGTCTGTGTCTCGCCCTGAATGGAAAGGACTCTACAGTGGTGATGATCCAGGACACACAACATTCAACAACTTTTACGGACATTGGTCATCTGTCCCTTATGGCTCTATGTGTGTGTGTGTGTGTGTGTGTGTGTTTTTTTTTAAATCATTGCATTTTGTGTGTTTGAACTATTTGATTCTCTGATCTGTATTGGCGAATTAAACAGTTGTGTAAAGTGTAGGACTTTTGTTGGGATTTAGGGCTATACAGGAATACATTTAATGGAATTTAATTGAAATGAATCACAGGACTGAGGCTGTAGATCCAGGACCGAGGCCGTAGACCCAGGACTGAGGCTGTAGACCCAGGACCGAGGCTGTAGACCCAGGACCAAGGCTGTAGACCCAGGACCAAGGCTGTAGACCCAGGACTGAGGCTGTAGACCCAGGACTGAGGCAGTAGATCCAGGACTGAGGCTGTAGACCCAGGACTGAGGCAGTAGATCCAGGACTGAGGCTGTAGACCCAGGGCCGAGGCTGTAGGTCTCCAGGTGAACAGGTGTGGGCTGTGTGACCAGGAGCAGGAGGAGTCCATACAATATTGATGAAGGCAAATACTTTAGTCTCATTGTTCTTGTTGTGTTTGTCTTTCAGCTCTTTTCCTTTGGATCCACTTCTCTGACAATGGCAGCAGTAAGACTTCATTTATTATTATTCATTTTCAAGATATTCACATCACTACTACTGGAAATATTATCTACATTTGGTCATGTTTCAAATGGTAGTGATTGTGAATCATTACATGCTTGTTACCATAGCAACACTGTCAGCAGTTAGCATTTAGCCTATAAACAAACTGTTTCTGTGTGTCCAGTGTTGGCTCAGAGTAAAAGTAAAAACAGATGGAAAACTAAACATTTCTGGGGGTATTTCTCCATTGTTTTGAATGGGAGCAGTCAAAATGACGGCTCTGGGAGTTAGTGTGGGTCGCTGTACTAGTGACCAACAGTTAGCGCTTGATTTATTTAGGACATTTATATTAAAAAGATGCTCCAGATGTAGAGCCATGCTCTGCTCCATCTGCAGTGCCTGGCACTGACTCATGTGTTTATATACACACACATATATATAAATATATAATATAATGTTACTGTCTGTCATAAAACACATCTTTGTAACTGTTTTATTACTGAATTATTCATCTTCACATTTTCTTGTAATAAACCTTAAACAGATCGGAAACCGTGGCACCGTGACCGAAGCTCCTGGATTCAATGCAGAGCAGGACGTCCAGAAGCTGCGGGAGGCCATGAAGGGAGCTGGTGAGAGACAGAGACTGTAGACCCAGGACTGAGGCTGTAGACCCTGGACTGAGACTGTAGACCCAGGACTGAGGCTGTAGACCCAGGACTGAGGCTGTAGACCCAGGACTGAGGCTGTAGACCCAGGACTGAGGCTGTAGACCCAGGACTGAGGCTGTAGACCCAGGACTGAGGCTGTAGACCCAGGATTGAGACTGTAGACCCAGGATTGAGACTGTAGACCCTGGACAGAGGCTGATACATTCTTATTTCCCATCAGGCACTAAAGAGGCGGCCATCATTGAGGTCTTGGCCCGCCGGACCATCACCCAGAGGCAGCGCATCAAAGAGGCGTACAAACAGTCCGTGGGGAAGGTGCACAAACTTCATTCTCTTCATGAATCTGTCAAACATTAACCCAGAGATACAGAGAGGCTTTATGACTCTATCCGCTCCGTGATCTGCTGATTATCTGCTTTAATATGTCACTAAGCAAAAGGGAAGCTACGTTATATGAGCCTTCTCTGATTCAGGGAGAAAGGGAGAAGAAGTGGAAACGTGTGGAAGTAGAAAGAGTGAGTCACGTTGCAAATATAAACGCCCTCATGTGGTTAGCGCCTCCCTGCCCTCTGGTGGACACACTGTGGAACTGCATAAGGATTGGGAAATCAACTTGGGATTTTCCAACATGAGAAACAGATTTATGACGTGTCTTAAAGCAGAGTGAGAGAACCAAGAGTACTGAGGAGAACAGACATCTTTAAAGCTGCGGTGCCTAAACCTGGACCATGTAGGGTCTGGGAACGCCTCAGGACTCCCCCAGATGAGCTGGAGGAGGTGTGTGTGGAGAGGGAAGTCTGTGTCTCCTCAGACTGCTGCCCCCTCGACCCGGCAAGGGATAAAGCGGAAGAGAATGGATGGATGGGAAAAGGTGCTGCGGTTTCTTATGTGTGTTGTCAGTTTATGGATATACAGCAGACTCTTTATACGACACCTGCAGATAAAAGCCAGATCCCGTTACACTGCCGAAGCTAAGCAGGGCAGGGTCTGGTTAGTACTGTGATGGGAGACCTCCAGGAGTATACCTCTGTAACTGTGGTTGTGTGCTTAGGCAAGGCACTTCACCCACATTGGAATGAGTCAGTTGTGTGTGTGAATTGGTGGGGGGGGGGAGGGGCCTAATGTAAAGATGAGACGAGGTTGTTAGGAAACTACTCTCTCCAACTTCGCACCACAACTTAAAGACATTGTTGTATCAATGTTTTAAATGTTGTGTGTTTATTGTTGTTTTGTTGTGTTTCTCAGGATCTGGCAGACGACCTCTCCTCGGAGCTCAGTGGAAACTTCCGCAGTGTGGTCCTGGGTCTGCTGATGCTGGCCCCTGTGTACGACGCTTACGAACTGAGGAACGCTATCAAGGTGAAGTTTGAAAGAGAGAGACCAGAGAGAGAGAGACCCAAGAGAGAGAGACCAGAGAGAGAGACCTGAGAGAGAGAGACCCAAGAGAGAGAGACCAGAGAGAGATCTGAGAGAGTGAGAACTGAGAGAGAGACCCAAGAGAGAGAGACCAGAGAGAGAGACCTGAGAGAGAGAGACCCAAGAGAGAGAGACCAGAGAGAGAGACCTGAGAGAGAGAGACCTGAGAGAGAGAGACCCAAGAGAGAGAGACCAGAGAGAGAGACCTGAGAGAGAGAGACCAGAGAGAGATACCCGAGGGAGAGAGACCTGAGAGCCCTCTGAAAGGGCCGTGAGCTGCCTGTTCTGGAGGTTCTTTATGAAGCCAGACTCTTAAATCCAGCTCTTAGATTTAGATTAATGCATGATTCTTCTGGCCCCTGATTGTTCAAGCTTCTTCCCTCTGGCAGAATATATTGTTGGCTGAGATGCAGGATAAGCTAACAAGAAGGTGTTAGCTTCTTCAGATGTCTAAACAAAGCACTTGATCTTTCACTTTTGTTTTTGTGGATTGGTTTCACAGTGATGATTGTTTTTGTTCTTTTTAGCTTGTTTTATTCCTGTACTTGTCTGGTGCACACTGGGGACACTTGCACATGTATTCCAATGTGGTTTTACTGCAGATGGAGAATAAGACAGTGTCAGTCGTTGTGTTTGGTGATGTTTTCAATGTCTGTCGTGTTGTTATATTTACATACATTTTAATGTTACTGAGTATGTAAATCCAAAAACACAGGATCCACAAACATAGACTATGGGACGAGACAATCATTTAAATTTCTCTCTCTCTCTCTCGCTCACTCTACTCTACTCTGCTCTGCTCTGCTCTACTCTTCTGTACTCTACTCTACTACTGTACTCTACTCTGTGTAACCAGGACCAGAGGACACACTCAGGGGAGAGTAGAGTAGAGTAGATACCTGTCCACAGCGATAGGAGTGAGAGTGAACACAGAGACGTACTTCTTTAGTCCCTCTTGGACCTGGTTCTCTTTAGCCTGGCCTTATCCATCCGTACACTCCGCTCAATCATCATTTCACTGCATGTAACGTCTGGGTCTAGTCCCTATGTTAGCGATTACAATCGGTTGAATTTCGACCGACCATTCAGCGAGCGCGGGAGGCGGGTGTTGTAGTTAGATGTGGGTGACGTCAAGAGTTTGCGTCGAACAGACAGGTTGTAGTTTGGCGAAGGATGTGATAGTAAAGTATTCCGTTCTGGTTCAATCAAGAAATTGATGCCGGAGCAAGAGGAATGTTTAGCAAATGTAATTGCTGCAAAGATTGTGGTGCTACTCCCCACGGGCTCTGTTAGCGGCAAAGGAGATGGCTAAAGCTAGGCTAAATGCTAACGACTTACTCAGGCGCATTGCATACGTCACGGTAAACTCAGATCTAACCGATTCAATCTGCAGAGTTAACCCTTCCCACCTGTAAACGGAGCTCAATGGAGCACCTCCAGACCTCAGTACGAGATGTCATTTGTACTATGGTGTGGTACGACTAGGCTAGGTTCTCTTGAGCTCGTCCTGAAATGTTCTAACTAACAGTGATTGGTCAAAGTGATGTTTGTGGTGGGTAGGTTGCTAGGAGACAGTGCCAGATCCTAAAGTGTAATGGAAACACAGGCAGAGAGAGTAGAGTAGATGTGTTTCTCACTCTGTGCTTCTGTCCTCAGGGCGCAGGGACAGAAGAGGCTTGTCTTATTGACATCCTGTCCTCAAGGTCCAACGAAGAAATAAAAACCGTCAACGCTTTCTACAAGAAAGGTAGTGTTTCTGTTCAAGTTTGTTGAAGTAGTGTGGTAGTGTTTCTTTTTCAAGATGGCGCCTCGTACGGTCGACATGGCTCTTTGCTGCTCTCTTTTTCTTTTGTTTTTACTTTTTAACTGTGCATCTGGCTGTTCCTACACCCGTGAGGAACTTATGAACATCCGACCCACCGTTCCCATGGACCTATTGCCTGTTTTCTTGGCATCTGCGGCTGATTTAGTTCATGTTCTAGCCAAAAAAGTGTGGGCCCGTAAAAGGGGAAAGCGCGGAGGCCTGCTCGTGCGTCTTAGGAGGAGAGGAGCGCGCACGGCTCTCCCCGGCATTTTTCTCTCCAACGTACGCTCACTGGGCAATAAGATGGACGAACTCAGCCTGCTCATGAGAAGAAACAAGGACTTCGCCACATCCTGTGTCCTCTGCTTCACTGAGACCTGAGAATGAGCGGATCCCGGACAGTGCTCTGGAGCTGCAGGGCTTTGGGCTGTTCCGCGCGGATCGCCATTGTGCGCTCTCAGGGAAGAGCAGAGGCGGAGGGCTGTGTTTCTACGTCAATACGAACTGGTGTAACGATGTGACAGTGATCTCCAAGCACTGCTCTCCTGCTCTGGAATATCTTTTCATTCATTGTAAACCATATTACTCCCCGCGGGAAATTGTTTCATTCATTCTTGCCTCTGTTTACATACCGCCATGCGCGGACGCGCGCGAGGCTCAGCGCGCACTCGCAGAGCAAGTACTGTGTATGGAACGCTTATACCCGGACTCTCTGATTATTATCCTGGGGGATTTTAATAAGGGAAACTTGAGCCAGGAATTACCCAAATACAGACAGTTTATCAAATGCCCGACCAGAGAGGAGAACACTCTGGATCACTGTTACACCACCGTGCGCGGAGCTTTTCGCGCTGTTCCCAAGCCAGCCCTCGGCTTCTCAGATCACTCCATGATACATCTGGTTCCTGCTTACAGACAGAGACTAAAGCTCTCGAAACCTGCAGTGAGGAGCTCCAAAGTGTGGTCTGATGAAGCTGTGGAAGAGCTGCGCGCATGCATGGAATCTACAGACTGGGACCTTTTCAGAGCTGCCACAGACAGCTTGGATGAATACACGGACACTGTGACGTCATACATTCACTTCTGTGAGGATAGCATCATTCCAACAAGGACCAGGGTCATCTATAACAACGACAAACCCTGGTTCACTGCTAAACTCCGGCAGCTCAGGAAAGCAAAGGAGTCTGCTTTCAGGGAGGGGGACCGCAGCGGCTACAAAGCAGCTAAATATCAGTTCAGGAAAGAACTGAAAGCAGCCAAGTCCCGGCACAGAGAACGACTACAGGAGCAGTTTGGTAACAACGATACTGCTTCTGTCTGGAGGGGCCTACGGGAGATCACCAACTACAAACCCAAAGCCCCCCCCTGTGCTGATGACCACAAGCTAGCTGACGATCTGAACTTATTTTTCAGTCGCTTTGATGCTGCCCCTGACACCTCTCCCTCCCCCACCCCCCACTACTCTAACGACCCACCATCAGCCCTGCCCCCAGCCTAACAATAGCCGCTAAAGAGATTAAACAACTCTTCCTGAGGCTGCACCCCCGCAAAGCTCCTGGCCCGGACCACGTGTCTCCGGCCACTCTGAGACACTGCGCCAGTGAGCTTACTCCTGTGTTCACGGACATTTTCAACACCTCTCTGCAGTCCTGCCATGTCCCGGCCTGCTTCAAATCCTCCATCATTATCCCCGTCCCGAAGAAGCCCAGGATCACAGGACTCAATGACTACAGACCTGTAGCACTTACGTCTGTCGTCATGAAGTCATTTGAACGCCTGGTTCTCTCCCATCTCAAGTCCCTCACCTCCCCCCTCCTGGACCCCCTGCAGTTCGCCTACAGAGCCAACAGATCTGTAGACGACGCCATTAACCTGGCCCTCCACCACATCCTACAGCACCTGGACTCCCCGGGGACCTACGCCAGGGTCCTGTTCGTGGACTTCAGCTCTGCCTTCAACACAATCCTGCCATCCCTGCTCCAGGACAAGCTCTCCCAGCTCAACGTGCCCGATTCCACCTGCAGGTGGATCACTGACTTCCTGACGGACAGGAAGCAGCGAGTGCGTCTGGGGAAGAATGTCTCGGACTCTCGGATTATAAATACAGGAGCCCCACAGGGCTGTGTTCTTTCTCCCCTGCTCTTCTCCCTGTACACCAACCACTGCACCTCCAGCCACGACTCCGTGAAGCTGATCAAGTTCGCGGACGACACCACCCTCATTGGACTCATCTCCAACAACGATGAGTCCGCCTACAGGAGGGAGGTGGACCGGCTGGTGTCCTGGTGCAGTGGTAACAACCTGGAGCTGAACGCCCAGAAGACAATGGAGATGATTGTGGACTTCAGGAAGAGCACTGTCCCCCCGCCCCCACCCTCCGTGATGGACTCCCCCATCACCTCTGTGGAGTCCTTCCGTTTCCTGGGCACCACCATCACCCAGGACCTCAAGTGGGAGCCGACCATCAGCTCCCTCATCAAGAAGGCCCAGCAGAGGATGTACTTCCTGCGGCAGCTCAGGAAAGCCAAGCTGCCTGCACAGATGTTGGTGCAGTTCTACACGGCCATCATCGAGTCCATCCTCACCTCCTCCATCACCGTGTGGTTCGCTGGAGCCACAGTCAGGGACAAACAGAGACTACAGCGCATTGTGCGCTCTGCAGAGGAAGTGATCGGCCGCAGCCTTCCATCGCTGCAGGACCTGTACGTCGCCCGAGCTCGAGGCCGGGCTGGTCGTATCACAGCCGACCCCTCTCACCCTGCACATGGACTATTCCAACCACTCCCCTCAGGCAGGAGGCTGCGGTCCATCAGGACTAGAACCTCCCGCCACAAGAACAGTTTCTTCCCCTCTGCTGTTGGACTCTTGAACACTTCTTAACCTGTCCCCCCGCCCTTTTAAAGTCACTTTACTGCCCATCATACGTCACTTTACTTCACTGTACTGCTGTCACCTTACATTGTGTGCACCATGTGCACTTGTATATTGTAAATAGTAACTGTAACTCTATTTTAAATTTTAAATTTATTCTTTAGAAGTGTTTTTTATTCTTATTTTTATTATCTCTTTTTGACTGTTGCACTGAGCCAAAGCAATTTCCAAGTCTGTGACCTCCTGTTACTTACGTTGGCAATAAAAATGATTCTGATTCTGATTCTGATTCTGAAGTTGTGGATTCACCAACAACAGATCAGAGAATCAAACAGTTCCAATACAGGAAATGCAAACACAGAAGAGCCGTTGTTCTAGGACTGAGGCTGGAGATGTAAATATAAATGTAAATGTCCCTATAGGGAACGATGCATTTGACCCATCCTAGAGCCACGAGGGCCTCTGGAGCTGGAGCATTTATCTATTGTGCATATTTTACAAAGGCCATGTTTCGACTGGGATTCAAAACTAGGACCTTCTTACTGAGTGGATAGCCCCCACTCTCTCTCTCTGGTTTCTACAGTATCTCTGGTCTCTGGTCTCTGACTCTGGTCTCTCTCTCTGGTCTCTCTCTGGTCTCTCTCCGGTCTCTCTCTCTGGTCTCTCTCTCTGGTCTCTCTTTCTGGTCTCTGGTTTTTCTCTCTGGTCTCTCTATCTGGTCTCTCATTCTGGTCTCTCTGGTCTCTCTCCCTGGTCTCTCTCTGGTCTCTCTCTGGTCATTCAGATTGAGTTACAAGACTTCTCCAGCAGGGGGCTCCATATACAGCGTGACTGACTGTTGTATTTCCATATAGGAGCTTGCAACGCTCTACCTCCAACTTCACTTTTGGACTCTTTAGGGCCCAACAGGAGTCTGGTGATTTGTAAATGCAGTGAGAGAGTCCCATGGATCTATTATAATAAGGAGAGTCCTTCCCAGGGTGTGCTTCCCTCAGGAGCGACATGTGAGATGGTGTCAGGGTCATTATCGGGTCAAATGCTCTAAATATTTAATGAAACGTGTTGATGTTGTGCATTTGTGGTTTTGTTTTTCATGTCTTTGGTTTTAATGGCGGAACGTGATACTTTTTGACCATTAGTGATGGTTCATGGTGCACCTAGTGCCCAGGGTAATTAATGCTATGGGACTGTAACTTCTCATGCTGCCACCAGAGGGAGCATCGTCTGCAGTCAGAGCTTCTTGCAACTCCCTATGCTACCACCATAGCAAAATAGTGTTCTCTCTCTGGTCCCTCTCTAGTCACTCTTTCTGGTCCCTCTCTAGTCACTCTTTCTGGTCTCCCCCTGTCCCTCTCTAGTCTCTCTATTTGGTCTCTCTGCTCCCTCTCTAGTCTCTATCTGGTCCCTTTCTGGTCTATCTCTCTGGTCCCTCTCTCTCACGTCTCTCTCACGTCTCTCTCTGGTCTCTCTCTTGTCCCTCTCTAAGTCTCTCTCTCTGGTCCCTCTTTCTCTGGTCTCTCTATTTCTGCTCTCTCTTTGGTCTCTTTCTAGTGCCTCCCTAGTCCCTCTCTCACGTCTCTCTCACGTCTCTCTCTGGTCTCTCTCTTGTCCCTCTCTAAGTCTCTCTCTCTGGTCCCTCTTTCTCTGGTCTCTCTATTTCTGCTCTCTCTTTGGTCTCTTTCTAGTGCCTCCCTAGTCCCTCTCTCTATTCTCTCTCGCTCTATTCTCTCTCTCTGGTCTTTCTTGCTGGTCTGTCTTTCTGGTCTCTCTAGTCTCTCTCTCTGGTGTCTGTCTGGTTTCTCTCTAGTCTCTCGCGCTGGTCTCTCTCTGGTCCCTCTCTAGTCTCTCTCTCTGGTCTCTGGAGCTACATGTTTGTGCAGGTGGAGTGGACAGAGCCAAACACATCTCCAGATTTCTGAGGAACACTGTTGTGTCTCGTTAAAAGCACAAACAGAACGTCTTCTTTTAATTTAAATTAAATTAAATTATTTGTTACAGATTCGTTTTATGTTTCAGAAAACGGGAAAACTCTGGAGGACGACGTCTGCGGCGACACGTCCGGAATGTTCCAGAGAGTTCTGGTCTCTCTGCTCACGGTAAGAACACATTATGAACAGCGTCAGAGTGGTTAGCACTTCACAGCAAGAAGGTCCTGGGTTTGACTCCACCTCTAAACAAGGCTTTTCTAGGAAGAGTAATCACGTTTTCCCCGTGTCTGTGTAGGGGAAACCGGAGCACCTGGAGAAAACCATGTAACACCCTTTCTGAACCCACTCTCAGCTTGTCTCTCTCCCTCTGGTCTCTCTCTGGTCTCTCTGGTCTCTTTCTGGTCTGTCTCTGGTCTCTCTCTGGTCTCTCTCTGGTCTCTCTCGGGTCTCTCTCTGGTCTCTCTCTGGTCTCTCTCTGGTCTCTCTCTGGTCTCTCTCTGGTCTCTCTCTGGTCTCTCTCTGGCCTCCCTCTGGTCTCTCTCTGGTCTCTCTCTGGTCTCTCTCTGGTCTCTCTCTGGTCTCTCTCTGGTCTCTTTCTGGTCTCTCTCTGGTCTCTCTCTGGTCTCTCTCTGGCCTCCCTCTGGTCTCTCTCTGGTCTCTCTCTGGTCTCTCTCTGGTCTCTCTCTGGTCTCTCTCTGGCCTCCCTCTGGTCTCTCTCTGGTCTCTCTCTGGTCTCTCTCTGGCCTCCCTCTGGTCTCTCTCTGGTCTCTCTCTGGTCTCTCTCTGGTCTCTCTCTGGTCTCTCTCATTATAAACATCTGTGTTTCAGGCCGGACGAGACGAGGGCAGCAGCGTGGACGATGCTCAGGCTGTGCAGGACGCAAAAGTCAGACTTTATTATGAAATATATACTTTTAATTTCATTCTTTAATTTAGGTAATTGTCTTTTAAAAATATTACTTTTAAAAATATTTGTATTTTTTAAATTTTAATTAGATTAATTCTTCACTGGATCTAATTCATGTATCCATCTTATGTTTAAAATGATGTTTTAATATATAGTTCTAGATTTTATTATGACTGGGACATGATAGTTCCATATTTTTTAGTTACAGAAACAGTTGCATGTATCGCTAATGCTAATGCTAATGCTAATGTTAATGCTAACGCTGTCTCTGGTTCGGCTGTTCCCTCCACAGACAGAGCTCTGACCTGTCGCCCTCTCAGACATCACTGACCTCTGCTGCTCTTGTGCTCTTGTGCAGGACATCTTTGAGGCTGGAGAGGCTCGATGGGGAACAGACGAGGTCAAGTTCCTCACCGTGCTCTGTGTGAGGAATCGGAACCATCTGCTCAAAGGTTTGACCCTTGACCTTTCTCTCCTGCAGTTGTACATAACCACAGCGCTGTGAGTTTGTTTCTGCTCCTGTCTGCAGTGTTTGAAGAATACAGGAAGGTTTCCGGGCGAGAGATCGAGGAGAGCATCAAGAGAGAGATGTCCGGCAGCCTGGAGGACGTCTTCCTCGCTATCGGTCTGAACAGGACACACTTTTAGAGCAGTCTGAATTAGGTTTTGAATAGGATTCTGAGGCATAAACACATAGTGACGATTGGACAGTTTTGAAAAATTTCTGCCATAATAATTCAATAATATTGTGATTCTTAACATATTCCGAGTATTGTCTTGTGATTCAAAATATTGCGATTCTTAACATGTCGCAATACAAACCAGTAATGTATTGTGATTCATGTCTCTTATATTATTCTAAGGCATTTTTTTTTTTTTTTAATGGAGGAAAATAAGACTTAACTCCTTATTATGGTCTGTACATGAACACACACACAGTGACACTGACACACACACACAGTGACACTGACACACACACGGAGAGACACTTACACACACACATTCACGCACACAAACATTCACTGTCACACACACGCACATTAACACACACACACACACTGTCTAACATGTGTGTATCTGTCCTACAGTGAAGTGCATCCGGAGTAAACCTGCGTTCTTTGCCGAGCGACTTTACAAATCCATGAAGGTGAGGACTTTAGTGTTTCGTTTTTGTGTGTCGCCCTGAGTCCCCACAATGTCGTCTGTTGGTTCAGCTACTTTACGGGGCCTGTGTCCGACAATGACGTCTGTTGGTTCAGCTGCTTTACGGGCCCTGAGTCCGAGGCCCGGGTTCCTGAGTGGTTCCTCTAATACAGGAGGGTCTGAGGACTAGTGACTAGTCATTTCCGGTCATTTTTTCGCAAGTCACAAGTTAGTCTCAATTCATTGCCCTCAAGTCCCGGGTCAAGTCCCGGGTCAAGTCCCGGGTCAAGTCCCAAGTCAAGTCCCGAGTCAAGTCCCAAGTCAAGTCCCAAGTCAAGTCCCGAGTCAAGTCCCGAGTCAAGACAGGCAAGTCCCGAGTCAAGACAGGCAAGTCACGAGTCAAGTCCCAAGTCAAGTCCCAAGTCAAGTCCCGAGTCAAGTCCCGAGTCAAGTCCCGAGTCAAGACAGGCAAGTCCCGAGTCAAGACAGGCAAGTCCCGAGGCAAGTCACGAGTCAAGTCCCGAGGCAAGTCACGAGTCAAGACCCGAGTCAAGACCCCAGTCAAGTCCCAAGTCAAGTCCTGAGTCAAGTCCCGAGTCCTACGGTTTGACATCCGAGTACCGAGTCTTGACTCTCATTCTTAACTTACCTTTCTTTATTCAACTCACAATGCCGGACAAAGTCAGTCGTTGTGGCTTCACGTCTTTTCTGCTGCCGCGTTCACGTTGCTTCTTCGGCTCATGGACCAACAGCGTGTTCCATCTGGTCGGTCGTTGTCAAATCAAAACAATCTTTGTGATTTGATTGCATGTTGTGCCGGATGCGGGCTCTCTGTTTACGTGTGTGTGCCTGTGCATGTGTGACAGAGATAAACCAGTCCGTGTCAACATTATATCTTTGGGGTTTTTATAGGAAGTAGCAAGACTATACAACTCTTATAACACAGTGGCTATAGTCCATGTGAGAAGACTGTGAGATTTATATACAGTATATTTTTTCATAAGAACACCTTGGTTTGCATTTAAACATGTACATGACAGCTCTTTCTCCCTGTTGCCTTGGTTACCACAATTGTATACCACTCAAGACTGCCGTGTTTATGGCAGATGCTACAAAGGCTAACCCATTTCTTCAGTTACTTTTAAGGCCTTTTCCTACAAATTGACACCCGTTAGAGAAACACATTTCAGCAAAAAAAGAGAGCCCATAAGTTCTCCACTTGATCCGAGCAGTCGTCACAGAAAAAGATCATATTAACTCAGGATCAGTGAATATTTACATTGTCATATTTACTCTACAAACTGAGCCATTTTTACAGTGGCTCAGTTGTTAGGGCATTGGTCTATAGGCCTGAAGGTCGTGGGTTTGGACTCCAGCTGCTCCCACTCATGTCAGCCTTGATCTTTCATTGCCTGAAGCCCCAACTGAAAGACCAAGGCTGTGCCACTGCCATCCTCTCGAGGACCCACCACGGATCAGCGAGGGACTGGCGCTATGAGCATTGGGTGCAGCTCTCATTGCCCCCACCCCGACCCAGAAATGGACAAATAAAGGGGAAGAAAATGAATGAAAAAATAATAAATAATTCTTTGGTTAAACTGGCCTGTAGGGGGCGAATGAGAAAAAATAACAGGACAATTTGCTGCGTTTCATTGGGGTGGCCTGCAGGGGGCGCTTATCTGGGAAAGCCTTGATCCACCTCGCCCGCCTCATTCCAGTGATTTTTTCAAAGTGTCCTTTTATATGAGACCACAGTTGAAACATGAATAAACTCTTGTCTCTCTCTCTCTATTTGTGCGGTTGCTACAAGCTACACCGCACAAAAAGATGGCATTTTGACAGGTCTTTCTTCTACTATATCTCCGTGTATAAACCCGTCAGACTGCACCGCCAGGATACGTCACGTCCGGTCCCACGTTTGTTATTCGCGCCACTGCCCTGACGTCATATGAAACTCAAGAATGAATGAATGGGGAGATTTACTTCCTGTCCCTCAGAGGACTTTCGCTGCGGTGACGTCAGATCCAACCCAGCAATGGATGTTAAAGTCCAAGTCTTTTTATGCATTTTTCAAGTCGAGTCTAAAGTCCTCAAAATCATGGCTCGAGTCCACACCTCTGGTTTGGACTGTTTGATTCTCTGATCTGTTGTTGGCGAATTTGCAACTTAGTAAGACGACAGCTTTGTGGTTTAGGGCGATGCACAAAAAAAAGGTACTGTGTCTGTAGCGGAGCCGAGTGTTCTGAAGTGTGTGTTGTGTTGTGTTGTGTGTGCAGGGCCTGGGCACCACAGACTCGGTCCTCATCAGAATCATGGTGTCTCGAGCTGAAATCGACATGTTGGACATAAAAGCAGAGTTCAAGAACATTTACAAGAAGACGCTCCACTCCTTCATTAAGGTAAAACCGTTCTGTTCCAAGTAAAGAAGTGTCAGGGTTATCAAGTTGTACTGTCGTGAGGCTAACTCTCTGTTTGTGTGTGTGTGTGTGTGTGTCTCTGTGGGACTGTGTTGGCGTGTGTTTGTGTGTGGGACTGGGTGTGTGTGTGTCTGTTGGACTGGGTGTGTGTGTGTCTGTTGGACTGTATGTGTGTATCCGTGGAACTGTGTGTGTGGGTGGCTCTATGGGACTGTGTGTGTGTGTATATGTGCGTGTCTGTGTGTGTGTGTGTATATGTGCGTGTTTGTGTGTGTGTCTGTGTGTGTGTGTGTGTGTGTGTGTATGTACAGGGCGACACATCTGGGGACTACCGGACGATCCTGTTGGAGCTCTGTGGCGGAGAGTGACATCTTTTTTTTCTTTTTGTACATTTCTTCACAGTTTACAGTTTGTAAAAGCAAATAAACCAAAGAGCAGTGTCCTTTTCCTCGTCTGAGTTTTAATCTTTGAAATAAATCTGAATTCTCTCTCGATGAGTACAGAACCAGAAGTCTTTGTTATTGCATTGTTCAATCAAAACCGTAGAATTCAGCGACACAGATCAGAGAAGACATTGATCCATGAATGTGGAGCGTCCGGGATCATCGCTGTCTGGTTCTTTCATTTGGTAAATTGATGGCGGCTGTTTATCTTCTTCTCATTACCCTGAGGACTCTATCTGGACCTGGACGCTGTAAAGTTCCAGAATCAATTCTGTCTTGGAGCTCAGACTTAACTGGCTCCTCCCCTGGGGAAAAGCTGTCAAAGCTGGAGACGAGGTGGAAACGGGAGGCAGAGTTTTGTTTAAATCTATCTCTCTGGTCTCTTTGGTCTCTCTCTGGTCTCTCTGGTCTCTCTCTGGTCTCTATACGGTCTCTATAGGGTCTCTCTCTGGTCTCTTTGGTCTCTGTCTAGTCTCTCTCTGGTCTCTATACGGTCTCTGTCTGGTTTCTTTGTTCTCTGTATACGATCTCTCTCTGGTCTCTATATTGTTTCTCTCTGGTCTCTCTCTGGTCACTCTCTGGTCTCTCTCGTAACAATGAGATCTGTGTTACTAATCCTTCCCCTAATGGGGCATTCACACCGGAGCATGTGTTGAGTTTCAATACAAAGTCAAAGGTGACGTACAGCGGTGCACATATAGTAAGACTCAATCCAGATATTATTCTAGATCCATGGCTAAAGCTCATTAGCCTCAAAGCCCGCCCACCACTTCCGCCCTGCGTTTTTCCCCATCATAGGACAGGGCAGATTTACTAAACTCATGCAGCTGAAATGTAGTGAAGGCACGTCCTTCTGTCTGTGGTGTTTAAATGATGCTGAGGTCGAGTCAGACCTGCTCCCAGTGTAATCCTCCTGGTCCAGGAGGAGAGGTCCTTCCTCAAGTGAAGTAGTTGCAGTAACTCTGCGTCTGCAGTCAGAGCTGTATCAAACTGTTGTGGTGAAGAGGGAGCAGCGTCTGCGGTCAGAGCTTCCTCCCCTCTGGTCATGATCATGGGGAAAAACTGAAAGAACGAGGATACAAGTGTTCCACATGAGTTTCCTCCAGAGTCTCCCTTAGAGAAGTGTCTCAGTCACACAGGAGGAAGCCTCCTGGAAGCTTCAGGATTCTCCCAGATGAGCTGGAGGACGTGTGTGAGAGGGAAGTCTGTCTCATAACTTAGTAGAAGGATTTTCCTGATAAATAACTTAAAGAACCCTTTTCACAGATCGCTCCTCAGCGATTCACTCACAAGATCAAAACAAGCAAAGGTCTGAATGTTGCCGTGACAACAGCATCCCTTCTCTGCGTGTGACACGTGTGGATGAAAGTATGTGAGAAACAGTGTAGGAGGACGAGTCCGCTCCACATGCAGGGGGGGAGGAGGGGGAGAGAAAGTGCATTCATTATAAGAACTTTTCATACAAATCAATATAATACCACAAGCTCAATGACCCAGATCCAGACCCAGACCCAGTAGGCCCAGACCCAGCAGACCCAGATCCAGCAGACCCAGATCCAGCAGATGAAGGTAAAGTAGAAGAGACAGAGAACAGTTACTGATCCTGTACTTTCTAGAACAAAGTGCGAGAGCTGTGCATTCAGTTTATCATTATTCACCAATACATACTTACACAATAAAACACACACAGGGGCGAGCGCATTCACACACACACACACACACACACACACAAGCACAATGTAGACGAGTAGGTTCAGTGTCTTGCCCATGGACACAGCAGCATTCAGTGGGAGATGATTTCTTTTCAACCTCAAGGACAGTGTGCAGACTGAGAGAGAGAGAGAGAAAGACAGGAGAGACAGAGAGAGAAATGTAGGAGGCAGAGGCAGAGAGAGGCGCTTTAGACGTTTTGACATCATCAGGTCCAGGGGCCTCATTGACTTACTGTCAGGAAGAGACTCAACCTCTCTCCTCCCCCTTCTCTCTCTTCTGTCTCTCATCTCCTCCCTCCCCTCCTCCCTCCACTCTCTCTCCTCCCTCAACTCTCTCTCTCTCCCCTCCCTTCCTCTGGATCATGCCTCAGTCAGACAGTAGAAGGAGCCCACCAGTCCTGTCCAGTCCAGTCCATCCCAGCCCAGTCCAGTCCAGTCCAGTCCAGTCTGCTCTTCTCTGCTCCGAGACAAACAGGTGAGTAGGCTTCATTTCACTTCTTTACTTTTGGCCGAATCCAAAACCGACGCTGTCTCCTGTGATGTCACACACTCTCTCTCCACACAAACATTTAGAAACATAATTAAATAAATGCCGTTCTGTGTGTGACTGTGTGTGTGTGTGTTTGTGTCTTATAATGGGCTGCACTTCTGTTGTAAAGGATAATTCTGTCTGAAATAAGTGATTATTTAATAACTGCGGACTGAGGCTGTAGACCCAGGACTGAGGCTGTAGATCCAGGACTGAGGCTGTAGATCCAGGACTGAGGCTGTAGACCCAGGACTGAGGCTGTAGACCCAGGATATAGTTCAGGCTGTGTTCTAACTGTTTGATTCTCTGATCTGCTGCTGTGATTCAGGGCGAGACACAATGACAGAGTTTAGAATCCGTCTCAGTCTCTTTCTTTCTGCTAACTGTTTGATCTTGACTCAGTGACTGCCGCTGCCGTATTTCTCTGAGACTGTGGATTTCTGTCAAAATGCTCTGTATTCACCGGGGATCACAGGAGGACAAAACTAGCAAGAAACAAACTCATTTTTGCTGATGAAAGTGGACAGTCCAGTGTCCACCAGTGACCAGTCCAAGGTCTGGTCATAAACACAGTCTCTGGTCTCTCTCTGGTCTCTCTCTGGTCTCTCTCTGGTCTCTCTCTGGTCTCTCTCTGGTCTTACTTGTCTCTCTCTGGTCTCTCTCTGGTCTCTCTCTGGTCTCTCTCTGGTCTCACAGACATGGACCAAACTTTCTGGTCTCCTCTGTTCTGATGCAGAGTCACTCATGGAGGCTAATCTCAGCGCAGCGGAAGTGACGCCCGCAGGTGACCGGGCGGAGGTGGAGGCCGCAGGTGACCCGGTGTTGGAGGTCCCGGTGTTGGAGGTCCCGGTGCAGAACCACAGCTCTCCGTTCGCAGACGTGGCGCTGCTGCAGAGCTACAAGCCGCTCATCATCCCTTGCTACGCCCTGGTGCTGCTGCTGGGCGTCTGCGGGAACTACCTGCTGATCTACGTCATCTGCCGCACACGGAAGATGCACACCGTCACCAACCTCTTCATCCTCAACCTGGCGCTGTCGGACCTGCTCATGTGCGTGACCTGCGTCCCCTTCACGCTCGCCTACGCTCTGAACCCGCGCGGCTGGACGTTCGGACGCTCCATGTGTTACGCCGTGTTCACGATACAACCTCTGACCGTCTACGTCTCTGTGTTCACTCTCACTGCTATCGCTGTGGACAGGTATGGTATGGTATGGTATGGTATCTACTCTACTCTACTCTACTCTACTCTACTCTACTCTACTCTACTCTACTCTACTCTACTCTACTCTACTCTACTCTACTCTACTCTACTCTACTCTACTCGACTAAACTAAAGTGTTCTAACTGACAGTGATTGAAGGCTGCTGTAAGCAGTAGAGTAGAGTAGAGTAGAGTAGAGTAAGGCTGCAGTTGTATTGACTCTGTGTTCCTGCTGCAGATACTCGGCCACAGTCCACCCTCTGAAGAAGCGCACCTCGGTCGCTGCGTGCGCCGCGGCCCTCGCTGGGATCTGGCTCGTGTCGTTCGCTCTGGTGGCTCCTGCCGTTCTTCACACGTACCATGTGGAGTTCAGGGACGAGGGCTTCACCATCTGTGAGGAGTTCTGGATTGAGGAGGAGACGCAGAGACGCGCCTACGCCTACGGCACGCTGCTGGTCACCTACGTGCTGCCGCTGTCCGCGCTCAGTGTGTCCTACGTCTGCATCACCCTCAAACTCAGGAAGTGCGTTGCTCCAGGGAGTAGAACCCTGAGGCAGAGCGCGCCGCAGCAGGCCCGCAGGAGGAGGATCTTCCGGCTGGTGGCGCTGCTGGTGTCTGCCTTCGCCGTGAGCTGGATGCCCATCCACGTGTTCAACGTCCTGCGCGACATCGACATCAACCTGATCAACAAGCGCCACTTCCTGCTGATCCAGCTGCTGTGCCACCTCTGCGCCATGACCTCCTCCTGCTGCAACCCGGTCCTCTACGCCTGGCTCCACCATCGCTTCAGGACAGAGCTCCGCAAGACGCTGAGCTGCAGGCGCCGCCGCGTGGGAGGGGCCAAGCACTGCGCCGCCACAGTCGTTCTGTGAGCGCGCCACAAGTCCCAAGAGCACGCCATAGTCCTGTGACGCCGCCACGGTCATCCTGTAAATAATGTAAACAGTACTTTATTATTAATATTTCAGAGACTGCCCACTAAACATCCGACGTCCACTCAACCTCCAGATCACGTCAATATCGCGTCGGTCGGTCGTGACCTTTTATTTACGTCCAAACGACGTCTGTGCAAGGTGCGCATCTGGACGTAAAACAATGACCTCCCATATACGTGGATATGACGTTCAATCCCGACCTCCCCTAGACGTCGAAAACAGGTCATCGGCCGACCGACGCAGTACGTCTTGATCTAGCAATACAATATATAGGCTGTGAAGCAATATAAGTGAACCTGACGGTAGTGTAGTGGTTTCCCTCTTGGAAACCGCTTTCTCACATCCAATATCATCCATTCAGTACAGTCTCACTCCACCTACAACTGACTATCTGCCTCCTCACCCCCCGTATCACCTCCTCACCGACCCAGCCCCAGCTCTCCCCCTCAGTCAATCCCTGTCATCTCCAGACCCCGACCCCACAGGACCTCCTCCAGAGAACTCTCCCTCCCCTGTCTCATCCCGGTTCCCCTTTGCTCCTCTACAGCCCTCACTCCGGACCCTGCACCTACAATCTTTGGACTTCTAAACATCAGATCCATCAACAATAAATCCTTCATCTGTCAGGACTTCATCACATACAACAACCTGGACTTCATGATTTTAACAGAAACATGGCAAGTGCAAGGCGACTGCACCCCCCTCATTGAAGCGACCCCCCCGGACTACACCTTCCTCCACCAACCAAGACTCTGCGGTAAGGGAGGGGGGGTTGCAGCCATCTTTAAGAACACTTTTAAATGCACTCCTGGATCACAAAATGTTTTTACTTCATTTGAACACCTGTCTCTTATCATTTCATGTAAAACCCCAGTGTTTGTTTTAATTATTTATAGACCCCCTAAACCCAGCACTGTTTTTATTCAAGAATTCTCTGATCTTTTATCCCAGTGTATGGCCCTCCACAACAAAGTTTTAATCTTAGGTGATTTTAACATTCATGTCTGCTGCCCACATAAACCACACCCTTTAACCTCTGATTTTATTGATCTAATTGAGTCTTTTAATCTTCTTCAAATTATAAATGCTCCGACCCATTCTAAGGGCCATACACTGGACCTGGTTTTAACGTTTGGTCTCAGCGCAGGAAATGTCATCACCAAGGATATCTGTGTGTCGGACCACTTAGCTATTTTATTCGACGTTATTTTAGCCCCTCAGTCTGCCTCCAATGGGTCATTTTATCACTCTCGTGTTTTTAACTCCACCTCTGCTCTTAAATTTTCCCAACTTTTTACTGCAGCCTCCTTGACTACTTTTAACCAACATTTTAGCCTGGAGGAGCAGGTCTCCTCCTTTTATCAAACATCACATAGGATTTTAGACACGATTGCACCTTTTAAACAAAGAAACCCCACCAGAACACCACAACCATGGCTCAATGAAAACACTCGAAAGCTCTTACAGTCATGCAGACAGCTCGAACGGAAATGGAAAAAATCACACCTTACAGCATTTCACCTCGCCTGGAAAGACAGTCTCAAACAATATCAACACGTAGTCAAGGAAGCAAGAACTTTATTTTATTCAAACACTATCACCCAAAACAAATCGAATCCCAGAGTTTTATTTAAAGTTTTAAACTCTATTATAAATCCCAGTCCCTGTGTTTTTAGTGATTCATCCACTGAACAGTGTGAATTATTTTTAAACCATTTTATTCAAAAGATAACAGATATCCGGACCCAAATATCTGCTCCTAGCCAAGCCACTGTTTTAAATAGAGAAACTCTGAATTTTAGTTGTTTTACAAATTTTATGCCTTTATCCCTTTCTCTTTTATCTGACATTTTATTCCGCATGAAACCAACCACGTGCAGCCTCGATGTCATCCCCACCAAATTTCTCAAAGATGTTTTTAATGTGGTTGGACCCTCCATTTTATCAATCCTTAATCAGTCCCTGGATCAAGGTCTTGTCCCATCCAGTTTTAAACATGCTGTGGTCCAACCACTTTTAAAGAAGCCTAATTTAAGCACTACAGATTTTAACAATTTTAGACCCATTTCTAAACTCCCGTTTTTATCTAAGGTTTTAGAGAAAATTGTTTCTATTCAGATTTTAGATTTTATTAACAATAACCACATCTTTGAGAAATTCCAATCCGGTTTTAAAGCACAACACAGTACTGAGACAGCTCTCCTTAGAGTTTTAAATGACCTTCTTTTAACCACGGACAGCGGAGAGTGCTCTATTTTAATTCTTTTAGATTTAAGCTCTGCCTTCGACACTATAGACCACGATATTTTATTGGATCGCCTCAAAACGTGGGTTGGCATCAGAGATACTGCACTTGGTTGGTTTCATTCTTATCTTTTAGAAAGAACCTTTGCGGTCACCATGGGTGATTTTACCTCCTCAACAGCCCCCATCACCTGTGGTGTGCCGCAAGGTTCTATTTTAGGCCCCATTTTATTCTCTATTTATATGCTCCCCCTAGGACACGTTATGGCCCGTCATAACGTGTTCTTCCACTGCTATGCGGACGACACACAGATCTACCTCCCGCTGAGACCAAACGACCCTGGAAGTCTGGCTGCTGTGGTCGACTGTTTTAATGATGTGAACCGTTGGATGGCCCATAACTTCCTTCAACTCAACACCTCCAAATCAGAAGTCCTCCTCATCAACCCGCCTCCATCCATATCCCACATCCAAACCCACCTCGGCCCCCTGTCCTCAAACATCACTCCCTCCGCCCGTAACCTCGGTGTCATTTTTGATTCTCACCTCACCTTCCGCTCCCACATCAATAAAACCACCCAAACCTGCTTCTATCACCTCCGCACCATCTCTAAGATTAAAAACATTCTCACTCCTCCCGATCTCCATAAAGTCGTCAACGCCCTCATCTTCTCCCGCCTCGATTACTGTAACTCCCTCCTCTCCGGTCTTGATGCTAAATCCCTCTCCCGCCTCCAACTGGTTCAGAACGCAGCAGCCAGACTTCTCACTGGTTTTAACAGAAGGGAGCACATCACCCCTGTTTTAGCGTCCCTCCACTGGCTCCCTGTGCGATTTAGAATTGATTTTAAGATTTTACTGATTACTTTTAAAGCTCGTTTAGGTCTGGCACCAAGCTATATTTATGAACTTTTAACCCCCTACGAGCCCCCCCGCAGCCTTAGATCCTCGGGCAGGTCCTTGCTGACCATTCCAAGGTCGAGGCTCCGGACGAAAGGTGATCGAGCCTTTTCTGTCCGGGCTCCTCGGCTTTGGAACGACCTGCCCGAGGAGATAAGGCTAGCACCATCAGTATCCTCTTTTAAATCTCTTCTTAAAACCCACTTTTATAAAACAGCTTTTAATTGTCAGCTTTAAACTTATAATGTTGTATTTTACTGTCTGTCCTGTCTGTTTTGTGGTCTTGTGTTTCCTCTGTTTGTCTTGTCTTCTTGCATTCATTCTTATTGTTTTAACTTTGTATTATGACTGATGTATTGATTATTATGCTGTGCAGCACTTTGTAAACATTGTTTTTGAAAAGTGCTTTATAAATAAAGATTTATTATTATTATTATTATTATTAAGCAAACGTGTGCAGTCTTGGTTACGTGGGTTCGAGCCCACGTGTGTGCATTATTATCTTTATATATTTGTTTTGATTTTTAACGAACAATTTTTTCCTGTTTGGTTAAAGACTAATAAACACTCAACATAGGATTACGTAGTGGCTAATAATAAAACTTGTGAATGTATGCATTTGTTGTGCTAACAATCTCAAGTTTGCAAATAAGGGGTGAGCACTTGAGATTTTATGCAAATGCATGGGTTCACAAGTTTTATTATTAGCCACTACATAATCTTATGTTGAGTGTTTATTCGTTTTTAACCAAACAGAAACATTGTTCGCTAAAAAGTGAAAAGTCAAAATTTTTCCGACGGGGATTTGAACCCGCGTCGTTGCGACTGAAGTCTCATTACGCAACCGCTACACCACGGCCAGGCATTTCTTCTGACTGCCGTGAAAAAATAATAGATAACACCCTAAACAACCGACGCACACTTATGCGCCGCGCGAGTATAACTTGGGCTTTACAGCCTGACATGTGAGTCGCTCGGTCGAGGACCTGTTTTCCACGTCTAAACGACGTAAGGTGTGCATCTGGACGTAAAGCAATGTCTTCCCAGACGTTGATATGACGTTGAATCTGTACCTCTGTCGCTGCCCTGCTTTATTTACTTGGAATCATCCTCTCTAGTAAGTACACAGTCTGCACAGTTTTTAGATATAGATGTATCATTTCCACATTGAAAAGAGTTGGAGACAGAAAGTAAGTTGTTTTCTCACGTATACGTGGATTTTGTTAAGTATATTTTGTATATTATCTGTATTTTGAATTGCCAGTGCATGAATCTATAATAATAACGGCTGGCACTGCTCAGCTGAAAGGGAGACACCTTTTTTTAGTTTTTAAGTTAAAGTTTAAAATATGATATTGTTTTTCATATTTCAAACTATTTTTAACACATTAGAATTCTTAGGTTAGACTGTCCAACAAAGTATGTGTTAAAAAAGGTTAAGATTCTTGAGTTTTAAAATAATAATTCAATTCTAAAATGTAAAGTTACTGTATATTTCACAATGGTTTATAAACTGCAAAAAGACAACAGTACTTAGTAAACTAAGTTTAAAAACAGGGAGATCAGCTTTACTATTTGGGACACTCCCATCATTTAGACACCTGTGATGTCATCAGTTGGAGTTGAGTTCAGGTGTGGGACCATGTGGGACCATAGGAGCACACAGATGTTACCTGCTGCAGAAAGAGAGTTTAATGTTCGTGTATTGCTTTGTTTAATAAATTGATTTAATGTCTTCCCAGGTCTTCAATGTCAGAGACTTTCACTTCTTCTCACTGTGGCTGTTTAAATGA